GCGTTGTTCAAGGCGTTGTTCAAGGCGTTGTTCAAGGCGTTGTCTGTTGCTCATCAATGCCATCTGTTGAGGAGTTGGCTTTGTTGCTGTGCGGGTTTGGGAGGAAGCAGATGGCAGGATGAGCCTGAGGGTGACCAGCGATCTGTTGAGTTTGGTGTTGCTCCCGCCTAAGCGGAATTTTAGTTGACCTGGTGACAGAGCCACCAATTCGGGCAGTAAGAGACACGATTTTCTTGGGCTTTTATCGGCACCCATCTTCGACTTTGAATTCTTTCTGATCGCCATATGGATTCCTTGTCGTGCTTCAAAGGGTCGAGTTGACGTGAGTTGTTGCTTGATGAGCTGCTGTGAGCTGTTGCTTGAAGAGCTGTTGTGAGTCGTTGCTTGAGGAGCTGTTGTGAATCGTTGCTTGATGAGCTGTTGTGAGTCGTTGCTTGATGAGCTGTTGTGAGTCGTTGCTTGATGAGCTGTCGTGAGTCGTTGCTTGATGAGCTGTCGTGAATTGTCCCTTGATACTGATTGCAGTTCTGTCTGGGGGAAACGGACGCGGAGATGTGGGAAGCTGGCCTATTTAAGGGATCTTCAATTACGGGTCCTCAGTGCCTTTAGGTCCCTCCGCGCCTTTCAGTGAGTCTGGCTCGCGATTGACTTGTTAAGTGGTGTGTGGCAATGTGGATTCAGTGCTGTCCGGGAACCATGGACGAGGAGATGCGAGAAGCTGGCTCCTTTAAGTGACCACCGGTACAGGCCCTCAGCGCCTTTTTGTGGGATCCGCTCGTGATTCACTTGCTGATGGGTGGCAACGAGGGCCTCTGGGAGTCAGGATTCAAAGCTGAAGAGATTTGTGACTCTCTCCTGGAATGCCGGCAGGAGGTTTGTTTGTTGGTCGACCACATTGATTGTTTGATCTGATACATGTCGTTGTGGTTGGCAAAATATGGCTGAGGCCCTCCTGTTTGTCTCAGTCATGGGTTCTGGTGTTCTTTGTTTGGCGGTCCCTCCCAGTGGTCAAGCAGGAAATCAAGACAACGTAGCGACGCGTGATGAAGCCTTATTTGAAGTAGAATGTTGTTCATGCTGGTCGTATCCATGAGGGTGAACAGTGAGGCTCATAGATACGTGCCTCAAACGGCATCGAAGCCAAAGAGACAACCTGAGCCTGTAACTGGAACGGTGCTCCATAGAGACCCATACTTCCGCATCCTGCAACCTTCCCGATTGCTTTGCCGCAATGTGCCAGTGGATTGACATTGTTGTCGGGCAAATAGATGGATGAACCACCGGTGTCGTGAACTCTCTTGCCTAATGCGGACATATGCGCCAATGGTTGCATCAACACCAGCCCAACGGCATTTGCAGTCCAGCCACCGGCTATAAAAGCTTGTCTTTGGTGATAGGCACAACGATTACCCATATTCCCCGTTCTTTCAAAGTGTGGTTGCCGTACAAGGCGTTGGGGCCTAAAGATTCAAAGTGCTGATAATTGCGCAATCCTCAACCCAGCCCACTCCGCATCATGATAGGCAACACCTTTGCTTGCAGACTCTTGTAGATATCCAAAATGCCCACCATGCCGGCCCACTTTTTGGATAGGGTGTTTAACAAGATCAAGCACGTCCCAGAGATCTCATGGATTCCACTGAAGTCCACTGGGCCTTCTGCATCGCCACTGAGCTCTCTCGAAAAGCTCACGACCGGTAATCGTCCGTCGATCGCCAACAGACAGTGTGCCATGATAATTATAGTCGCTTGGTGGATATAGTGCGCCGAAATCATGGTGATAGGATACATCCCCCAAGGAGTGCCCTCGGCGCTGCGGAAGAGCTTGTTGTAGAATTCAACGACCTTGACGGCAGAGTGGTAGCTCTCGCGCGGTATGACTTCAGTAATCTCTGGCCCTAAAATAGAATCTTTGGTGGCCGCCAGTGCTCGTAATAACAGAGGCTGGAATAGGAAGCAGATGGAAGTATCAAAGCCCGACTCGCATGTCATGCTGCCCATGCCAGGCGTGGCCTCGATGAATTGTATTTCTCGCCGCCACGCCAACATGGATTCGACGGTTTGCTCATACCACATCCGGGGTAATGTTGGTGCAATCGCCGGGAGGTACAATTCGCGGAAGACTTCGGAGCGGAGATATGTCAGTCGGTAGTAGTGTGAAGTAAGAATAATCTGCAGCGTGTCTGGATCGGCCATCGCGGCTTCATTCAACGAGGCAGGATATTCAGCGGTGATGATTTCTTCTGTCAGATCCGAAGGCCGACCAAGATGCTGGCCCATCGTCCGCTCGATGCAATACAGTCCCCAGAATATGCCGCGACGCTTCTTGCGGCTTTTTTCGTCTTCGTATTCGTCGTTGGTCTCGGTATGATAGTTGAGCTCCACGCTCAAACGACAGGCGAAATCCAACAGCTTCCAGATGTCGCCTTTCCGTGGCTGAAACAAAGTAAACAGAATAAGGAGCAAAAGGGCTTGAAGTGCATCTGGAGACACATCTGAAGTCACCTCTTCAACACACTGCAGACCTTCGGAGTAGTAGGCCATGGATTCGGTGTCGTACACGGAGTGATGCCTCGCCTTATTCGCCGAGGCGATGGCACAGATCATGGCAACCCGGAAAAACTGATGTGCTTCCTTGCCAGTGAGATACTTGACATTTGACCCATGGTGGCGCAAATAGGTATCGATCTCGTAAGTCATGTCCTCGGGGTCGAAGAAGGTCATCAGGGTATTGGTGGTCGACATGTACAAGTTGGTGAGCATCACAATCTCAGCCCGCGACGGTGTAGCCCTGGGCTGTAACGGCTCGGCGACCTCTGTGCTCTGGGCATTGAGCCAGAACTCAGGCCCAGCATAGTCTGGGTGATGGACCATGGAACCCAGCTTGGACTGAGCATGCACGAGGACTTCCACCACCAAGGCATAAGGCGAGCTGCTGCCCAGGAACTGCCAACATGTGGGATTGGCATGTTCTATGATGAAATGCTTGTCGAATGAAAGGTCGCTGGTGTAAGTGCCCCAATCGTTGAGAGGAGGGTCGAGATTGGCGGATGTCGTCGACGTGTTCCGTTCATGGTGAGGGATTTTGAAGGCACTGAGCGGCTCATTTGTCCCATTGACAGATGCTTGAACGGCACGCAGGCGGCCCAGTCGGGTCAAGAGTGAATGGACGTAGCTTTCGGAGCAGAGTCAGGCTCCTTTTTCTGTGACGCAGGGGGGTTGGGGGAAGAGTCGCACTGACCTTCGCGGTAGAGTCTGTTGCAAGGCATGATCAAAAAAGGTGCACTCAGCTTTGCCCTTTTGACACAGACGACAGGCAGGCAGATTTGTGTCGCACTTTCTTCTCAGACGACGGCATCTTTGACAGGTGGGCAATAGACGTGTCAGATCTGCTTCGGAGATGGTCGCGTGGCCTATGTCCATGCTGTGTTATTGTGACCGACCAAGTCCGTTGTGGCGGGTATTCAAGCAGTATACAACCAAGGACATGTGCGCTTTGGTAACACAGCCTTGCAGCACAGACCCGAATTTGGGTTTCTAGACTTGTTTCAACCTTTAATCAACGTCCATCTCTTGTAGCCATCTCAAGGGAGGGAGAGGTGACGGGAGGAGGAGGAAGCGCATTAGCCGAGGTGGGAGGAGTCGAGAAGAAGAGGCAATTTTCAAGGTGCCTGCTCGCCTGGTACGATGACTATTCGCCGTCGACCGTCCAGTTGCCGGGATGCAGACCGGGGGCATCAATGGAGAGCATCAATGGGGAGGAGACAGGCTAGTGAAGCGGCGAGTTACTCGGTAGAGGGGAAGAATTGGGAAAAGAGAAAGAGGAAAGTGGGCAATTGGAGGGGTGTCAGTGGTTGAATTCTCATCATCAACTGCGTGTTCGGAGGCCCCCCCAGAGGCCAGTTGAGTCAGTCACCCACCAGCTGGTCAAGGTTGCGATAAGGGAAGCCAAGGGAAAATCACTTCCAGGGTGGCAGGGTCCCGCGCCCTGCGCCCTTGCACCTCCACCATCCACCTGGCAAGTGCCTAGATACCTACCTAGGTAGGGATCTATAAGCTATTACCTATCTCACCTATCTACCTGCATACGACTTCGCCTCCCGTGATTCGGCCGTTGAGTCAAGTCCATCCAGCCCAAGCCATCATCTCATCTCAACTCTCCTCCTCCTCCCCCATCAGCATCGTCATCCTACCATCAACAATACCACCATCACCGCCACATCACTACATTCATCGGCTATTGAATTATCTACGGTATATACCCGATGGGGTTGATGCGAGGGCCAACACCTTCCCTTCGCCCTTGCATAGCATCTGCCCTGTCAATGCCCTGAACAGCCACCCAATCCAGAGTCACACAATGACCGAATGTCGTCGGTCTGTCCTCTCTTGCGCCCGCTGTCGCAGGAGGAAAATCAAATGTGATCGAGCCATCCCTTGCGGTCAATGCATCGCCGCAAAGTCAGACTGTACTGGCTTCAGTTCCAAGGACCAAGATCCCACCATCCCCAGGAGCATCGTTCAGCATCTTGAATCCGAAATTGCAAAGGTCGAAGGCGAGCTCGCTCGCACTGGCCACCTGGAAGAACTCAATGCCTCGGACATTCTGGCAGGAATGCCTACCAACGACGGCATCCCCATTGAGGATCCCGCATTACCCATCATTGATCTCCCCATCACCAAGCCAGAGGACACGCCCAAATTGACGCTCAATGTCGATATCATCTCACCTCCAGCCGCGCCAAGAGACACGATTCGAGACGAAGTCATGAGTTGTGGAGAGTTGCAGGCCATGATTTTTGCCATCCTCCCCACAGGTCCAGGAATCACCGACCTCATCTCGAGAGTCCGCATGAGCCTGACGCCATCGACCGCTATAGCATCAGGATCCCCCAGAGAAGCGCGCAGAAAATCCATCTCACGGGCTAGCCATGAAGTCAGTTGTACCATGTTGAAATCGATCCCGACTCCCATTCTGCGTAGTCTCATCAAGAAATACATGACCAGGGTCTATCCTATTTACCCTGTTTTACATGCTCCCTCACTATGGCAGCAGCTCGAGCGAGTTATCAAGACTCTGCAAGATATGCCCGACAAACATCGTGCCGTTCCGCCGTCCTTTGATTTTCTCATCATATACCTCATGCTCTCTATCTCGGCTACATTGGGCAGTGCGCGAACAGGCCACGAGGCCAAGCACATGGTCTTCTCTGGATCTCTATTCGAGGAAGGTATTCAACATCTGTCCGACAAGGCCAAAATTCCCTCCGACCTCGCCGGCATCCAAGTCACGCTCATGGTCCTTCAGTACGCGTCTATCAACCCGCGCCTTGCCAACGTCTGGATGTTGACTGGGGCTGCCATGCGCGCATGCTTAGAACTCGGCCTTCACCGCGAAGCACCAGAAGCTCTAAACTTCGACCCGCTGACTCTCGATCTTCGACGCCGCCTCTTCTGGTCAGCCTATAATTTCGATCGTGCCATCTGTTCGGCACTACAGCGACCCCTCTCAATTCCGGACCAAACCATCGACGCTCATTTCCCTACCATCCTCGATGACAGGCATATCCACCCCACAGGTATCGACCCAACAGGGGCTGAAACCAAAATCCACATGTTACGATGGGTCCACTTCCGTCGCCTGCAGAGCGCGATGACTGAAGTGCATTTCCAGGGGAAGCCGCTCGATCCAGGTCAGTCATGGGAAGACTGGCTTGCCTCGATGGAGAGACGTCTCCAGGCGTGGTACGAAGACTACAACGACGGCCACGAGCTGACAGAATTCACGCTTGCACATGGCTTGACCAATCTGCACCGCCCGTCGCCCCGAGTGCCTTTGCCCGGGCCCAGGAGTCTAATGGTGGCGTTCGAAGCTGCTTGCTCCAGCGCCAAATGCCTGCGTGACCACATCCTGACAGGCTTCTATCGACGCTCATGGCTGATTGCCCATCACGTGCTTGAAAACAGTATGGTCGTTCTCTTCTGCCTTCGCCACGGCTTTGACGCCATCTCCTCACGGTTCAATGCGCAGCAAATCTTCGAAATGACAAAGGTCTTCACCGCGAACTTCCTCGCTTTGGCCGCCCAGGGATGGAACGAGGTGTCGAACTACGCGGGGGTTTATGAACGCCTTTTAGGGCCGCTATTGGAATCCGTGTTTTCGAATCGTCCGCCTTCGCTATCCTCCTTTGGTCCGGCGCAAGATGCAGAACTCACGCGTCTCCTCTACCCTGGGCCCGCCCAGTTGGACAAACTCCGCTTCGGTAGTCGTTCGGGCTTTGAGGGCGACGGGTTACCGAGTTTTGATGTCGGCACGTTGAACTGGGAGGAATTTAGCGTGAGCGACACCAGGTCGGCGAGTGCGGAGGGATTCGTGGCAGGATGGGATTTGTTTGATCCCAGTGCCGTGGGAAGTGGAGGGCATGATTTGGTCTTTGGTATGGCTTAGGAATGCCATCCAATTTTACCTCAACACGACCTAATGGAGAGCCTCGCAGCAGGGAGCGAGACGAGACTACCGAAAAGGGAAGTGATTCGAAAGTCCAACATCTATCAATGTTGTCTTTCGAAGAACGCCAGCCTGAAGGGCACGGGCACTGTGATTTCCCGTTGGGGTTGTGCTTCCCACCTTGTCGCCCAAGTCAGATTCGACCCACTCTCTCAGCAACATGGTCCCATCCTGATGGTCATCATTCGATGCGGCCGAATTGTTACAATATATCTGACGAGAGAGTTACGCCGAGTCTTCCTAGCTCAGCTAAGGCTCCCCAACAAACGCTTCCCTTGTGCCTGCCGAGGCCGAGGCTTTCTTGGGCCCATCCTCTCATCGCTCTACACTCAGCAAGACCCGAAATCGACTCATTAACTGCGGCACTGTTTCTTGTTCGAAAGGGTCACTTGCTGGGCTGACGCTAAGGGTTTGGGCCGCCGCCAGATCCTGGGACGGAAAAGAAGGCACGCGTCGGGGATTGATAAAAAGCGGGCCGGCCATTGAGTGAATCCGAACCCTTCTGCGGCCCCGCGATGTCCACGATGCCAAAAAATCGAAACGCTTTGAAGGGCGTTAATAAAGAAATCCAACACTCAAAAAGTGTCGCATCCCTGGAACTGATTGATGCTCAGCCCATCGCATGGTATGTTATGCACCTGGTCCTTTACCGACGGGAAATCTCATCGTACCAATTCTTGAAAAGCGCAGGCGGGGGGTATTTCGGGACCGCAAAGTCGATGGTATATCATGATACTGTTATGATGGGGATCAGGTTTTCAGCCAGATAGATGATGATGGTTTTGTGTTCTTTTTTTTTCGTGTATAGTAAGCGAGAAAAAAATCTACAGAGTTGTAGCTTTATTGCGAAATGGAATCAAAAAAGGCCATTCATTCAATTACCTACCTAGGTACAGAAACCGCACGCTGGTTCAAGAAGCCAGCCAGCTGCGGATGCCACGAGAAGAGAGACTCAGAGGGGGAAAATAAGGGAAAGATATGAAAATAAAACATCGGAAAAATCAAAAGGAAACTTGAGTAGGATCCTGGATTTGTGATCTGAGACATGAACGATATTCATATGGCCTGCTTCCTTCCTTCCTTGCCTGCTCTTTGATCGATTTGATTCAATCTCAACAGCCCGATTTTATTTATAGCTGGGAAATATCGCTTCGAGTCTCTGGATCAAAGCGTCCGGCACGGTCGCCTGCGTCTTCCCCTTGTTCGTTATCGTAGAGGTCTCGACACCGTTTGCACTCTTGCCAGCATCAGTGGTGAGCAACTCCCTCCAATTCTTCACATCGTGCAACTTGACTTCCTCATCGAGCACCAGCAGCTCCCCGTCTTTCTCTTCCGACTCTACTCGAGGTCCTTCTTCCATCTCCGTACCTGCAGATGATCTTTCCTGTTTTCCAAAATGTATTCGCCTCGTCGTCCAGACCACCTCGTTGTTTCCACCCTCACTCCGCTCCGAGTCGGGAACTGCAACTGGGCTTTGCACTGTCAACGATTTTAAGACGCCACGGTTCGCGGAGAGTATGATCTCGTGGTTCTCGAGCATGCCGCTTGCAAACTCGAACCGGGGCGTCTGTTCGAAAATCCAGCTCGGCGAGGTAAGCTCTTGCACGCCGGATGCTATTGCGGAATTGAACTCATTCGCACCGGCTGCGAGGGTGATCTCGTCTGTCCCGGGCTTGCGGGCCTCGCCACCTCCGTACATCTTCCAGAACTCCCTTGTGATCGCTTCTGTGATCTCTGCCCTGACCACCTCCCTCTCGTGCGGGTTGGGCGTCCATGCGAGGTTCCCAACTTTGCTGCGCACGCTCTCCACCCCCTTGGCACTGATGAGGCCCCGACCGGGACTTCTCAGCAACTCGGAGATTTTGTTCACGTACGGGCTGGAGTAAAGCAATGTACCGTGATGTAAGGCTCGGCCCCTGGTCAATTTGTACGCACTGCCGCTGACCTTCAACCACTCGGCTGCGCCTGGCTGTTGCATGACAATGTCGTTGCGCTCGTTGACCCGGACGGAGCCAAAGCTGTATCTCCCGCGAGGTACACCTGACGACGAGGATGTAGATGCAGATCTAGCACTCGCAAGGCTTTCAAGGCCCCGCACCACCATTTCAGCATGAGTGCTCCTCTTGAACGTCTTGGTGTTCGGGACGATAACGGAGTAGTTCAGGTTTCCCGAGTCATGAAACACAGTGCCGCCTCCGCTGCGGCGACGGACGAGGTCGATGGGCACGATCTCCGGCGGCACATTGTTCTGGTTGTGTGGAGACTTCAGCGAGGCTGTCCTCGACGTGTAGCTCTCGCCGCCTCTTTTTCCCACTGCCTGCTCTTCAACAGGCAGACCCTCTTGCAGCCTCTTGAGATCCGCTTCGAGCCATGGATTCTGATTGCGGCCGACGACCACACAGGGTCTGTGGGTGTAGAACAGGAGGATGTGTGAGTCAGGATGAGACTTGGTGAGCAGGAAGTGCTCGATCGAGAGATTGAGAAACGGGTTTTCCGAGGTCAGATGGAAGATGAAGGGGCCCGTCTCCTGCGCGATACGGGACAGCTCTTGAGGGCCCCATACTCGATTTGGGTTGTCGGTGCCGCTGTAAACCCAGCGACGACGGATTGCGGTCAGCAGGTTAGCCTGTGAAGCTTTCGTAGGTTTCGTAGGTGGGCCAAAGGCCGCCCTGGTCGACGAGGTCAGAAGCAGCCATGGAGCTGGCCGCATTGAACAAGCAAGCCAAGTCGAGAGCAGCGGGTCCCATAAGAGGGAGAATCAGTGAAGATCGAAAAGTGCATCGTTGCGGAGCATTAGCATCAGCCGAGCCTGCCTGCGGACGGAAGGTCAAGCGGACAATCGGAACATCGTCGGAGGCTCGGAGGTTCGGGGGTTCGGGGGACAGCAAGCAACAACCACACGTGACCTCTTCTTTCTCCTTTTCCTTAGTCAGCCAGGGCCATAAACGGAATGTCAATGCTGCATCACTGCATATCTACCTACCTAGGTGGGTAGGTAGTAGGCACGTGGTAGGGTATCAAGCTCGCAAGGTATCAAGTCGTACTTTGGGGCCAAACACACTCTTTGCTCTCTCTCCCTCTCCCTCTCCCTCTCCTCCTCTTCCCCTTCTGTTCCTCTTCCTCCTCCGTCTTCAAATTCCTCCGACCTGCATGGACAACTGGCACAAATGGCTTGGCGCCGATTCCCCTACAAAGTAAGTGCTCACCCTCGTCTCCTGCGCTCCTCCAAGTCTCTAGAACCGATTTGGCAAATAGTGCCGGCCAACCATGTCCGAAGTCGATTCCCCGTTGTGGCTGCAAATGCACAAATAGCACCGAAGCTAATGCATTTGCGCCATGGCTTCCAGACCTCGTTCTCAACCACAGAACTTTTCAGGAAAGCCAGAGGGCCCCGGATTAATCATCGTCTGCCCGCCGTTTGCCTGCAGACACCGACCCGCCAGCATCCTCCTCGACATCCAGAACGCCCAGATTCGTATCCGACCAGGGCTCTCGCCAGCTGGTGCCTGACGCAGTGTAGAGTCCCTGCCTGGCATCAGCCACCCGATGCGCTCTTCCAGATTCGATCTCTTGATGAAGTTTTTCCGAGTACAAAAATTGTCTCATCACTTTCTTCGTGTCCTCCCAACCCAACAATCCCATGTCGCTGGATTGACTTTGATACTGTTCGCGGAACCAGCGCTCGTCTGCAGTGCTCACGGGATGCACTTGCTCCGCTAATGATCCTACATACAGGGCCCACAATCGCAGCCGCCGGAATTGCGCAGCGTCATCCTCTGAGACGCTCTCCGTCAGCTTCGTCCGTAGATCGGTCAGGAGCTTGAGCCCAAATCGCACCGGCTCCGGTGATCCCAGGAACATGGCCGTCATCAACGCCGTCGCAACGCAAGTGTAAGCCTGTGTCAGCGGCCGCTGGAACAGGTGAGGATAGATGGCTACATTCACGTAATGATCTGCCAGACGCGAGATACAGTCGAACTTGCGCAGTTGCTTCCATCTCAGCAGCTGATCATCGCTCGGGACATCGTGAATCTGGGTGTAGTCATGCGCTTTGAAAAGTTCCCGCAAGTCGGTAATGACCGCTTTCATAAGAGCATGCTCGACCAGCGGATCGATGGTGGCGGCGTGGTCTCCGAAAACCCCTGCGGACAGCAAGCGGGCCTTCCAAGGCTGACTTAAGGGCCCAGGTGTCCACTCCGAAGCAGGAAAAAGCGGGCGAGTTTCGTACTTGAGAGCAAAGTAGCAATCGCAGGAGAGGAGATCCTCACGGAACCAGGCATCCATCAGGATGACCCCGCCCGCCGCGTTGACGAGGTTTCGCAGCATCTTGAGGTGCATGCGCGCGACCGAGGTGTTGTCAACAAGTGTTTCGGACGAAAAGAGCTTCAGTATGGCTTTGAGGGTTACCAGGTCTTGCGTTCCAGGGCGAGCCACTCGCTGCCTCAGCTCTGTCATCGCCTGATCCTGAAAGTATCGGGATTGGTATGCAAGACTCTCGTCCTCAGTCAGGACGGCCATGGCAGCAGCGAGAAGGCTTAGATATGCATTGGCGTGACAGACGTCCTGGTTGATCAGAGCTGCATCGTCCCAACTCCTGGCGATCTCGTATGAGCCCTCGTCCTTGTCCGATTCTCTGGGCCAGCTTTGGGGAATGAACACTTCATAGGCGAATGCAATTAGGTTGTTCACCAGCGGAGTCATTGATAAGGAAGTCGCCTCGAATGGGCTTGTACCGGGGTCTAGTGGCCTGTTGAGCGAAGCCAATATGGACGTAGGATCATCCTCAACCATGCTCGAACGCGTCGATGGCGTTGATGTAGTTGACGTTGGCAGTCCGCTACTGGACGCTTGACCGGAGCTGATACCAGGATAGCCAAGCTGAAGGGGTTGCTCGGCCGTCCATGGGTCAAATTCAAACGGAGTCGTCGGGGGAATGGCTCTCGACTGTGCGGCGCGTGTTAACCGCGCCCTCTTGTTAGGATGCTCAGATGAAACTGGACGTACAGACTGTGTTTGCGGCAGCGATGGCACCGGCTGCTGCGCTGGCGGCTGCTGCGGCGCGAAAGAGGGTTTTGGCTGTTGTGGCTGTTGAGAAGGAGGGGAAAGTGGCCCCACGGGAACATTGGCAGACGCTCGTAGCTTTTTCGCTTGCTCTTGCTTCTTCCAACGCTCATAGCGGTTCATCACATGCCAGGATACGGCGGCATTGTGGTCTTTGGAGTCAATGTTGCCGGCGTCCTTGTTGACGAAGGAGAATTCGCCCTTGAAGGGGGCTGGCTGATCGGGTGAACGCTTGTCCTTAGACATGGATCTTTGATATAGCTGACGGGCGATGTCGTCCACCAGGGAATGCTGATACACGAGAGTAGTAGCCATCTTTCCGGCAGAGCGTCAACCCGGCTGTTTTGAAGGAGAGGGTCCATGATGAAGACGGGCGAGAAGGCAGTAGGCCGTTCTATAACGATTTCCAAATACTTAGCTGAGCATTTGGATTGCGATGGAAGCTATCGCAGATCTTCAAAAGGCCTCAGGTCCAGACACGAGGCGGCCAATCCTGGAGCAATGCTGTTAGGACTAACCCATAATTGCAGGGCAGCTTTGCAATTCTATTGGAGGCTGGCCGGGGTTTCAGGAGAAGCTTGAATGCGATCTTGAGTTTGATGGTCCATGGACGGCCTCTTTTTTTCTCGGAAGAAGCACCAGCTGATGCCCGCGCACCGCGCCTAAGGCCCGGAAAGACAAGCGTCGTTCTTGATGGAGTAAGTCGTATCATGTTTCCAGTGGGTGCCAGGCATGGTGCCAGGATATCTCGAGCAAATGACATAAGCACCTTTTCCCACGGAAAATGCGCCGACACACCTAGGGTGCTCGCAGTCCCATGGGAATCCAAATCCACGCTCGGCTCGAACCGTGGTGTTTTCGTTCGTGTTACGCCGCCGAGGGGATCGGGCGGATACGAGCGCCAGGAGGAAGTTATGGATGGTAGTGGATGGTAGTGGATGGTAGTGGATGGTAGTGGATGGTAGATGGTGTGCCATGTCTGCGCCGCAATGGCTTAAGTCAGACCCTCGTCATTCTCTTCAATCAACCCGGTAGTCCGCTTTCCTGAGAAGGGATAGTGGTGCCCTTAGCCCAATGTTCATTCTGTAATCAATCAGAATTAGCTAAGCCAGAGAGGAGGAAGCGTAGAGAAGCGACAACGAAAGAGAAGAGAGGGGCCGTGTTGACTAACCCGATCCTCGAGCCATTTGAATGTGCCGAAGCTACGCCGTCGGTCGTTGGTCTTTGTAATTGCACACTGCGTCCGTAGCAGCGGATGACCAATTCCCCGGGTTAACAGCACGGAAAAAGCATGGCAAGAGACTGGGGTTGTCGGCTGCCAACCCAACCCTCTAGTCGGCTGCCGTTTTCGCGAACAGTTCCTGCTCTTTACTGGATTGACTGTAGTCTGTAGACCCCGCGAAATGCCAATCTCAAATGACCTCGTTGGGTGTTTTTTCGGTCGATTGTCGCGCAGAGGAACAGTACTGAAAGGGCTGGATAGCTTGGCTGCGGTGGTCAATTTTCGGGTCGGCGGTTCCAAGGGGTCTTGATGATTTCAGTTTGCCCGCCAGGGCTCACTCCGTACAAGGACTTTTGTGGTCCGTGAGGCTGCGCACGCAGCTCATCCGTCTTGGACGTGGTGACTAGGTCCTTCATCGGCGCAGTCGCAAGGTCGGGCCTCGAATACCTCGAGATCACGATGACGTCGCCCGCATTCGAGGTTTGAGCCCAACGATTCTGCAAGGCGCAGATGCTGCAGGCGAGAGTACAGGTTGACCGAAAACTGAGCAGCTCTCAACCAAGGAATCTCCGGTCAAGGCCTGCAGTTGTGATACAATTGACAAGTCTGAAGGACGGCGCATTCTCTCCGCCGCTGGTAGGAGTTTTCCTCTGAGCGAGGTTTTGTAGACTCGCGACAAAAGAGTGTCTCTATCACGGCCAGATGAGTGGGTCTATTATATAGCCCTGAGCAATACCCCAATTGGGAATGCTGCCTGAATGTCTTTGTAATGCCACTGCACCAGATCGAGACACGAACAGGCTACAGACCTCTCCAGCAGGGAAAACAACAGCGCCTCTAACCAGACCGGGTCCGTACGCCGGGTGGAATTTGTCAGGAGCCCAGTACGAGCAATCGCGAGGCTCAGTCAAGCAACACGGTCCGGCTCCCCAGAGGCCACAACGCGCCCAAAAAAGGACACACCTCCTGCTATTTAGTATGAGGGGGGCATTTCCGAGCCCGATTTCCTTGGCCTCCAGCGGCATTGGATTCATCTGGCTTGAAAGCGAAAAGATGGGTGCAGTTGTGGTTCGGCCATTGTCGTGTTTGGAATATGCCCTGAGCGTGCCATTGGCACCGCTTACAGCATGGAATAAGCCACACCGCAGCCTGCACTATTGACATCTGGCTTGGTCGAGAAACTTGTCCATGGGTGAACTCCCGAAGATGAACGGAGTCCCCTGGCTCGTCTGGAAACAGTCGACTGCCGCTGCCCCCAAAGCGACCCTCATATTGCTGTCGGTCACCGGGAGGTGGTCACGTCGGCCAATTGCGTCCAACCACAGAGGCCGAGGAGCAAATGCCTGCCATTCTCAGAAGACAAGATATTGCCCAGATTAGACTAGTATACCATCTCCACATCGAACTCCCCAAATCAGGAAAGGCATCGCTATGTGATATAGTGGTGCAATAGATGCGAGGGTAACAAGCTTGAGATGGTGATCGGACGGCATGTAAGCTGGGGGAATCTCGTGAACTTCAGTCACAAAATCGTAGGACAGCAGATGAACTTTGCGAATTGATAGATATCTCCAATTCGTTCTGCTGCGTCTTCTTCGCACGGAGGGCAACCTGGCAGTCACTAGGTCACATCCAAGGAGAAAGGCATTGTCGCATAGAAGGTTGCTGCAAGTATATGGGAGAAAGCTGGCCTTGGGGAAGTCAACATTGAATGCAATTCAGGGCTTCGTAATGGCTTCGACCTGATGAGGCAGGCCAAAACAGAAGGCGAATTGAGACAACTGTATGCTTCAATCCAGACGATTTCCCTTCGATCATATCACCAACAGCTTGGTCACCTACCAGCAACAGTCATCGTTTGGCGACCTTCAGTCTCACGGCAGCTGGACAGCTTCTAGAATGTTAACGGTCTAGAATGTTAACGGCAGTCGAGAACCTCAGCGGAGTGGCAGCGGAGAAAGAATGCCATAATCTGGAAAAGGGACGCTGACACGTGCTGGAACCACACGAACAGCCTGCCAACTTGAAACAAAGGATCAAAGCCACTAAATTTAAAGTGTGAGCGGTTCGGGGATGGCTTTAGGGAGGCATAATGATGCGCATAAGGCGGCTGTCATATCCGCAGTGGCGCTTGTGGAGCGTGTCAGGCAGAATCCCTGTGGCTGATCGAGAGCCCAAGGAATCCATGCAGTCCATCTCTTCCTCTTGCAATAACTCCTACCAATATGTTTTGGGAGGGTGCAACCCTGATAGCCAGCAGGGATTCGTCCGCGGAAGCAAAACCTTGGTGTGCGCAAAAACTTATCAATGTCCATATCATGGCAACATGTAGATGTTACTCTTCTTACTCGCCACCCTTTTTATCGTGTTCGATTGGGCAGAAGAGGCCACTGCTGAAGGCTCTCGAGGTGGCATGACTCGTGAAATAGTGGATGACCACTGCAGTGGGTGCCAGTTTGGCTTGAGACGGCTTCGCCAAACAAGATGCCGAACTGTGCCGCACAGGGGATGGAGCCGAAGGTCCGTCCGAGGTTGGGATCAGACACAAGGTGGTGGCGGAAAGAATACTAGAGTACAGCGAAATCGCCAGAAATGCGGGGGATCTCTCATCAACCGCCAGCAACTTGCTGGGCGCTACCGTCGAGACTAGTTGTAGGAGTGTGAGATGGGTTGGGTGCGTGCCAGATTACCATAGCTGGCGGGTTCACAGAAGTATTCCGGATTCGCAGACAAGTAAATCAGATGTACCTCGTAGGGTAGAGGCATATTGGCTCCGGAGACTCCTTCGGCTGTTTTTTGTCAGTTCCATTTTGCACTGACGCAGAGGAGCAACTTCTGATAGAAGTGGTCTGTTTGCGCGTTGATGCACTAAATTATCTCTCCCAAAGAGTAGTAGCCGGGCTACCAGGAGGTGTCCACCCTCGCTGTTATTTCAGGGAAGGGTATAATCCGACTCCTTCTAGTAAAGAGGAAGCAATCACAGTGATTGGGACGGCATTTTCCAGCTTGAAGCACATGGAACCAAGCTGATCCACCTGTATGTGGACCTTGTGAATACAAAGTCCACCATCGGTGGAGGCGCTGGTTAGTTTTCCGGCGAAGGAGAAGTTCGTCTTCTTGAGGCAAATCCCCACCTCAGTGCGTGGTGGCAACGGTCGGAGCCTGACACATGTCTGCTGAGAAGGATTTAAACGGCCTTTGATTCGAGTTCACTTTGCCATGTTCTGCGTCCCGGTAGGCACCCTCAACTCGTTTAGAATGATGGGTGTCCAAGATGGACGAAAAGTGAGCCCTGAGACGTGTGGTTGGTAGGAACCCTGACAGTGCTGGATGCGAACAGGCAAGGGGGCTAGTTCCGGCAGTGTGCGCTAACCCATGGGTAGTCCTCCGCTGATCTCAAACGATCGCGACGATCGCATGCTCAAGGTTTGCACGGTCGAACTGGGAGCATGTGAAAGGTTCGGAGCCAAACCATGGGGATTCGTGTCGTTCTTGTTCGCACCATAGCCAACCACACCAGTTGAGGGCTCAGCTACTGTCGTTTGCCTCGAACTGTCACCATCAACACAAGCAGCATCAGGCTCCTAGGGATTTGTGGTGACGTTGCCAGAACGGCAGGGCCAAAGTCTGTTGTTAGGGTGCCTCTAGTAGTCAGAGCGGGCAGCAGCGGTAGGATTTGTTGGCTCAATGTGGCTTTCTCCTAGTTTCCGTGCTTCTTCTCGGCGGCAGATTCCATTCGCTATTCAGGCCTTGATCCCCAACCAGTTTGAGGAATGGTATGTTGAGCCCTGACATAACTTTCTGCACCCTTCTCCACACTTTTTGCTGGCCGTCATTCCTCGTACTCTGGCAGCCAGGAACGGCACGCGCCCAACATTCAGTCGCAAAGTGCTCTGTTTGCGATATCCATAGAGGGAACACGGAGGTCCCTCCATGTGCATGCAATTACTGCTTCTCCGTCTTGGAGTGCTGTAGAAAGGCACAAGAGCGTTGCTGATGGAGAGTACGGCATTCCGACATCATGTTCGATGTTTTGAGGGGAACGCATATGCACTGTGGACCACCAAAACAGGGTGCTTTAGGCCACCACGTACTCGGTAGACGAGCTGGCTCTGTCTAACAGGGTCAAACCACGCAGAATACAATCTGAATTTGATCAGAAGGGTCTGGATCCGTACTGGGTCAACCACTACCTCGTATTCATACTGCGTAGGTGGTCTGGAGATAGTTGTGGCGACTGCGCGTGTCCCAAAGCATCGCCTTGACGATAAGCCAAAGGACCCCAACTCGTTCTGTCAGTGCAGTCAGGCAAGGTGTATGCAGATTCATGCTGCAGTCTGCATGAGCTGCGAGTGCATCAGGGAGACGGCTGAATTGTCAACCTGCAGAATCGAGAACGTGTAACCCTTTCACGGGCGCAGAGAAAGCCCCGACGTGCCGGGGGTGAGAGATTTTTACTTTCCAACCAGCGTCATTGTCATGAACGAGTTTCTGTCTCGCACTGTAGATTCTTTGACTCCCTTGCACCTGGGGCCATTCTCTGCACCTTTTCCAAACTTGACACCTCTGGTCCCCTTGATCCTGAATGCGTGCGAAAGCGACCCAGGCTAGCTAGGATTATGCGAGTGATGCCCTGTCGCGGTGGGTGAGAGTAGCAAGGATGTAGAGGGACCAAGGGCCGTAGCGACGCAGGCGTCAAGTAGTGGCTTGTTCGTGGAGAGATGGACCATGGTGGCTGTCTGAGGCATGCCACTTTGGCGAGCAAACAATCCCAATCCCCGTCGTCTCCGTTCTGTTTTCGCCTCAGCTCCTTGTCTTTCTCTTGAGCCTTTCCTGCTTCCCTTCCGCAATATGGTTGTTGCTGGTGCACGGTCGGGTTTGTCGAGCTGTGAAGAGAGAGCGGCCCGCAGGCGACTTTCCTCTTGCTGTGGTGGCTGTCGGCAAAAAGTCTAGCTCCAGTCCATTTGCTGCCCACCACCCAGCGTGCCCAGACGTAACTAGGCCTGGGGCCACCAGCCCTGAATAGGCACTGAGATGCCGGCTAGGCATTATGTCCGGCCTCCACTGTGCATCAGTTGAAGCGCACTGGGCACTCACTGGCACTGATGATCCCACCAAAAGTAGCCCACCCCCTCCCTGGGCCCTCCGTCATCTTTTTGGCGGCACACCACTGCACTTGCTGGGTGCTTGGGCTGCTGTTGCTCGCTAGGTGGCTAGTTATCGTCCCCATCCGCAATCCAACAGACTCACCCACTGATCAGACTGATTGACACACTGACCTGACTGACTGACGATCAAACTGCCACTCGCAACACCCACTCTCTTCTTGTTCTTCCACAATCCTTTTCCTTTGTACCTCGCACATATCTCTTGAACAACTCTCTGTTTCATCCCATTGAGCAGTCTACTTCGACCACTTGTCGGGTTACCACACATTGTCCGCGCCCTCTGCATCCATTAGCGGGCTGTCGATAATGAGAGCGTCACTCATCCGCCTCCTCACCCCTCCCCGACACTAATTCGAGGCCCTCGCACCCACGACTCGAAGAGACATATCCTCCTTCCCTGGGTAGCCAGAGCTTGCAAGATCAGTCGAAGGGTCTTTCGCCCAGGATTTTGGGTTTGCCCATAACTGAAGTCGGCCTCGAACCACACACTTCCCTCTTCAGAAATTTGCCTGCCTGAGGCAGGTGTCTGAGGGGGAATACCTTGGTGTTCTGGGGGCATACAAGAGTTCAGATGGCAGTCACAAATGTTTGCCAAAGGGCTGGTGCTTGAGTAGAGGCGCTGTCGGCTGAAGTTTGAGACTGTTCTCTGCACAGTTTCTCCATGTCCAGCGCCCTCTTGACGGGACAAAAGTTTTTACGATTGATCTTGAAGCAATGCCAGACAACAACGTCGGCATAAAATGGGCTCCTGATCTGCAGCGAGCCTCTCACGGTGTAAACACTGTTGGACACGTCAGGGACACTGAGAGGGATAGTGGGACCGGTCTCAACGACGAACTGGCGGAAGACTTATCTCAAAGTCTCGGCACAGAATCCGACACTCAACGAAATACTCCTACCGCTCTTTCTGCTCAACGTCCGTCCGAACCAGTGGATGAGGATGTGTTCCATGAGCTAAACTGGAATTCTAAGTATGGGATCGCCGCGTCGCCTGGGTTTGCCCCGCTCAAGTCCCAGCAATCCCTTCCGTCGTCGACCCAGAATTCTTCAAGTTCATTGAAGGCTCTCGCCGAGCGCGACGCCGAGACGTCGCCTAGTTCAGCGGCTTCACTCGTCCACCGCGCCCTGTCGACCAAATCCTCATACGGCCAAATTCGTGGCCGTCGTCCATCTCATTCTAAATCATTCTCTACTTCCTTTTCAAACTCGAATCGTCTTTCCAACAACGAACACCCAACCTATCCTATCCAGTCATTTGAAGCACTTCAAGCTCAGTTCCATGCCCCACGGCCAGCGCGGCCTCTCCGCACGAGAAGCTCGCATCCGGCTCAAAATCTCCTGTACAACGAAATGTCCACGTGGACCAGACAAGGCCGCGAACGACATTCACCAAACACTCAAACCGCAATGACTGCAGACAATACTCCAATGTCGAGTCCAGGCCTTCTCCATTCAGGCGACCGCGTACCCTCAGCCTCGTCACTCAGCGACGCCGACCGTCAACCACACCATCTTCAACCTCCTAAGGAAACCCACACTGTCGAAATCGATCATGATCACTTCTCCGGTAACAAGTTTGTCAACAACTACGAGATCATCGAGGAGATAGGACGTGGAGAACATGGAAAAGTCAAACTCGGCAGAGACGTCGAGAGAGGTACCGTTGTTGCCGTGAAAATCGTCCCAAGATACTCTGGCAAGCGGCGACTTGGCCGTCTAGGAGCTCCAGAAGATCGGACCAAGCGCGAGGTAGCCATTCTGAAAAAGGCAAGGCATCCAAATGTCGTGAGTCTCTTGGAGGTCATTGATGACCCCAACAAAAACAAGGTCTACCTCATTCTCGAATACGTCGAAAAGGGTGAAATCAAGTGGAGGAAACCAGGGGTGCGCGAGATCCTGGCAGTAAATAATACCAGATTCGAGCAAGAGAGAGCAGGGGTCGACCTTCCTCTTGAACCAACAGAAAGGGACCTTTTCAGTGTCGGTCAAGCCAGACGACGCCATGAGCTTCAAGACAGAGCGCGTGCCCTAAACACGAACCCAACCCCCAACTGGAGCCTCGAGCATGGAGGTGAGGATGAAGAAGAGGATGAAGAAATAGCCGAGATTTCTCGTTCTGCGTCCCGACAGTTCTACGAGTCCAGCCATCCCAGCAGAACCAGTTCTCATGATGAGTACGTGGAAGGGGCACTAGCGGGTAGCATGTATGGCGCTTATGCTCCAGACGCCTATCGCGGTCGGACTTTCAGCATCGCCGCCAGCGTTGGCGCGCTCTCTCACATGTCATCTGAGTGGAATTTCGACGAGACCGACGACGAGCACGCTTATGTTCCTGCTTTGACGCTGGAGGAAGCTCGTCGAGCCTTTCGAGACACGCTTTCCGGCCTTCAATTTCTGCACTTCATTGGCATCATCCACCGTGATATCAAACCAGCAAATCTTTTGGTCACAGGCAATGGGACTGTCAAAATATCTGACTTCGGCGTCTCGTACCTCGGTCATCCTAAGGATCCTGAGGATCCTGACTATAAATTGACTGAGAAGGATGTCTCTGCCTTGGACGATGAAAAAGAACTAGCAAGATCGGTCGGGACGCCTGCTTTCTGGGCTCCTGAACTTTGCTATGAAGATCCATCTATGTTTGAAGAAAAGGAAGGCCCGAAAATCACGGGCGCACTGGACCTTTGGGCTTTGGGAATCACACTTTACTGTATGGTTTACGCCCGCTTGCCATTCTATGCCAGTGAAACTATGGGACTCCACGAAGCAGTGTGCAGGACGGAGGTCTTTCTCCCAAAAACTCGACTTGTGCCTGTTGACACGTCTCAAGACAAGCCAACCTCCGAGGTGCCAAATTCGATCAATAGTAACAAAAGACTAGACTATGAACTCAAATTCGAGGTCGTCCCTGATGCAGTACGCAACCTGATTCGTCAGCTCCTGATCAAGGACCCTGCGAAGAGAATGACGATCGAACAGGCCAAGAAACATGAATGGGTTGTCGAGGGCTTGCAAGATCCGTCAGGGTGGATCAAAGGTCCTGACTTGGAGAAGGACAGCAAAAAGAAAATTCTGGATGTCGACGAAAGGGAGATGTCGCACGCTGTTGTTAGGAGAAATATCATTGAGCGCGCTCTCAGCACGGCTGGTCGCCTCGCCGGCAATCTGCTTGGAAGAAGCAATACGCGGAAGCGTGCTCCCAGTACAGCAACGTCGGCCAGCCACTCGAGCGACTCCATTGCCTCGCCTGCAGGCTCCAGTGCGAGTACTGTTGGAAGGGCCGAGCGAGATAAGATTCGCGATACGCGTCGAGCTAGTCTGCGTGGCGACGAACTTCTGACGGCTTTGAAAACTTCGAGAGAAACCACCGAGCACCCATTGGCACAAAGTCAAACTGCCAGCCCTGACTCAGCCGTGCAGGAAAATTATTTCAGCGAGTCGTTCTCAACCCAAAAAGCTGCGTCGTCGGCTTGCACTCCAATAGCCGTACGTGATGAACGACCTCCTGCTCCTGACAGAGCAACCTCGACTGTATCCACTGCCGACTCTGTCAAGACAATCAGAGCTTCGCAAATGCAGCGATTGCCTTTACCATCGTCGGGCTTAGCCCGTGACGAACGACCTGTCTCCCTTGACAGAGGATTCAGAGCCAGGGTCGATGGGCTTTGGGAGGGAACTGCAAAGACTTTGGCGCGTATTGGGAGTCGAGAACGACGTGCCCCGCGAGATGACCGGTCACCAACATCCAGTCGACATTCATCCGAAAGTGACGCCCGAGCAGAACCCAGCATCGCCATGAGCACGGCTTCGGCTGCAGGTGCCATCGAACCACCTGATGTCCTTCGTGATGCCGCTCTGAACATTGACCAGAACGCCTCTCCGCCGACGCCACATGTAATGACTCAGGGTGAAATGACCCACGGTGATCATCGAACGTCATTTCAAGCACCGACATCGAGCCAAGATGCATTTGAACAAGCTCAAGAAGTCAATCAACGGCGTCATCTACAGGAGCTGAATTCTCAATTTGAAGCAGCCATTGAGGCTATGTCGAAGCCACAAAGTCTCGTGACCGACGAATGCCCTCCTTCTCCAGATGACATTGCCTTCCTCGAGAAACAGCGCACACAAGTCTTAGGTGAACCATCAGCGTTCTCGCTCGGCTCAAATGCCATTCAAGGAGGACCGTCTGCAAGCACCATCGCCTCGTCCCTAGACGGGTATGGAGCCAGCAGTGTGTCGCAGAGCATGTCAAATCCGAGTATTGGGGTCATCTCTGGTGCTTCTTCGCCCCCAGGAGAAGGCTTCTTGGGCTCGGCATCCACGGAAACGGCTAGAGATATGCCTGCCCTCGGCAAAGAGCCACTCCCTGAATTCATGCGGACTGCGGACACAATCACCAAACACGGCCGCCCTGCACAGATTGCGACCGGCCCGTCGCTTGAGCAATGGCAGAATAGAACCCACGACGATGACCACGACGGCGACGACGACTCCGACGACGGAATGATGATGCCGGCTTCTACAAGCAAGAAATTTTAATGTTCTCCCCATTGAGGGAAATCCAGTAAAACAAACGAACATCAGTGACGACACTTTCCACGCTCTTTCATAACCGATGAGGAACTTGGCTCGAATTTTCGATAGATACCCCTGCCTTTAGAGACAAAGCAACGGCGCGCCGGAGAGGGCAAGGGATTTTTGTGCATTGGCATTGAGCGGGGCTGGAAACAGGGAAGGCCTCCAAAAGGGTAGGGTGTCTGTGCTTGGGTTATGCGACGGTCCTGGCGGTCAATGTACATCAAACCTGCAGAAAAGTCGCATGCTGTTTTTCATCTCGACTCAGGGAGGACTCCATGTACATTTAGCTGTGTAGCTTGAGCTGGCGACAATGGGTTCACGATGAGGGAGGCTCTAGTGACATTCTCCAGGTTCGCCCTGGACCAAAAGGTGAAATGACAATGACGATTGCACTGAAGAACGCTCTGGTCGGAACGTGTGATAGCCTTTTATTTCTTTGTTGGAGGCGAGGCTGAGATTCGTATTGCTCCCTTGACCACGGAATCAAGGTTCTTTCCAAATGCTGCGCTGGACATCAACACTGCCGCATGTCTCGTTGCATATATATCGTAGACTGTATCAGCTAGCGCAACCGATCACTACCCTCTCTTGAAGATGAGGGCGCAGGTTGAATAATGGAGGGGACAAGAGGCAGGATCAGGCTGGGTCTCACGTGAGCGAAGTGAATTTGCCAAGCGCATGCGATCTACTCCGAGTCGGTACCAGTGCTTCAATGCAGGAAGCTGGATGCTGTACGAGGTACCTCGTCGAGCCTGCTTCGACATTTATTTGGTACATATTGTTCCTGGCGCCGCTAATTCTTCCTCTGTCTCTCTTTTCCATTGTGGGTTATATGCGCAGCGCCAACCAGGAGCCTGTCATACTATGACAATCCTCACATGCACATTTTCCTCACTCGTGCTCCCTTGCCCGACTCTCCGCTGTGACTGAATTAAAGTCACTGATTGTACTGTAACGGGATCCGCCAACCGCGTCCGGAGTCTCCAAAATGCAGCGGATTCTACGCATCAACCTCCAAGCCCGCAATCAAACCCTCAAAGCCACTCGTCGGAAAAACTATGAAAAGTTACGAGAAGACTGGAAAGAATACGAGACCCGTCTGGTCCAGACGGAGAAAGTGAAAAATGCCCACATCAAAGCCGAGCGCAGAGCCCGGAGGGAGGATTGGATCATGGGGCCTCTGGCACCGAAACGAGACGTCGGCACAAAGCAAAACTTCTATGGCACTGTGAGCAATCTGCTTTACCAAGGCCCAGTCTTTCCTCCGAGGGTTAGGCATGGGCCTAAGAGTAATGGGTGGGACCCTGTCGGAGGTGAAGGACTAGAAGAGGAACAAAAAGAGTGGGAGGGGTTCGGAAACGAAGGGAATATTGTGGAGGGAGATCGAGTTTGCATTGTGAAAGGGAAGAAGCAGGGTTTGATCGGGCAGATTGGCAAAGTGAAGGATGTCAGTAGCGATGCCAAGGAGCTGAGAATAGAGGGTCTGAATATGGTATGAACATTGTCTTTGGGGAACGCGCTGAATCTTGCAACTTTGCATCTAACTTCAACTAGGCCGATGTTGAGATTCCGGAGAGCTTTGGCGAACAGCGCGAAAAAGTGCACTTCTCATCCCTCGAATTACCCATACCCATTGCCGACGTACGCCTTGTCTATCGCCTCACCGACCCTGCGACTGGTCGCGACAGGGATGTCATCGTAAAGCACATCCGTGGCGGCGCTCCTTATTTTCAGCGCGAACCTAACTCGCCTCTACCCCGACATACACGCTACATCGTGGGGGAAGATGTCCAGATCCCATGGCCGGAAGCTGAAGCTCCCACGTATCAAGCCTTCGAGGGAGATACATCGCGCTACGATGTCGAGTCACAAACCTGGACGCCTACGATATATCAAGCGCCCCTGCCCTCTCAGGAGATATTTGACGACCTGACAGAAGATGATAAATATCGGCGAGATAGAGCATGGCACGAAGATGAGTATGTGAGGATGAAGATCTTGGAGGATGCTCGTGCAGAGTGGTTCAAGGAGAGAAAGATTCAAGGCCCCTTGGCGAAGATGGCTGAGGAGAAACTCAAGACGGTGGCGCAGAGGGTTGAAGCAATGAAACAAGCCGGAATGAGTGAAGAGACGAGGAAGGTTTTGTTGGAGGAGATGAGTGCAGCAAGGGCAAGAAGGAGACTGAAAACAGCAGCGTGATGCGAGAACTCCGACCGCTGAACAGCATGGCGTAGCCAAATTTGGCGCCCGAGTGCTTGGGCTGTCGTTATATGGCCCTACTGTCTCCATGAAAGCCTATACTTGGATGTAAAATACACGCTCGTAGCGGCAAGTCTTGTCACTGCTTGGTCACGGCGTTTGTACATTTAGAATATTAGACACTCCCCCGGGACGACAGCATGGAAAAAGTTCCTGATAATGGATATTCAATCAGTCTCCATGTTTTTGTAGATTAGCTCGTCTCCTCGTGGGGACACACTCTGTCAGGTAACCAGACTCCCTACAAACTCCACGTTCTTGGCTTTCCCTTGCTGCTGTGCGGCCAACTGGGGCCACTGCACAAGAAAGCGGTGCACAAACGGCTTCAATAACCTCCCGCTTAAACTGAGCGTTTTCACGCGGGCCCAGGATTCGATGAAGATGGTGCGCATTTGCCCGGATTGCGTGAACTCTGCCTCGGAGCCAGCGGTGGAGGGGCTTGAAAGGCCGAAGAATAGGAGGATGATGGACGCAAGGAAGACGATAACCCCGGTTCCGGGTCCATTGGTCAGTATCAAGTCTGGATAGGACGGCGGAGCTTTGCCTCCAGGTTGTGATTTGAAATCTCGATGTGTGCCGCGAAGAACATTGAGGCAATCCCACAGACATCGAAGGCTTGTGACAGGAGTCGTGAGCAGGGACTGGTGAACACGTCTGGCGCGATGGACTGTCACCACGCTGTAGTTCAAGGCAGCGTCTTCGGGGACGAGCGAGGACGAGGACAGGTTCGATAGCATCTCGGCCTCAAAATCTCGGGCTTTGGACGTGGAGAAGTCATCCCCCGAGCTCACCACGTAGGTCCGCTTTGTGAAGTCGAGTTGCAGCCGACGGTATTGGTTCAGGATGTTGAGCATCTCTGCGGTGTGCCCTCCTGAGCCGAGCACAACCAACAAATGGGTCGGATTTCTCGACGAGGGCGGAGGGCGTCGAGAGACTGGTTGCCGGCGGAGCACCTGGACGAGCCGAAAGAATGATAGGCAGAGCAGGATGAGAAGGCCGGCAAAGATAAAGAGTAATGGTTGTTGGATTGGAGAGAGAGTGATGAGCGGCGTGAACATGGTTATCCAAATGATTGTACCACCTGGGAAGGAGCCTTGCGGTTGTTTGAGTGGTGTCTGATGAGCTTTCATTGTTGACGAGACAGAATCACACTCTGACATTTTTGATTGAATCAAGGCTTCTGTATCTGTTTCTGACCAGGATCTAAGCGAGGTTTCCGGAACTGAGATGCCCGAGACATGGTGAATTCCATTTGGATGTAATTAGCACTGTTCAAAGCAAAAGATGTTGGTAGCAAAGCATGGTCGGGGCCCTTGCGAGCAAGGCTGAGGATGACGAGGCTGAGCGTGGGCTGAGTGTTTCATTCGTTCGGCGATAGAGCCTTTATCCCCAGCACAAGCTAAACCCAAAGTGGTAGACAGTTGACTCCAAAAGTTTGGAACAAGGATGAAATGCTGATGCGTTGTCTGTTGACTCCTCTTCTTCTACAATAGATTGTTGGACGACTAGTCCATATAAGAGCACTCTGGCATCCCAATAGCTAGTGTTACCAACCATGCTAACGCCATCATGCCTGTCACACTCCGCCGGCGCCTGGATTGTCACTACTGCGGACGCAGATCGAAATTGCCAGCGGGGGAGAAGCCCGGTCGCAAGTTTCAATGCGAACACTGCCTTGCCGTCAATTTCTTCGATGAGGTGTGTGCATCCTCCGTTTCGGAGACGTTCTGTCACTGACACAGGCTCTAGAATGGCGAGATAGCAGATGTACCCTTGGAAGAAGCTGCCCCTGCTCAGCGCTTCGCGCAACCGGTCGCCGCAAACCCTCTTCCTGACGACAACTTTTCCTCCCAAGACTCTGTATTCTGTTCAACATGCCTCAAGAACCAGCAGTTATACACCTACAACCTCTCCCAGTTCCTCCCAGATCCTGAGCACCCAGAGTACGACAAAGTGGAGGCCCAACTCCCAGAGTACAAGAAGGGACTCGAACAACGCTACCCCCAGTGTTGTGCCAAGTGCGAACCTAAAGTGAGGGCGCAGTTGCACAAGGCGACCTACAATGCCAGAAGCGACCACCTTCGACGGGTCCTGGAAAGATCACGACAAAGAAGGGTTGCCAGTCGATGGGGTTGGAGAAGTCTTCTTCTCAACGCGGCGGGGTTGGGTTATACCGTCAGTTTGGCTTTGCAAGTGCTCTGGCATCTGTACGGCTCTCAAGTGGTCGGCGGGTCGCCGAATCAAAAATCCAGACCCTTTGAGTGTTTCTCCCAATGGCACTATGTGCCCGAATGCTTCGAAATGATGGAGCCCCTTGTGGGACTTTCTTTGGTTCTTGGACTGCTTTGCATCTGGTGGAATCCAAAGTGGCAGCACAAGCTGTCTAACAGTGAACGGCAGTTGTCGGGTCTAAATGAGTACTACCTGGCACAGTTTCTCCTGTTGGGGCTGAGGTTCAGTGCCTGGATCATCCTGCTTCACAGCCCTCTGTCATTGCGAACGGCAGCAATGCTGCATGCTTGTTTCGCGGTCGCCATCACCGTGCTTGCAGGATGGTCCATTTTTGGGATTACGACCATCACATCCGGCCCTCAGATCAATTGGCACGATGATCCAGCCCCGTTGCTGTCAAGCAGTCAATTTGTGCCACCACCCCCTTTTGAACAACAAGAAATACAACAGCCACCGAATCAGCCTTTCAACATTGAAAACTTGGCAACACCCGGAAGACCCGCTTATCAGTCATGGAATCCTCCCACTCCCCCGCCAGATGGTGCCGAAGCAATGGACTGGACACCATCCCAGCCAACATTCCAACCCGAGCTCAAGCAGATTCGGTACACAGCAGCCGACCCTACGCCCTTCCATGGCACATTACCGGCATTGAATACGAAGGGAGTCCTCAAAAACCAGAATCAAGGGCGAACTGATAGAGAGGCCATAGGTCTCCCACCAGGGTTCTTCGACAAATCGCAGAAGTCGTTGTTCCCTGCTCGTCAAATCGGAACAGCTAGCGAGGCCATAGTGCAACCAAAGTTCTTCGGCCACGAGCGGCAGGTTGATACGGGGCTGGAAAGCATCTTTGACACAGTCTTCTCTCTCCAGGATTCGTCCTTACACCGAGCCGAACCTAGGCCAACTTCGGATGCAAAGCCTTTCAGAGCTGCACCTGCGAAGGAGCCTAGTCGCCGGCAGCCAAGCGAGCATGGAACTCTACCCGCGTTGAAGCTCTTCAGCTGCGTGTCGATCTTCTCACTCATAGTAGCCTTGGCTGCATGGATCTTTGAAGCTGCCATCAGATCTAAGACTTCCCAATTTGGCTACTACACCGTCCTTCTCAGTGTGGTCGTACCATTTGGTCACATCATAATCATTCTTTCTTCGCGCCGTATCCCTGGTCAAACCTCAAATATACTTCTGTACACTTTCGAAGCAAGCTTGCTGATCGGAGTTGCTATGGTCCAGGACCAGTTTGGCGAACTATTTCGGGATCTTTGGGACAAGCTTGCCATTGCCGTCGTGGCTCTCTTGCTCCCGCAGGAGTTTCTGGCACTGACTCGATACCACTGGGCGTCTCAACATCGCACCCAGACCGGTTTACATAAATACGTTGGGCCAGAATCGTTCCCTGAGCCACTGACACAGTCTACGAACCTACACCTCAGCAATGCAGCGGCACCAATGCCTCAGCTTACACGAACCTCTTCGAGCGAGTCGATTGAGAGCCAACAGTCAATACCCACGACTATTGATACCGGGCCATGGGAGACGCCTCGAGCCGACAACTATCGATTTGAATACTTCGACTCATCCAAATCTCCATCGTTGTCAACGAGCACAAGATCTTCAGTAAGTCGGAACCGCCAACCACAAATCCAGAATCGAAACATGACGGACATGGACGGTCTGTCACTAAATAGAGACAGTGGGGTTCCACAACCGAAACAGAGCACAGGTATCACAGATACGCTGAGCCGGATGGGTCTTGGGTCTTCGTCTGGGTCAAACATCGCGGGGCCAAGAACGAGGCGGAAATTTTAATGTGCTATTTTGCTCCAGAGCAAGTGTATGAGTTATTATGGTTTCGTTTGGAGGCAGTCTCATTGCATGTGGCATTCTAAAGCATGGAAAGATTGGATAGCAGAAAGCGACAAGGCGGGACGTCGTATGGCATAGCGTATCATATTATGAACTTTTCCTCATTTCACAACCTAGAGACTGGGATTCTTCATGACAAGGTGGGATTTTTCGAGACCCGAAGGGCGGAAAGACAAAACGACATACTGCTCAACACCCGCCGGGCCCAGTTTATTTCGCCCTGAAAGCGTCTTCATCTGTCCCGTATGGCACGATTCGAAGGCCGCCCAAGCGCAAAATTCGAAACACGGGAATGTATGTAGTCCATTGCCCCTGTCTGTTCCCAACGCCGTGAAAATGCTCATTGCTTTGTATTGCGTGCGAGAACCTATGTCAATTTCTGCTTGATAAAGAACGATCTCAGATGTGACAGCTGCCAGGCGCATGTGACGCCCAAGACGCCCAGCTGGATCAACGTCCACCGGACGATTCTCGCGTTGACGGCTTCGCTTTGGTCGCGGAATTCTGCTTCTCGTTCCTAACACACGCAGCGTTTGGGATCAGCGATCTAACTCTCCACGCAAGACTAACGACGGCGCTGTAGCATTGTGACTTACTCTTTGAAACTTCTGCTCCCGCCTGATGTCTTGCAGTCTGCCGTTCAACTCCCTCACTTTACCAACCAGGGTGTCGATCTTGCCCTTGTCCTCACTCTCAATCTTGCTCGTCTCCCCGATCGCCATGTCGACGGTCAATTTCACTCCTCCCAATCCGTTGCCACTGGTTCCGAACCATCCACCCACACTGACCGCTGCGGGTCCCGAGGGCGTAAAGCAGAGTCTGTGCAGGCCTGCGTCCGCGGCACTGAATGTGAATTTCGACATTTGGTCCGAGGACTGCGTTGTCTGTGTCACGACGCGGTGGTCGTTGTCAAAGGTCTCTTCGACGGTGAAGTGGATGTTGAGGTCGGGCGTGGCGGAAAAGGTCTGCGTCTGAGGCGAGTAGGCTTCGGATTTGTATGTTCCTGCATTTTTCCAGCGCCGAGTTAGTGTCTTGGTCGCCCTAATGTTCTTTTTGGTCTTCAATGCTGGAAGCAGACTCGGATCGGCCGACTCCAACAGCGGTGACGCGATATTTGAAAGACCAGAACACCGAACTAGTGCATCAATCGACTCTCGACGTACCAACGACCAGCGTGCCCTTTGGCAAATCCTCGTAGAAGCACTTGGGCGTCGTGCCATCGAGATAGAAATATAGGGCTTGGGTCGAAGGGATGAGGACGGATGTGACCGCGGCCAAAGCGGCAAGTAAGGATTTCATCTTGCTCTCGATCCTCCAGTCGTCGGAGTGAAGCTGGAACGCAGGGACTGGCTCTTGAAAATAATGACAAGGGCGCAGAAAAGTCGATTGAACAAAATGCCCAAAATTCAACACTAAAGGGACGCACACTTGAATGCGGAGTGCAGGCCCCTTTTTCTCGGGGGACGAGGCACGCGCTGCTTTTTTGCTCTTGAACTCACCAATTGGAATTCAACATGTGTCAGGGTTGCGCAGCCTTGCAGCCGTTGTCAGCCTCGTCTGTCTGGTTCAAATGACACTAGAAGTCACGTGCGTGGTCATTTGAAATATGTCTTGAGTCACTCTCTAACTGCACGCATCTTGCCTGTGTGCACTTTCCTCCTGCTTTCCACTTACCTGGTGTGTACGCTCCACAAAGAGTTCGTCAATGGGCGAACCAAACCCGTCCTGGATTGACGAGATCGCTGTACACTAGATCGACCTCGTATCCCCGCGACCAAGATGGCCTCCACGAGCGACATTCGCGATATTATGAACTTGGGCCAGGCAAGGCCCCGCCAGCCTGCGCCCAAGAAGAAAAAACACATCGAACCTCAACCGCGCGTCACTGGTGTGAAGCGAGAAGTACAAGCTCTCATGGGCGACTCGGTCCCTCCTATTGCCATCGTCGAACAGCGCTCCTACAAATCAAGACCGTCCATCTCGCAGAAATTGTTCAAGCCGCGTCACTGGGAGGAGAGACCGTTTGTGCATGGCGGAAGAACCGATGGGTTGGTGTTGAGACACTGGAAACGGTCGATTCCTGGCTCCAACGCCCGCGCCGCAGCGGCGGCGGCGGTCGCGAATGGCTCGGCAGATGTTGAAATGACGGATGAATCAAAGGCACCAACCCCAGCGATCCAGGAACTACGATTTGAGGAAGAGTACCCGTCGCACAAATGGAATGTCAAGGTCCAGGTACCAGCTTATACGGATGAGCAGTATGAGAACTTGTTAAGGTCGGAGGACTGGACGCGGCAGGAGACCGATTATCTCATGGGACTATGCCGTGACTATGACTTGAGATGGATCATCATCGCCGACAGGTACAGCCCACAAGACATTCAAGCTCCCCAGCCGGCTGCTCAAAACGGTGAGGCAAATGGCAGCGATCTTGTTGCGAAGCCTCATTACCCTCATCGCTCGATGGAAGCTCTCAAACAACGATACTATGCCATTGCCGCAAAGCTGATGGAAGCGCAAACACCCGCGAGCACAATGACCCAGGCTGAATTCCAACTCTGGGAGAAGATGCGTAATTTTGATGCCAAGACTGAGACAATGAGAAAAGCCATGGCGGAGAAACTATTCGAGCGCACCAAAGACGAAGCTGATGAGGAAAGAATCCTCCTTGAAGAACTTCACCGCATCACCAAGAACGAGGACGACTTCATCAAAATGAGACGGGATCTTTATGCGAGGCTTGAACCTGTGGCGCCTATCAGAAGAACTGAAAGGGGCGAGGAGCAGTCTACTGCCATGTACCAAACTTCCGGGGGACTTTCTATGCTACTGCAGAGCCTTCTCGCCAAAGAGAAGAGGCTTAAGCGACCTCCTGTACCTGGCGGCATCGAAAACGGCAGCGCTTCCACTCCCACCGAATCGCAGAGATACGATAAGGGCAGACACCCAGCCCAGTATAATCGACGAGATACTACAGACACTCAGGCTACCGAAGATGTATCTGGCGCGCAAAAGAAAGGCTCAATGTCTCAACCCACCGTTAGAGCCTTGTCATCTCAAGAGGAAGCACGGTTTGGTGTTTCGCATCCACAAGAAAGAATTACGAGTGGCGTGCAGTTCCGCCATGAGAAGATCAACCGCCTCACTATGGCCAAGAGCCAAACTCAGACCACCAAGATTCAGGCCGCGTTGACCGAACTAGGCATCCCGCCTCGTTTGCTCATGCCCACTGAACGGGTATGTCGAGAGTTCGAGCGATTGGTTACCGAGATCAACGTGCTGCTTGATTGTAGGAAGGTCAATGAAAAGATTGCGACTGAGATCAAGATTTTGGAGGAGGCCAGGCGAATCAGGTTGGGATTGCCAAAAGAGGGAGAGCAGCCTACTGCGTCTTCCGACCCAACACAGCCTTCCTATCCTACGACTGCAGATGCAATGGAGGTTGATGATTCTGGAGTGGCAGATGATTCTAAGAGTGGAGACATTAAGAATAACTCAATGGCTGTGGCTGAGGAGGATCAGGATGCTGAAGCCGAGGATGATGTCCCTCCGCAGAAGGTTGATATGAAGAGCTCAGAGGGTCAAGATGGGAAGAATGAGAGCTCTATGCGAGTAAATCAGCAGGTGGATGACGCCGATGCCGATGCAGACGCTGACACGGATCGGGACGCAGCCCAGAAGGGTGCTTCCAAACCGGTTGAGGATCAAGAAGAAGAGAGCGAAGGCGCTAAAACAGGTGAAGAGGACGAAGATGAAGATGACGAGGAGCAAGAGGACGAAGGAGTCACGGGCGTCGATGAGGAGGAGGAGGAGGATGAAGATGATGACGATGCTGAAGAAGGTGCAGACGAAGCTCAAGCTGACCTAGATGAAGAGGATGAAGAGGACGAGGATGCCGATGCCGAGGTTGCGGCAACCCCGCAGAATGAGAGCGACGCGGAAGAGGATAATGGGGATGAAGACGAAGAGGATGAAGATGAGGACGATGAGGAGGAGCCAGAAGTCGAGGCCGAGGCCGAATCTGACGAGGAAGAAAGTGCCCAGGAGGATGACGACGCGGGCTCAGACGACGAAGAGGAAGCCGAGATAAAGAACCAAGACGAGGATGAAGACAATGAAGAAGATGGTGCCCCCGTCGCTGCCGCAGCCGCAGCAGCAGAGGCTGATGATGACTCGGATGATGATGCTGAGGAGGAGCCAGACGAGGAACCACCAGCAGCAGCAGCTCCCAGCGCTCTACCACCGCGCGCGCATAAGCGCTCCGCGAGCGTCATATCCGCGGCCAGTCGTGCGGGAAGTAATCGGAGTGGTATTGGGAGGAAGAAGAGACGGTGAATACTCTAGGTAGTTTGGGTGCTAAGCTCGATCATGTTGAGAGTCGTCTGGTTCTGATCGAACATTGCCTATCTATAGTCCCACTGCCGCAGGGTGGTTGTTTCGTCGGGCGTACCAGCTCTTCCACTTTTCCTGAGCCGCTCAGCTCACTCAGGGTGTATCCGATCTCCCTCCTCTGTTGTCCTGTTGTATCCTGTTGGCCTGCTGTATCCTGTCGCAGGCGAAAAGACAAATCATCACATTTCCCATTCCCACAATTTCTCTAGCTTGTAGGACCCAATTCCACTTCCACATCCCTATCCATCTTCCCATGCGATCCCATCAGTACTGACAAGAGTCCTCTTTGTCATCATCATCATCATTCATCATTTGGGATCAAATAATCCTCTTTCCATCTGCATTTCCCATGCCATCTCCTTACTCCTCCTCGCTGACCTCGCTCTCTTCATCCTGCCAGGTAATCTGCTCTGGCTGTGGATAAGGAGCCTGTGCTGCCTTATTGTTGTCGTTGCCGTTGTTGCCGTTGTTGCCGTTGTTGTCGTCGTCCAGCAGCATAGCGAGAATGCCCGCCACATCGTCGTCGTCGACCTCCAACTGAGAAGAAGACGAGGACTGAGGGTCCTCGCCGGCGTTCACCGACGGGAGGTAATGACCGTCGTTGTGGTCGATAACTTCCAAGTCGAGATCTCCCAGGCGTGCGGCTTGATATGCCTCGTCTTCTTCGGATTCGGATTCGTATGCAGCTTCCATGGCGGGAGTTTTGGCTGCTGAGGTGACACCGCTGGGACCCGCGATGGCGTTGCTGTTTCCGCGGGCGTTCGTCCGCTTTGGTGCCGCAGATTTGGGTTTGGTGACCTTGGCAGGCTTTGGAGCCTTGGTAGCCTTGGGCGCACGCTTTGGAGCTGAGGCGGGTTTCGGAGGCTTCGCGGCTGGGGTGGTTGTTGCGCCGTTAAAGACGGCAACGGCTTCACGGAATCCTGTCCCGGCAGTTGCAGAAGCAGCTTGTTGACGCTTCCACTCTTCTACAGGATGAGGAAGATAGCCGGTTGCCTTCTTCAAAGCATCGTTGTTGCTTGGTTGTATCCAACTATAGTCGGACTGTTTGCGTTTTTGACGCTTCGGGGCGCTGGTCGGTTCGACTTCGGAAGGCGGCGTTGCGAGTGGTGCTGGACGTTTCGGGGGTCGAGTTGCAGGGGCTTGGGAGCTTCCTGCATTGGCCGATGGGGCTTGGGTCGCTGGTGGAAATGCCGCGGTAGTTGTTGTGTTCCCTTGTGGTTCTGTCTCTTGATTAGGACGAGTTGTGGCATGGTTCGGATTGATCGTTCGCCGGTCAGGTTTGCTGCTCCGCAATGATAGCTCTTGCTGAGCAGCATCGGCCAGTAACTGTTGAACTGTGTACTTACCAACAGCCGGACGTGGTGGCTGTGGATTCTCGACGGCGAGGCCAACAAAGTCGAGAGCAGCCTGTTCGACAACTGGAGCTAGTACCGGCACACGGTGGTTGCCGTGGGTTGGACACAGGTGGCAGAGGTCTCCTTTGACGACTACACCGCGGTACTGCTCCCTTAGTTTTTCGATTTTGGCTTCATATGTCTGTTGGAGTCGTGACTTTGTTTCGTGATTCTCCAGAACCGCACGCTGCGTGGTGTTGGGAATTACTGGAAACAGTCTGCCGTTCGGGCCGATCATGAAGTCGTACATGCCTCGAAGCGTGTTGAAGAAGTCTTTGACCATCATGTTGTCGTGGTGCAGCTGTTGGTTTTCTTGTCCCAGCGTCTGATTGTGTCGTTCCAACGTCTGTTTTTGTTGGACCAGCGTCTGATTGTGTCGTTCCAACGTCTGTCTTTGTTGGACCAGCGTCAGATTCTGTCGTTCCAACGTCTGTTTTTGTTGTCCCAGCGTCAGATTTTGTCGTGTGAGTGCCTCGATCTGCCCTTGAAGCGCTCCGACGTTGTTGGCATGCTCTTGTTGGAGCCAAAAGAGCCTGTCCTGATGTAGTCGGAGTTGAGTCTGCAGGTTGTTCATAGCGTCCTGGGTTTGAAACAGTCCGCTGGTGGTATCCTGCTGGCCTTGAGGAGGGAGAGCGCCTCCTTCAAGGTACAGGAAGTCTGGCAACTCAAGATCAACGCCCTCCAGCTCGGGCAAAGTGAGATCCATGTAGGGATAACCGTTATCCACTACGTTCTCGACGAGGAGATCCTGCATGCTGACAGTGCCGTTCATGTCGAAGCTTCCAGTGTAGGCCATGTTGAGACGGAGGAGGGTGCTGTTTTGATGTTTGTGGTGCTTGGGGGTTGAGACTGAGGATGGCGCTGTTTTGATGTGTTTGGTGTTCGGCTAAGATGTTGTGTGGACAGTTGAAGGGACGAAGGGAGAAGAAGTCGATTATGGAAGAGACGAAAACAACTTAAGCAGAGAAGGGACTGCAAGAGCGACAAAAAGGGCTGCTGCTGCGCGAAGGGCCTGCACCGCGAACCAGACGCTGGACGTGACGCGAACCAGACCGGAACGTTCTGCAGAAAGGCTGTAGAGTTTGGTACTGGGCGCAGTCCATGGTTCAAGAGCTAGACTGTCACAGTCAGTGAAGTGGTTCCATACTTGGGCAAAGCAAAAGCTCACCTGCTAGCACTGTCACTTGCACCACGCTGTCGTGACAGTGGCCACCAGCCAATAGCCTAGCAGCAGTCGACGGCATGTCCAGTCACCTAGTCACGCAAAACCCAGAGAACACACCTCACTACCTCGTCGACGCGCCATAAAGCGACTGCAAAAGTTTTCATCTCGTGAACCAAGAACCTTTTCAGGCCAGTCACCCACTCCCCGAGTTCCCATCAGAGTTCTGCCCCCATCTAATGAGGTATCCTGCCCAGATAGCCGTTCATCACTGGGGACGGAATTTTGACAGAGACTGGGTGCCAGTCCCCTAGAAACCAGAAACATAACTCGCGGCGTCGTCGACCCGCCATAACGAGACTGTGGAGGTTTTGCTCGTGTACCAAGAGACTTTTCCGGCCAGTCACACAGTCACCCAGTCCCCGTCAGAGTCCTGCCCCCATATAATGAGGTACTCTGTCAGATCGCCTGCATCGCCGGGGACGGAATTCTGACCGAGACTGGGTGCCAATCCCATGCAAACCAGAAATATACCTCGCCTCGCCGACGCGCCATAACGGGACTGTAAAGGTCTTCCCGGTGAACCAAGAGACTTTTCAAGCCAGTCTCTGTTTACCTGCCAGGCTCCTCGGAGAGCGGGGCCGTCGTCTGATGGACGGTAAGGGTGGTCGACAACAGCATGATGGGCAACATTGCTGGACACCCTTTTGCGGTGGGTCGGTCAGCTGGCGGCTCTGACTTTAGACTGGAAGTGATGGAGTCCCTGCGTGCGGCATTTCACGGACATACTTTTTGTTATATATTTAATTACAGGCAGAACAAGGAATATTTACAGATGAAGTCGGCACGACTGCAGACGGACCTTTTTGTAGCGACAACTAAGCCTTCCAGGTAAACGGCTGTGTCTCGCCTATTGGCTCGCTTATGGCTGGTTGGCACATCTTAAAGCAGCGCCGTATTAATTAATGAATGAATGGCTGCAAGGCTGTTTGTCAGCAAAGATCAACCCCCAGTTAGTTGGTACTTAAAGCAGCGCGGTATCAATAAATGGCTGCAAGGCTGCATGGCCGCAAGGCTGCAGGTGGTCGTCACAAAGGATTCCTCTGCCCTCTGCCCTCTGCTCTCCCCGCACCGCATCTCCATCCGCAGCCTGTCAATCAACACACCAATATTCGCAAGACCAAAGGCTGTACGAAGCTCAGACACTCGACGCTGTAGGCGGTGCCTGGGGGGTCTGAGCCGCGAAGATGAGCGTTATATTGTGTACAGGTACTGATCATCTCGCCGTCGCAAGGTTTGGACAATAGGCTAATTCTCATTTCTCATTTCAGCTGGTTATGACCACACTATTAGGTGCGCACCTCTCTCCCCCTCCACCTCAGCCTTCATATTGACCTTCTCTCGTGCATTGCAGATTCTGGGAAGCACTCTCAGGGATATGTTCAAGAACAATCCAACACCCGGAATCCCAAGTGAACAGACTATGCATCACACCAGACAAAAAGTACCTGGCCGCCGCGGGCCGCCACATGGTGCGCCTCTACGACATCAAGTCCAGCAATCCCAACCCCATCATGCAGTTCGAGGGCCATACTAACAATGTGACTGGAGTTGCATTCCATTGCGAAGGAAAGTGGATGGTCACGAGCTCGGAAGATTGCACGGTAAGAGTGTGGGATACCAGGTCGGGCATGATTCAGAGAAACTATCAACACTCACATCCGGTAAATGACGTGGTCATTCATCCAAACCAGGGAGAGCTGGTCAGTTGCGACCGCGGAGGAAATATTCGCATCTGGGATTTGGGCGCAAGCAGATGTACCCATCAACTTGTTCCCGTGGAAGACATCTCCATGGCCAGCGTGAGCGTTGCGAGTGACGGCTCCCTACTCGCTGCTGGAAACAACCTGGTAGGTTTGAAGCATGTCTGGATCTCGAGAACAAAAAGCAAAGCTCACAATATCTCTCTAGGGCGACGTCTACATCTGGCGCGTGTACCAAAACCACGATTCTACCACACTTCTGCCTTGCCGCGCATTCAAAGCCCACAAGGATTACCTCACCCGCTTGCTCCTATCGCCAGACATAAAATATCTGGCGACATGTAGCTCCGACCATACCGTGCGCGTCTGGAAGATCGACATGAATGAGGAACACCTTGAAGACCTCAATGAACCACAAACTCCCCCAATATCACAACAGCAGCATGATGAATCAACCAACCATACAGAATCTACCCTGAATAACACAAACATGATCACCGTGTCACGCTCTCAACCCTCCCTTCCCAGCGCTGCCGAGACTGATAAAAACGCCGCCGACCTCTCCTCCGATCCCAAACTATCCCAATCCACTCCATCTCTCGCATCGACCACCTCCCAACAATTCCGCCCTACGACGGACCTGATCTCCATCCGCCGCCCCCTCCCCTGCCACGCCATCCTGGACATCCACCAACGCTGGGTCTGGGACTGCGCCTTCAGCGCCGACTCGGCGTATCTTGTCACCGTCTGCTCCGACCACTACGCCCGCCTCTGGGAGATCCTCACGGGCAAGATCATCAGGCAGTATAGCGGCCACCACAGGGGCGCGGTGTGCGTCGCGTTGAACGACTACAGCAATCCGCCTTAGGGAACGGATTGGGAAAACCTCGAGATGGAGGACCTCCAAGGGCGTAATATGTGAGCTCAAGCGCATGGAAAGTGAACATGGTAGTGATGACCCGACCCTGACACTCGAGAACGACCAGGACGGCGGAATCGAATTGGATCTCTACAGAACGTAAAAAAGCTCTGTGGCTTACTCACCAGAGTCGTCACTTTCGAAGCGACAAACTCAATGCACTCACTACTCGTGCAGTTGCCGGTCGGTCACTCAGAGGCTCTGCTCTCTTTTTTGGGGCTTTTCTCTTGAGACGGCGCGGGCACACGGGATCTATTGTAGGGCTCGGAGTCGAGCGGGACAGGACTCTTCTGCTCGAATATTTGTAGTCAAACGGGACTACCGGCAAAGGGGGCTATCATAGTACTGGTGTATGGTGTATGGGTAACGGAGCACATCGTCAGGCATACCATAGCACCACAGCGTGGGCACTGTATCAGAGAGGTTCGACTACCTGGTATTTTACCTCTTCTACAACCAACCTGCCAGGGTACAATAGCGAAGCACAATTGTACCAAAGTCCCTGTAGTAGAAGAGAATATCACATCGCTTCACATCACCTACGATGGCTTGGCTTTTGGGAGGCCAGGATAGGCTTATCGTGCAATATTAATCTTGTTTTTGTTTTCTGTTTTCCTAAGATCTGCACATAGTACCCCTAAGCGAATACCTCTACTCGGTACCTGCAAATGAGAGATCCTTGTACTCGTATGGTGTGCCCAGGCACCAGAAGCCCTGTACGGGATTCACAGCTTCTGAAAGCCAGAGCACATGCCATCCCACTCGCCAATGTATTGAACATCAACTTTGTAGACAATGTTTTACTCTTCTCTCCGTCCTTGATCGCGTTGCGGAGCTCTCTTTCTCTTTCTCCCACTCTTTTCCATCCCCTCCATCTCTTTTCAATTCGGTCAACCATTCCATCTAAATTTCCCCCTCTTTCTTGGAGCTCTCCATCCCATCCATTCTCCGTCTCTTCTCGCCGGCTCCGGCTTTACGACTCAACCACCCTCAGCACAAAGTTGACAATAACAGCCGCGAGCAGGGCGACGGCCAACACCGTGGGCCCGATGCGGTCATCGAAGCCGCCCTGGCCCCGGACTCGGATCGCTTTGGCGCGCCAGTGGAACGTGACGAGGGCGTAGATCATGGCCGCCATGGCCACGAGGGTGAACAAACCCGCGGAGATGCGGCCGACCGAGTCTCCAAAGTTGAGCAATCCCACGGCGAGGCCGCCCAGGATGACGGTGAAATTGAGCCACGACAGGAACGTGCGTTCATTGGCGAAGAAGACCTTGGGCTCGACGCGGGTCGGGAGGGCGATGCGTTTGCCTACAGCGGGCAGATGAAAACGAAATTGTTAGTTTGGGATGTTCTGAACAAGACTGGGACTAGCACGGGAGCAACGGGTGGAAGACCTTACCGGGAGCGCTTTGAAGAAGTGGTTGTTCAGACATTTTTGCCTTGAGGAAATTGCTGGTAGCTATAAACTGGGGTAACAGTTACTGGTAATGGGAAGCTTTGATTGTGAAGTAATGAAAGCAATAAAACCTATGTCGTATGTCCTTGATCTCTGCAGAAAAGCAAAAGGTGCAAAAAATACGGGTGAGGTCAATGCACACACAACCTGGAAGCTTTGCCTTTACCTGTGAGTTGCTGGGAGAACTTCTTCTGCGGGGAAGGCACCTGCTTGCCTCGAAGCTTCCCATTCGCGCAAGCCCCTCCTAAGCTTTGGCCCTTGGGGGGTTGCTCTGGGCTTTCTTTTTCCGCCACTGGCAGCCACTGGCCACCCGCAGCAGCAGCAGCAGCAGCAGCAGCAGCAGTAGCGGGGCATCTGCTTCGCCGTGGGAGAGAAACACAACTCGCAGGAAAAATGTCGACTCTACTGCGGAGGGTTCAGTCAACTATTGCCGTCTTCGATCCGCTTCAAAATAATCAACCTCAGGTCGCATTGAATCCGGCTGATCGCCCAAGCAAGCCAGCAAAGCGACACCGACTGCGGAAATCCTCTCAGCACCACCACCGCTCGCATTCAAATCTGCTTGAAGTGAATCATCTCAATCAGCAGCCCGCTGTTGAATCGCGCAACCAGACCCTGCAACATCCTGAACCCGGACCTCTCACCGAGTTTCGTCGCCGACTTGCGAGAAAGGCCTCGACCTTCAGTTTGAGAACTAGACGTCGACAGGGAGAGCGTGAACAGGACGAGGCGATCAAGGAAGAAGAGAAGCTCAGAGAATTGGTACTGGTGGGAAGCGAAAAGGCAAGGACCAAGTCGCAGGAACATCGAGACGGGACTCCTGTGGAGGTGAAGAGCAAGCGTGCACACCTGCAAGGCACGAGCCAAACGAGCAGCCGTACACAAGAGAGTCCTCGGTGACAGAAGTTGCGCCATACGATCCTGCCACGATACTCTCTGTCGGTGGACATCCATCGCCTTCCAAAGAAGACTCTCCACCCAAAACCTCCACTGCGTTGCAAGATCTCATCTGCAAGACCCAAAATACATACATCACCAAACACGTGGCAGGAGGAAAGATTGCTGTCAAGAAAATGTCATCGGAACAAGCCCCCCCTCCCGTGCCCTATACGCGTCTCAAAGAGATCACAGAAAATGTAAGTCCCACGACCGCCAGGCGCCAAGAGATTGCTCAAAAGCTGCACAGTGCAGGCCGCTAACTGCTTGGTTTCCTGCCGGATAGGCATGCGAAGCTGCCCTTTCAGGGGTAACCTCTTACTCCCACCCAGACACGGAAAAATGGAACACGATGATCATCAACAGCATCCTGGGCGCACTTGTGGAAGAGACCACGGTAAAAGCAGCTTCTGGATCATCGGCAGCCAGCCAACCACAATACAAATACGTGGTCAACAGCACCATCATCCAGCACGCCGCATCCACCCCGGCTTCGGCGGGCGACGACACAAAGAAAACAAGTGGCCGTCGAGGCATGCACGCGGCAAGTGGAGCTTACTGGAACAACGAAAAGGATGGTATGTGGAGCTTCAAGTACCCAGGCGCCGATAGCAAGGGCTTGGATGTGGTCGTCGGCATCATCTGGGTTTGGGTCGGGTAAAGGCACCCTCGCTGGCTTGTGTCTGATGAACAGCAAAAGCGGGTGACGACGCCATGGTGCATTACTAGATCCGGAGTACCTTCGGACCCTCGGACCTGTGATAGAGACTTTTATTGGCCAGGCAATGAGTAATGAAGCTCATGGTGTCTGGAAATTATCGACTTTGCTGGAATCAAGATTTCGGGGGATGGGTTAGGCGTGCCGGGCGCTTTTATGTCAAGCAAATGAATCTTGCTTTTCCACGCCGTCGCTGTATGAGTTGTTGGATCTGGCTGGTTGGCTTGTGGGATTGGGCGTTTGCCTGGAACAGCGGTGCGGGAATTTCTTTTCGCTTTGGCATCAAGATGAAAACGTGCTCGCCATGCAGGCAAAGTCCAATGAGGGGCCGGTGTGGATGGTGAATGATGGAAGGATCAACATGTACTTTGCTGGAAAAACGGCCTCGCTGTAAACGTTTCCAACTGGGAAGATGAACGGTTGATGGAGAAATTTCCCTCACTGCCCATCAAGCCCCCGGCTTTAGGTCTGATTGTCGGTCCTCGGGGACAATCCCCAGAAGTCAAAATTGTCGTCTTCGTCGCCACTGATTCAGATTCAGCCAATCTTTTCCGAGGCTTCGGGGGATAAACTTTGCTGCCAGGATCTTGCGAGTCGCTTAGGGTAGCTTCACAGTCAGGAGGCACCCCTCGCCGTGCCGGAGCCGGGTCAACGGTGTCAAAGAAACCTGCTTGACTCGAAAGGCTTTGATGTGTGGCGTGAGATCAGCTGGATAAAAGTTGCGCGTCCGATTCCCCTCAGACCTCATCCGCGTGGAAGATCGATCAGTCTCCAAAGCGACTTCGGTTTCCCCTACCTTACGTACAAGAATATTCTCCTAATCTTGTGCAGAACAGAAAAGAAGGTTTTCTTCTGCTGCTCCGCCCTTGGATTACTTGCAGAGCGGCCATTAGAGTTTGCGCGCGTGTCTCTCGTTGCGATGCTGCGTAATAAGGCATTGGAAATGAGTCGGGTAGGCCAACCTTGTCCAGCTTGCTTGGGATCCAGCAGAGGATTACTTTCAGTGATTCAGGACAAAGTATTGGACTTCGGTCTCGCCGGGTGCGTCAACAGCACATGACTTGATGGACTATATATGGTCAGCCCCGATTATCGAAAACTGGGGGAGGCTGTGGTTTACATACAACCGTTCAAGATCGCATATCGAATCCACAGAGTCCTGAGCATTGAGGGCGGAGTGTCCGAGGACGGGCTGATGGAAAGCTGTTCGGTTGACGTCTTTGATTGGTCCTACAGTTGAGGCTTAGTGTGGCTATGATGGGCTTGAACATGTCGGTCATGATCCGAGACAGCACGCAATACGCAACTCAGGTGACAGGTGGGGGTAAGCCGGAGAATTTTCTCCAATCCCTGGCCGCTGGCTCGAAAGGGGTATTCAGGAGTCTTTGAAGACAATGATGCATCGCTTAGATATGGTGTCAAGATCGACATCTGCTGGACACACACAAGACTCTGGTGACCCCGGTTGGCACTAAACTGAATCTGACGTCTCACGTACATAGTCTGAAATTGGGTCTTGCGAAGAAAGGACACACGGTGGTCTTTCTTGCTCTCTCCTGTGTCTCCAGATCCGGTAAATGGAATAGGTCGTTGCTGCGGCCACCGCTGGACGTCTGAAGGTGCAGGAATGGCAGGATTAGGGAAGACAATCGCTTAAGCGAAGTTCAGCTCCAGGAAATTCTAGGAAATGATCGGCAGTGACTCGCTAGATCTTGAACGAGACCTGAAACTTGTTCGCGGCAGGTATGATAGTGAGGACTCAACCCCTTTTTTGGGAGATGCCCTTCAAACGCTATCATGAGATGAACATCGGCCTTGTGTGATCTCGATGGGGCCGACGTGGGCCCCGGGCCAGAGATGGCTGATCCAGATCAGCAAATGTTAACGATGTCGGTACCGAGTAGAGACTGATGTGCCGCTCAATGGAGCCCTGCACAGTATCGAACGGACATCTCGCAACCTGGGTACAGCCTACAGGAAGGACCATGCAGACGTGAAAACAGAAGCCTTGTACTCATGTGCTGGCAGCTCTTTGGTCTCCAGAAAAAGGTTCCACTAGGAAATGAAGTGGCAAACTTGAGCCCATAGGCCAACGAAGACCCGGCAGAAGTCCCCGGCAGGCGTCAATATGCTTGTTATAACGATAAGGCTTGCTCTGCAGTAATATGGGGGAGCAGTTCCCCTGATCTTGCTACAGTGCGGGAAGGCTGAGGGCTCGACCCAATAATGCAGCGGAAGGCCCCAGCCGGACATACCAGGAAGGACATCAGAGCTGAGCGACAGGCGACCGGGCCAGCTCGCTTGAACGATGGAAGATGGAAGATGGAGTCGTAGGCGAGGCGGTATGAGGGTACCATGGGTCCAAGGAGGTATGGTCGAGACCGCTAATCAGTCTGCCTCTTCCAAGATTCACCACTCGGCAGAGGCTGTTCCAGTTCTGCATCCCGATCCCCGATGTACAGGAATTCGGCTTCTCCCGTAGTGAACATCGTTTCCCAGCACGAAGAGCATCATACGGTTGATTGCTGTAACTGTGGCAGGAAGCAAGAAGCGGCGGTGAAGTGAAAAAATTTGCATACGGCTGTAGTTCAGGAACGTCAGAGCTGTTGTCGTGGGATGTTGTTTTCCTAGCTCCTCGTCCCCTGTTGCATTGGCCGACAACAACCTGGTTGGGTCTTTCTGACGCCGTGAAATGGGGATTCGTTCGTTCAGGGTGTTTTTTGGTAGGCGGAAAGGGCCCGTGCGGGCACCTGGCAGGGCTCAGGAGATCGAGATGGTAGTGGGAAGGACTCGTAGGGCCGTGAGGATGGAGTAGTAGCCACCTAACCGTCCACTTGTAAGTGAAGCTTTGATGATCCAACGCCCAATGCACCCTTTTTCCGACCTTACCTGCTGGTGGACCCTGCGCCTTCAGTCGATGTGTACGTGACCGAGTGGGTGCGGCTGAGCATTCTCCAAGGCGCAGCTTGCTCAATAACGTTTTCATGGTTGGTCTGCACGGTGCCCTCATGTGCTCATGTGTCTGTTTGGAATTTTCTTTCTCTCGGTATGGACGTGAAGAAAAAATGGTACAGTAGCTCGTACTGTGAGCCACCGAATTGGTCGACGTGCATTAGGCGTGCAGGTGGCTTGCACGGCGATGAACTCTAAGACATGGGTTTACTGGGTTTCTCGGCCGGTCGAGACCATATGCTGGCTGCTCGAGGGTGTTGGTGGTGGTTTTGCTGTGATGGCTGTGATGATTCACCTTGTCTTTTTGCTGCGCAGCCGGGTCACCTCCACAATGGGCTTGCTTACAGCTCCGGAGCATGATGGATCCTCCTACTGTCATCTCTACGGTTGATGCCCAAAACTTGGGAGGAACGGGGTTACTGCCTACAATGGCTTCTGAGTCGGAATGGCCCAACGAGGGTGAGAATCAAGATGAAAATTTTTCTTGATGGGAGGTCGGCTGTCACAGCCTACTTGGGCCTGCAGCTTCTTCTGTCCGCCATGGCACGACAGGCACCCATACATCGCAGGCACTGCAAGAAGGCGCCGTACTTTCCCACGGGGCGCATGCAGCACCCATGCCCACTCATGCCCACTCCTTCTTGCATGCATTTTTCGGTTTTGAGCTACAGACCATCATCACCACCATCAACCCCCGTCCATCCATGTTGAGATGCATCTGCCAAACTGACCATTTGGGTGCTTTCTCTTGTCCCTAGTCACTAAGTGGTCCCCTCGCAACTCTTTTCAACCACCCCTGTCTGCTGCGCAACAGCTTTGCATCATGCTTCCGGTGCCCCAAATAGAAGCAACCGCAGTTGAAAACGCAGTTCACATGAGAGAAAGACCCGGCAACCCAGGGCAACCCTCATCCTATCTCAGAGCACCCACTTGACGATATTCCTCCCGTCTCTAACTTCTATCCCATACAGCTAGTAGGCAGTAGCTGACCTGCGAGGTGCAGGTTCGATATTGGTTAGACCCTCTCAATCCGCTGTCAAGGACAATGAAAGTATTGCTCTCGGCTGCAAGTCCTTTTGTCAGAAGCAATTGATTTCGATCGACCTGCTCCACTGACGTCGATATCAATCTATTGATGTAAGCGAAATCCTGCGGTTCCCAGCGAGCCCCAGTCTTGGTCGGCAGCATCACCAGATACAGTCTTGCACAAGGGGCTCAACCCTCTTCGTTTGCATAGTGCCAGCCCCCAGCAGCCTGCCTGGCGAGCCGAGAAAGAAGTTCGCTTACGGAGTTTAACTATTATTATTGCGGAGAACAGTCCCTCCAAAGCTCTCGGTGGGGTCCGGGATACTGTGTCAAACCGAGTTTGACGCTCGGACGACTCCAAGCTACCACAAAGAGCAGGGGGTAAGGTGAAAAAATTGATGGTGTGCCTCGTTACTTCTTCCCTTGTTGTCGTCATACCAATGACCCTGGTGGATGGCTAGGGCTTTGGGGTACATCGATGGATCTCAAACCATCACAGCTGAACAGGTCAGCTTCATGCTTCGTACAACTAGCTAACGGTTCCAGCGCTGCAATGCAAGCTGGACCGCGTGGCAATTTTCCCCCAAACTCTCATCGGATATGCTTCTCCTGGCATGGCTTCCGTCTGGCTGTTCGTGTCTGCAGTTGCAGTTCTTGGAGGCTCCCGCGGCTGAAAAACAACAAACGGCCCACCCACCACTCGTCATGGGGTCGCTGGCTTGATTGGCTTGGTGTTGGAGCCAATCTCAGGACTAAACTGGCGACTAGTAGTGAGGTATCCTCACACTTAAAATCCTTCATACGGGACGTGGCTTTGCAACTGGCTCTGGGACTATGCCCATCTCAGCCTCCCTGCCGTCAAAATCTGAGATCCCCTTCTTCCCGGGGTTACCATTTGCGCGGCACCTGCGCTGCTCGGGTTGAACCACCAACTGAGGTGTGACTGGATACCGAATCCACCCCTTCGTGGCCTTACCTCTTGTAGCAGGCCGCACTCTGCCGAACGGCGGCCCCGGCCTGCGGACTGCGGCGATCTCGCGTCTGACGTCCCCCCTATGGGAAGCCTACACAAGGCCTTGGACCAAGGATGAATGCCTAGGCGAGAAACCCTTGCTCACCTGGCCCATAGCCTTCATTTGTTGTGGTCTCCCTTTCCAATGGCTTCACTACATGCCCCTGCGTGCCTCATTCCCAAGCTGGACCAGGTACCTCTTGCCGAGACTCGAATGAGCATTCCACTGCCATCCTGGGATCCCTGGTCGCCGTTTGCTGTCTCTTTTGTGCGCAGGCCGGCTGCGTTGGGCCCCATCCACTTCGGCCAACGGCAGGCACACCAATCCCTACCAAAAGGGTTGTGGCTGACTACACTTACCATTTGGCTTGCGGGACATAGTCTTGACTGGCTTCCTAAACGGCCAGGGCGGGTCTCCATTGCGAACCCTCGCCTTATCCAAGGTTTGGAAGACTATTTTGTGTCAATCTGCTGGGTCCTTAGGGCAGTGTATCTGGACAGATATAGTGAAGTGATCCTCAGAAGTATGATTCAAACCAGATCCTGTGGTCCCGACTCGTCTATAACCGTTTGACGGTATTCGATTAAACTTGACCTATTCGCAGGTTGGCCGTTGCGCTATTCTGCTCCCGATTGTCGCGGCCGCCCAATCAGACCGGCAACTCTCGTCTTATTCGGACCATTTCATCTCCTTTTAATTCTGGACATACCGCTTCCTCCAGACCCGGCGTTACAATCTCCAAGGGCTCTGCGCATCTCAGCTTTTTGTCCTCAATCTCTCACTGGAGGATCTCTTGCCAGGTGGCCACGCCTTTGCTTTTGCGGATCCTCCCCTTCGTGCCCGGCCTTACGTACTGGTCGGGCTGGAATAAATCCACGTCAATGCGAGAACTGCCCAAAGGTACTTGAATGATGTCGGTCGCCACAGAGACCATCCATCAGACCAGCAGTGAATTCATCCAAATTGTCGCCATGTCCGAGTCGGGCAGTGAAGCAAGCAAGGCAGCAAAGAAGAGGTGCGTCGATACGCATTGATCTCGTTCCTTCTCCCCTAGGACCTGTCGCTGATGAAGTATCAGAGAATACAATCGCAACGCCCAGCGAGTGTTTCGTAAGTAGTGGTCTGCGCCTCCTGCGGAACGGCCCTTCCAATCTTGCCTCCGGACCAGGCACTAACTTTTCCTACCAGGCCAAAGGCGCAAAGAACACTTGAACAAACTCGAAGCCGCCCAGCGCGAACTGAACAGTATTCAGGTGGAAGAAGTCGAACGGCTTCGCCGCGAAAATCAGGCGCTCGCTCAAGAGAATGAGTCCTTGAAGGCTGCTTATGGGTCGCAAGCCAGCTCACCGGGGCCGACAATGAGCCCTGGTGAGGTCAGAGGATCTCCTTCGGGGTATATGGCATATGGAACTGCACCTGGTGGCTACCTGGGTCCAGTTTCAGGTGCGCCTTCCTATACTCCGGGCCCTGTTACGGTCTCGATGCCTCAACCGGCGACGACACCTTTATCGAGCGCCAGCAGCGACCCCAGCACCCTTGTCGTTGTTGTACCCAACAACATCCGCGAAATACGTCGGTCACTTCACCAAATGTTCTCCCCCCTTCTCGAAATCCCCGTCATTTCTAACCCCCAGTCACATTTGGCCACTCTGGCAGCCTTGGAACCGTCGCTACCGAGTTCGTTGAAGCCTTCCCAGCTCCAGCTTTCTACGCCACATCATGCTTATATAGACATGATCCCTTCTCCCAGTCTCAGAGATCGACTCATTGCAATTGGTCCTGCGAATGCCAACACATTTTTAACAGAGGCTTGCACAATAGCATGTGACATTGAAGATACAGGCCAGATGATAGTATGGGGGGAAGATTGGCTCAATGAATTTTCCTGGGAATTTTCTGCGAGTGTTCTGGAACGCTGGGGAGGTTGGCTTCTCACTTCTGAATGGGGTCAGAGAGCCAATTTTTGGCGCCGTCAAAGGGGGATTCCAATACTTCCAGGCTACGACTGATGACTTGAGACGATTGGGGTTTACTTGCTTGTTCTCGACGAGGCCGAGGCTTGGAAACCCGTCTGACTTTCACGGCGCACTTCAAGTCAACGGCAGTTTAGGGACATGTTACATTCAGAGTTGGGATATATTGATGGGACTTCATCGCCTACGAGTTAGTTCGATGTCTTGACGGGCAGAAGCCAGTCCTTTACAGGTTGCAAGTTCACCTCGCAATCTTTTTCTGGACCAACCTGCCCTGCAACTCCGTTCTGGAAACTGGCGCAGGTCGCCGTTTCAATTCCCTTGACATTGTTCAAGTCCATACTGTACAACTCTTGTCTGCCCCTTATGTATAACAATGGAAAAAAGATCCCTTTCGTGTTTGCTGTGGGTTGGATTTTGCCCTCGGCTGGTGGAACACCCCGCGAGCGTTTCGTGATGCATGTGGGATTCGCGTCGCATTTATCGTGGAGAGGACTGGAGTGCTTCTTTAAGACAGCGACCGTAGGTCTATGGAAATTCCAAGTCCGATTACAGAGTCCTGGATGATGGTGCGCATGTACCTGCAGGTCTGGCCCGTCAGCGATATTCAGCAGCAGCAGCAGGGAGGAGATGGATATTTCAAGGTAAGTTTGCTACCCCCAAGATGGGCGTCTCTGCTTCTAACCTGACTAGTTTTGAAGCGACTTTTCTGTGATCAACTACTTTTGAAAGGCGCAGTTGGACGCGTTTGAAGACGAATGCGTTTGGGTTATCTTGGTCTGACGAATTTTACGTACAGAACCATCCGTTGCCTACGGCATTACAAATCGCGCACGCTCGCCACGGTGAGACTTGCGTGATATTAAGAACGACAAGGCCGCCTTGTTTTCCATGTGAATGGCACCATATGGAATCGGCAACGAGTTCTATCTTCCAAAGGATCAGGGCCAATGTGAGCACTGAAGCGTGGTTGGATTCCACGAGGGAGAGATCCGCCAGTCGCAAGAAAGGACTTGCTCCAACAGTCTGGAGCAGATGGCGGATCTCAAGGTCTCAGATGAAGGCAAAACTATCGATTCTGAGGGTTGATGCATCCAGTCAATCCTGCCTATACTTTGCTGGGCCAATATTGACTGTCTCCGGCCGAACCAATAGGGCCTTCAACCGGGCTAGAAACTGGCGATCCAGACAACATCAGAGCGTATCCATCTCATCAATGAGCACTTTATCCTGATTTCTCAATAGAAAGGATCCGTATCTGGTACAGAAGGGTAAGGATTACAGTGGTCCGAAGCGAAGACATGCCACTATCCGCTGGCATTGGTCAACAATGTCCAGGAGAGACGTGGCTCAAATGCGTCCTTGGAAGACCACGTCAACTACTCACGGATGAAGACCATGGGCTCGAATAGACGCCCAGTCAAACACCAGGATGCAGACTGAAACCCCTATGGGCAGTTGACTTGATCAATAGTATATCGACTATTGGGCCTTAGGCAGAAAAAATTGGTCCAATCATACTCATGAATCTCGACCTGCCGCTTTGGGAACCACGCTTCGTCCTTTTCCCTCACTTTGGCCTGGCCATTGCTTCTCCCGGGCACAAAGACATGTTCCAGACTTTAGTGTAAGGGGGTATGTCTTTCTATCTTGATCTGGACTCGGTCTGGTTTCAACCGAAACCCTGGACAGCTTGAAACACGCCTCTCACTTTTTTGTTTGGGCAGAATATCTTGTCCGCCTCATATGGCTGTGATGGACTCGACCCGTTGTCGTTGTGGTCTTTGCGAGATCTTGCCTATATGTTTTGCTTCGAATATGTCTTGGAGGGCTCTCCATTCATGCGCACAGTCGCTGGACTCTGGGACGTCTTTCACTCATGAGGTCTGGAGTTCCTCATGAACGGAAGTTACATCCAACATGGCACTGTTACTCGGCTCTTGCCACAACCTGTCCTCGCTCCACGATAGGATCGATCTCTAGCCCGATCACTCGCGGTCCTGCGCTCAATGCAGCCTGTTTGAACCGAAAGATTTGCATATCCTGGACCCTGTCATCATGCAGAGTACTCAGTGTCTATTGGGCTATGTCAATGCCAGTGGGATGGCCCTAGTTGCTCCACACACACACCACGACACCGGACATATTTCCACCTACTGATATCCCGATCTGGGTCCATACCTAGACCCCTTTATATACCCGCTTCGGGTGAGATTCCATTCTGGCCATGAACAGCCGCTCGGAATCCTCCGAACTGTTCTTCTTCGCCAAGGCTTGTCCCATATGGACTAGTGTCTTGGCACTCGATTCCCTTCAAATTTTCAAGCTGCGGAGAATGTTTCCGGGGGCGTGGCGAGTTTGCCCCTTGTCCCTCAAGAGTTCAACACAGCCCGCCCCCTTCCTACCTTAGCCTCTACCAATGGACCAATGAATTCCACCTTGGGCCTTGCTCGATTTCTCACCTGCGGAGTGTCTAGATCGATCGTACCAGGGTCTCTGTGGAGCGTTAGATCTGAAAAAGAAGGATCATGATTCATCGCAGTTGTGAACGACGACGGTCCATTGGATTCCTCAGCGAACGCCGACAACGAGGCCTTGCGCTGATTGCTTGGGAACTGTTTTGCGGCGCACGGCTGAGGTCTTAGCTCATCTGAGCCTCTCCACGTTCAAGGAAACCTTTTCCTTCGCATTGGCTTGGGACAGTCGCAGTCATGCAGGGAGTATCGGAGATGCATGGCCGCCCTAAATACGCCGTTGAGAGTTCGCCATGCCCGAGGAACCTCCAACACCAAGCTCACTCACGATCCTCATCTCTCAGTCCTGTCTTCAGAATCCCTCCGTTGTTCACGGCTTTTTTCGTGGACCGCTTCCAGCCAAGGTGACATCGCCAAAAGCATGGGCTGTGCTCTCGGGAAAGAGGACAGAACGAGGAGAACAGGGCATACCAAGGTCGACAAGTGGCCTTGGTCTTGCCGGAAGTCTCGGAGGAAGGAAGTCAAGATCCTCATGCTAGGTGGGTGAGCGCCCCTGAAACATTGGGATTGTGCTCAGATCCTGACTTTGGACGAGGTGCTGGCGACTCGGGGAAATCCACCGTGCTGAAGCAACTGAAACTCATCAACGGAGGAGGCTATTCCGGTGAGGACCGCTGGTATTTCAAGGGCGTCATCTTCGCAAACATGGTGCGGTCGATGCAAGCCATCTTGGAGGCCATGGACGTCTTTGAGATCCCATTCGCAAACCCCACGGTGGATCGGCACGCGACAACAATATTTGCACAAACACAGAGAACCGCTCCAGCAGAGCTATCCCCAGAGGTATACCTCGCGATCAGGGTCCTTTGGGCTGACGGGGGCGTGCAAGAGTGCTTCTCTCGATGCAGCGAGTTTCAAGTCTGCGACTCTGCTCAGTAGTACGTCTCGCCTTGCACGGTGGTGGGCTGGCAGATATGCGCAGTTCACGCTTCAGTTGTCTTTTTGAAGTACTCCACCTGACCGAATGGCATACAATAGCTACTTCGACGCGATCGACCGCATCGCCTCCCCTAACTTCCTGCCCAACGACCAAGACATCCTGCGGAGTCGGCACAAGACTACAGGCGTGGCCGAGTTCTCCTTCACATCCTCCAAATCCCCCAAGGACACTGGCACGCTCTACCGCGTCATCGACGTCGGCGGCCAGCGCTCCGAACGCAAGAAATGGATGCACTTCTTCGAAGGCGTCGACCTGGTTCTGTTCCTCGTGGCGTTGTCCGAGTACGACCAGACCCTGTACGAGGACGGCAGTGTCAACCGGCTCCAAGAGGCTGTGGATTTGTTTCGGAGTGTCTGCTACGAATCGCCCTGGTTTCGTGGGAATACTGCGGTGAAAGTGGTCTTTAACAAGACTGATCTTTTTAGGGACAAGTTGCGAAGGTCACCACTAGAGGTGTATTTCCCGGATTATCAAGGTGAGTGAAAATCAGAATTTTGCATGTCATCATCTCTCTTCCCTTCCCCACCTCCTATAGCTTCGCGCCGCCCCTTGCGGATGGCTTTGCGTGGAAGCAGCATCCATAACTATGTCTGTGGTTACCGACATGGCATGGCTGATTCCTTCGAAACCAATAGGCGGCTCCGACTACGCCGCTGCCTGCCGATACATCTCGGACAAATTCACCATGTGGCCACCTGCAGGCCACTTGCAGACCCGCCGGCCAGACTCGTTCATCTGCGCGACCGATACGGCTCAAGTCAGGATGTTGATGGACAGCGTCGTCGGCACGTTGTGAAGAAGCAAAATCCCTCAAACAGGGCAGAATCGCTGTGATTCCGAAACGAAACACAACGAGAGGTATCTGAAGCTAATCAATCGGTAATCATCCATCCACTGCCATTTTTACCAGCCACCTTCTGGAAAGATCACTGTCGGATGGGCGGCCAACAAATCTACTTCGAGAAACCTTTGCGGGGTGAAGCACTCAGTCCTTCTCATGACCTACCATCCCGACCCTCATAACAATCATACTTCATCGAGATCCAAATCATCCCATTTCTCCAGCAAGTACTCCAATCCGATGTTATCAATGGTATTCGCCACCTGCTGATCCACGTCCATCCTGGTATGGTAGTCGGCGAGCAACTGGTGGCACTCATCGGACAAAACGACGCCGTTCTCCTTGACCTTGTGGTGCAACAGACGCAAGACGCCGCGACTGACGCGGAACCTCCGGCTCGCGGCGCGCAGGTTGACGCACAGCTTGAAAAACGCCTCTTGAGATTCCGGGCGGTCGTTCATTTCTTCCAGCAGGGTGAAGGCCGCGATGGTGGCGGGCTGCATGATGATGACGGGGAAGTGATCCGCGCCCCAGTTCATGCGGATCTGCTCGAGGAGGTTGCTGATGTTCTTCGACGCCGCGATGCACACTTCCATCCAGTGGCTCTGCTCCGAAGACTGTGGCGTCTGCATCAGAGACGGTCGGCTCGATGTCCCCGCGTCGAGGGCGGCGGTTTGTTTCGAGATTGTCACGTTGACCCAGCTGTGAAGTGCGCTACCGATACACAAAGGCAGAGAAGATTAGCGCTGAGCTGCGTGGTTTGAACCGGGGGGTGGAATGGAATCAAATCCTGCCTTTTGACAAAGATAGGCATGCGCAAGCCGAAGCAAAGATTTCCCACTTACTGTAAGGCAAGGACATGAGGCATGGCCTTGTCATGCAGTTTCATGCACTCGGGCAGATGCGCCGGCCAGTCTTCGACTTCGTGGAAGACCTTTGTGAACTTGTCCATGGCAACATCACTATCGCTTTGGCGTTTCTTTTCAAACAGTGTCTCGTCCAAGGTCGCCTTTTCTGCGAGGGAGGTGAAGGCGAGATAGTGGCAGGTCGGATGCCATTCGATGCTCGTGTAGGGGATCGGGTACGGGGTCCAGGGCGACGGGTGCCCCTGCTGGGCGCAGTTGCTGCCGGGAGGGGCAACGGCGGGTTTCGGTCGTGACGGCTTGTCGAAGACGCGGACCTGCTTCAGGGCGAGGCCGATGAGAGGGTTGAGAGCGAACAGAGTCCACTCGAGTTGACACAGGGACTGGTCGACTTTCTCGAGATACTCTTCCGTCATGAAGGGGCCCTGGCCGATCCTTTGACGCCACTTGCCCAGGCTCTTGGCGAGGAAGATTTGTTGGTATAGCACACCGTTTCCTAATTTGTCTTGACCGTTGATGTTGAGGCTGGAAAGAGAGAGTGGAGTTCTTGTGAGCAAACAAGCAAGACCTGGAGAAGAGGAAGTCTGCACCAACGACTTGACTTACTACGTCCATTGTACCCCCAAGGTTGCCACCATTGCGAGGGATACCTCACCTTCTTGAGCCTCTAACCCCTTCCTGGCTTCGTTGTAGAAGTGATCCCGAATCTCCAGATTTGGATCGGAGCCGTCCTCCGCCAGGGTGTCGAGTAACTATGTGTGAAAAGGTCAGCCCAGTCTTCTCGTCTACCATCTGCGGGAGGGTGGGACCAACACAAGCGTCTGCGAGGATCATATTAACCAGGTAGGGTGTACATATCAAGCTTGAGGCGTCACCCGATCTCATGGCTTCGAGAAAGAGGTTTTCATCGACCCAGTGCCACCAGGGGTGAGCCCAGGTAAACCAAAGAGACATGAGGTGCGAGACGAAGTCGTCATCGTCGGTCACTGTCGTCCACGGTTTGGCGGGGACGGATATTGGCGGGTTCACGATGTCCTGGATTCGACCGAGGCGAGCGCGATGTCTCCTGTACGATGAGGCAGTTTCGTGGCGATGGTTCTGGGCGTCGATTTCCCCAATACCAGCAAACCCGTTCTCTAGAAAGACGGCGAGGTCTTGTCGTCCGGCGTTGCCGCGGATCATGCTGATAAGAGCATGTAGCTGGTTAGGACCTCCGGTGCGGATTGCATGGAGCAGGGCGTCGAGCAGGTGGCGGTCCTTCTCCAGTGACTCCAATCGTCGTTTGACGGCGAGCTTGCGCCGTCCATCATCATATTCGTCTTTGACACATTCGGTATTTCGTGAAAGGCAGGAAGCGCAGGGCACACCACCGTCACACTGGGAAAAAAAAGCCACTCAGCCCCTCTCTTCCCCTCAACCACAAGACAGTGGTGGGCGGGCGAGATTAAGATCAAGCAATACATACCTTGGTTCGGCGCCGTCTGCACGCAAGGCACGCAAGGCTCACTTTCTTGCGCGATGAGGAAGCCTTGGGCTTGTTGTCCAGGTCGGCTTCCCCAAATGGTGTTGCTGGTTCTCGGGACATGATTGCGACCATTGAGGATTTGAGAATGAATAAACCGAAAGACAGAGGTGGGGGTGTGTTTTCATCGGGCTTAAGTCGTGTAATGGATATTGGGCCTCAGGAGGCGATCAGAAGCGAGTCTGGGAGTGGTGGCAGTGGTGGCAGTGCTGGCTGATGGTCACAGACAATTGCAATCTTCGATATGTTGGGCATTCTTTGGCAAGGCGCAGGGCATGACCTCAACTCACGAGCTGGACATGCAGGGGATGGTGATGTATGACGAAACCATCACCCCTCCATTCATACATTGGACGCACGGACAACGCTTCCGAAGCTCTTCACCAGTTGCCGCCGTTCCTTCGTGGCCGGAATCTTTTTGCGCGGCAGATCTGCGGTCTGTCCTTACAAGTCGAGAGTTCTAGGGTTGGAGTCGAGTCGGCATGGTGTGCCTTGCTCAGCTCTGCCCTTCTGTTCCCGGGTCTAGACCCCGACATCTCCAGGCCAGATGGACAGAGCAAACTCTGTGGATAGAGCAGTGTTGGGCTGATGGCCTGGCCAGTCTTGGGTTTTGCTCGTGTGGACAGAGTTGCGTCTGAAGAGCAACCCTCGCTGGACTACAGACATTGACGGGGCTCGCCATCATCAACCTCGAACGGTAACGAGAAATCCAATCGCTGTTCTGTCGCATCTAGGTGAGGTTGATGGCGTCCGAGCCTCATAAATTCCGCTCGACAGATTCGATCTTGAAGCGACGGCGGGGGATTGCCCAGGGCAGACCACAGATAGAAGATACCCGGAGGATATGCAAGGGCAGCATTTTCTATCATATTGCAGCCCTTCGAGAGGGGAATAGGCCACCTTCGAGTCGGACCGGCACCAGAACAGCGCCATTGGAGCATCCTTGGAACCTGGGGCTTCCACAAATACAAGAGCAACAGGAGGCACCAAGGGAAAAGACCCGAGAGGAGCACTTGTGCTGGGGGCGGCATGTCAATCATCCGCTTCACGACAAACACAAATACTTTAGAGTCGGTTCAGGGTCGTTCCCGCACCCTCTGGAAGTGCCATCTCCTGCCGATGCCATTGGTGCAAGCCTAAGAGATGGTTGACCGTTGGTCAGTCCGAGAGGAGCGTGCTTGTCTTTTCCGGGTATGAATGAGGAGCTTGAAGCGGCTGCCGCATACCATGATGCTTTATCGGAACCTGGGTTGTTGATCTTTCCCTCGAGAACTCGAGAGGACATTTTCATGCATGGAGACCCCCGAGAACTGGTCAAGTGTCACCCCATACGATGTCATTTCGCAGTCATGGCCCGACTTCAGGCAAAAGACCAAAAGTTCACGTCTGCAGGTACAGACAAGGCGGTTGGAAAAGGATTCCGGATTTGCCCCCATGAGGGTTCGCTCCATGTGGTATGACGTTCTGCGCCCCTCGATTCGATGTCAATTGGACCATTCTGTCCACTGCTGACGGTCTAATGTTCCGCATATTGAATCCATGGTGCCTGGATGGCTTCGTGATGGCAAAACTTCACGGCAGTCAACCGAGACGTGGTCGTGCCGAGAGCGGAAAAATTTGTGCTATTCTTCTCCAATGACCGAGTACCTACCTAGGTAACTGTACAACACCTCGTAGGTACGTTCAAGGCCGGCATCTCCTCAGCCTGCTGCTTGCCTGCTTTGGAAACATTCGGATTGTTTATTTCCCAGAAACAAGAATATCAGTGTGCCGCCCATGGAATATCAAGCACCGTAAATAGGGAGAGACTCTACAATTTCCGCCTGCGAATCCTGTCGCTTGGGGTCTTCGCACCCTCATCACTGATATGTGAGCACTGCAACTTGTTGGCATCGTCTGACGTTTTTGAGTGGGATATGTCCCTTCGAAGCATGGGCTTTCTCGTCTCGAGGCCTCGTAATTGTCCAAGCGACCTTCGCCCTGCAGTCTTTGACTTGTTCACTGCTTCCTCAGCCATGATAGGGAAAGTGTTGGTGTCTTGATAAATGTGGTTCCTCGAGGTTTGCTAGAGGAATGGTGGTGGAGTTCCGGTTTGTCTGTCCTACTACGGCGGCTTAACCCTCCCAGGTAACCTTCGAGCTCAAAAAGCACCCTGGACGGTGCATCTGTGAGAGAAACTTCAGGCACATAGGTGATGACCACGTTGATGCTCAGAACGACGACTCGGCTCCTGAAGGTGGCATTGTAGAGACCCAAGCTATGTGCCCTGGACAAATCGACTTTCTACGCCTCTCTTTCATCTCTTACCGGGTCTATCAACTAACAGGATTGTAAGTAACGGATGAGAGGGAAGCTGTCAGCAAGAGCAGGGCGTGTAAAGGGTGTGCGGGGCCATATGGTTTATCCAAGAATGAGAGTGTCTGACAGCTATTAATACCTCCCTAGCTTGCCTAGGTGCCAGGCACCCACAGGTACCTAAGTATCTGTGCGAGGAACGCCAAGACGCCGACGGCCCAACAACCTCGAGCTTGAAAGAACACATGTGTTTACTACTAACCATCCAAGTATCTGACAAGAATGCCCATCGAGGCATGTCGCAAGGACCATTTATCTTGAGGAAGAAGCACCGCCTTGAGTCCTCACTGGCAACAGCCACTGGTCGGAAATGGAGTTCCGCACATGCTGTGTTGCACACCGTGTCACCGACTGCAAATTACGTCGTTATGAAGTCAGGCATGGTTCGTATGGTTCGTATGGTAGCCCGCCCGGCACCGTGGGCGACTGGGTGCCTGTGAGGCTCTAGCACAAGCTCCTCCAGACTCTGGGGCTTTGGTGAGATGACGATCCAGCAAAGTCTCCTGAATGACCAGTGTCATTGACGTTGGACTGGAAGCTCAGAGAGGAACCGGAAGGGACAAGCGGACCTTTAACATGTCGTGCAATTCCAATCAAAGTCATCATCAACAACAAACCGCAGTCGGATCCAATAATATAGGCCATTTTCGAGCTCATGGCACAAGCATGGCTCTCTACGTACCGAACACCACCTCCTCGTAGCTGTGTTGGCGGGGTCTAGCAATGGGCTTTTCTGCGGAGCTCTTCCTTCTACGTTCAGCTTCACGTTCACTCTTGACCAGACCTATTGTGCCCCTTCTCTCGCGACCACTGCACCTTTTTCAAAACCCTGTTACCCTGTCACAGGCTCCGAAAACCCTTCCTGTCGCGGTGTCCCGTCGTTCCGTCAGCATGTCTTCAGATCCTAAGCAATTCATGAGGACCTCTGGTCACCATGACTCTGTCTGGGTCCATCTCGAACCATACACAAATCGCCCTCAGTTTCCGAAATTGGACCAGGATTTGGAGACCGATGTCTGCATCATCGGATCTGGCATCTCAGGCATCTCGACCGCGGAGCAGCTTGTGAGACGGGGAGTGAATGTTGTTATGCTTGAAGCAAGAGATATACTCTCAGGTACGCGTCCACTAGAGGTTGGGGCAAGGCCTATATTGACGCCTGCCGGCAGGAGAAAGCGGGCGAACATCCGGTCACCTGTCCTCCGATCTGGACGACGGCTACATGGCTATCAAGAAGCTATTCGGAGCGGACGGAGCAAAATACGCTGCAGAATCACACGACTGGGCTCTCAAGCATGTCGGTGAAGTTTCAAACGAGCTTGGAATAGATTGCGAATACCGTATGCTCCCAGCGTATGACCTCTCCCAGCATCCCGTCGGCACCAAGGAACACGACGATGACATGTCGGAACTAAAGGAAGAGTCTGCACTGCAGAAGGAGCTCGGTCTGGAGTCGAGGTACGACGAGAGTCTCACCGTCAAGGGCTGGACTGGAAAACCAGATCAAAGAGGCGGAGCAGTCATTGGTCGTCAGGCAACATTCCACCCTACCAAATACTTGGTAGGAGTGCTGAAGTGGCTTAAGGAGCAACCCAACTTCCAGTGTTACACGCATACACGCGTGACCGAATGTGCTGAAAGCGGTATCCATGTGCCTTTGGTGAACGTCCATCTGGGTCCCAAGAATGTGACTGTCTCGACACTGAACGGCCACACCGTCAAATGCAATCACGCGGTGCAAGCGACTTGCGTACCTCTGCAGAAACTCAGTATCATTGCCGAAATGGAGTACAACCGCACATACTGTATCGCCATCCGCATCCCCAAGGGAACTGTCGAAGACTGTCTGATCTACGACACTGCCGATCCATACCACTATACCCGCATGACTGCCTGCGACGAGAAGGACGATTACATGGTGGTCGGCGGATGTGATCACAAAGTGGGCCAGGAAGATGAGTGGGATGAGCGCTACAAGGAGCTGGAAACATGGGTTCGAGAGCGGTTTCCCAATGCAGGGAGCGTGGACTACAAATGGTCCGGCCAAATCTTCGAGCCGGTCGACCACATGGCGTTCATTGGCAAGAACGAAGCCAACGAGCGGATCTACGTCATCACAGGAGACTCCGGCAACGGGCTCACTCATGGAGTGCTGGCCGGGAGACTTCTCGCGGACGAGATCCAGGGCGTCGACAACCCCTGGGCGAAAGTGTACAATCCTAAACGCATCTCAACCGTGGCGTCCAAGCTCCCGAGCATGATCGAGCACGACGTCCAAGTACAAACGCAGTACAAACGCCTTTTGCAATCGGACATCCAGGACGTCGAAGATCTCGGCAGGGACCAGGGCGGCGTGCTGAACCCGAAAACCTCGCACCCGCAGGCCGTCTACAAGGACAAGGACGGCAAGGTCCACCGCATGAGTGCGGTGTGTCCTCATTTGAAGGGCATCGTGTGCTGGAACAACGACGAGAAGAGCTGGGACTGTCCCGTGCACGGCAGCAGGTTCAGTCCCGAGGGACACCAGCTAATCGGTCCGGCGAAGGGCGGGTTGCAGCCCTTTGACGACAGTGCGAAGGCGAGACAGGAGATTGCCACCGAAACCTGAGAAGAAGTCGCATTTTCGCAGCATGCAGCCAAAATGGCACGTGTAGCATTCATAGCTGGAGCATCCCCGAAATTGTTATGAAGGTATCTGTCTCCACGAGTGTGTACCAAGCACCTCAGATCCCGTCACGCATCCAGAGACACCTCCAGACGCGCGATCTCGTGACCTCGCGACTCAAAGACACCATGTGAAGCGTACCACAACGTAAAAAGACTCTTCTTGTGCTTCATCTTCTCTTCTCCAAGCGACACGATAGTCCCCCAGGACCCTTGACTCCCTAATCGGCCGGGAAATTCTCGGATTTAGGGAGCGGCCTTTTGTTCTGCTACCACAACTCTTGAGGCGCATCAACATGCTAGGTGTAACCCGTACTATCTTGGAGATTTCATGGGGTAATAGCCCCCGACGGCGTGAAACCCACACCACCTAGATGCCTTGTACAAAGGTCGAAACGCGGGTGAAATGGTAAGTGAAAAATTGCTGACTGTGCAGGATCATTCGTGCTCTCACTTGAGTCAAAGCTGCTCCGTACTAAGCCCCAGCCTTGCCATGTCACATGGGCACAACTGTGCCAAATTAGGAAATTTTACCTATCTAGGTAGGTAGGTATTCATACCAAGGTACGAGGTACTACACGCCGGAATCCCTCCGTCTATTCTCTGTACATCCCAGAATCGGCAAAGCGATGGACTTCCAGAAAGCAATGCACTGCTCCACCACATTCTGAGCCCGCTTAAATGTAACACCGTCGGTCAATAAATCCCAACTCGGTTCCACGCCCGCCCCTCTTACAGTAGTAGTAATGTGAGTCCTTCGGGGTGGTTGCTGGGTTGGCTTGTTCTATATCCTCGAGGTCCCTAGGTACCTGAGTAGGTAACCCGCTGGCACAGACATGTCCAGTCTGACGGAGATATTTGGCCAGGGCCACAACGCCTACTTCTCCAATGGGCCCATCACCCGTCTGTCGGCTATCCGCTTAGATAACCAGCTTCTGGACAGGGCCTCCACGCACCAAAGTGCAAAGTATCTCACCTTTGACGAGCTGAACCCTCTGCGCACACCGGACGGGAGGCTCGCATTTAACAAATATGAAGACGTGGCGGAGGTGGTTGGTCGTCCCTACGCTAAAGACGAGAAGTCGCAGATAGCAGAGTTCAATCCGGACGAGCATCACCCGACACTCATCTTTCTCGGGTTGGATCTGGAAGATAAATCTGCAGCCCCTGAAGGGAGAGTTCAACTGGGCCAGTATACCGGAGTGCCATACTTTGCTCTCGACGTGAGCTCGAAGCACTATGCAGCGTTCAAGGAGTCGCAAACAGCAAAGACCGGCGGCCTCAAATACGTGCCCACCAGGGTCGACCTCACGTTGGATCACCCGCAGTCAGCAATATACAGCCACGCACGGTCCCTGATTGACTGGAACAATCGCAACCGGTACTGTTCGAGCTGCGGCGGCCGCACGCTGTCGACACACGGCGGAGCGAAATGGGTCTGTCCACCCGCCGACAACGGCGTCCTCCGCCCGCGAGCTTGTCCGACCCGGATTGGCCTTCACAACCAGGCCTTTCCCAGGACGGACCCTACGGCCGTCATCGCGCCTATATCCGCCGACGCGAGACGCGTCCTTTTGGGCCGCGGAAAGCGCTGGCCCGCCAACTACTTCTCCTGTCTGTCGGGCTTCATCGAGCCCGGCGAAAGCATCGAGACGGCAGCCAGGCGGGAAGCGTACGAAGAGACCGGTGTCCGCATCGGCAGGGTGCAGATCCACTCCAGTCAACCGTGGCCGTATCCGTCGACCATGCTGATTGGCGCCATCGGCCAGTGCGTCGAGGGAGGCGAGCATATCACCTACCCGGAGACGGAGCTGGAAGAGGCCAAATGGTTCGAGCTTGCTGAGGTCGAGCACGCCTTGAACAACGGCGCAAACCCAATGTGGGAACCGCCTATCAAGGGGTACACTACTGGTCCAAGAGTGCCCCCGAGCCAGTTGATGGCACATCAGGTGCTGAGAGGGGTGCTGAAGTTGTTTCACAAATAAAAAAACCCTATATCGGCTTTTAGGCCCTCAATAGAGAGTTCTGAAGGATATGCTGGAGACTACGGGGTTCTCTTCTTGTGTTCGCACTGATTGGATTACGTAGGTGGTCGTTAGAAAGTCATGTTCCCCGAGCCAACCTCCCCAGGGAACATGGTCCAGAACTCCTGGAAAATCCCCGCCATCTCCTCTTCCGAGACGAGGTGGTCTACACTTCCAAAATCATGCGGGAAATCCAAGACGTCCACCAAGGACGTGTCGCTCGCTGACTCGGTCCTCGCTGGTTGAGGCGTATCCTGTAGCTGCGCGTAGGTCTGTTGTCTGATCTCAATCCCCGGGCTAGTGTTTGATCCTGAAGCCATGGTCGACGCGGGCTCCAGAGGATGTACGGCCAGGGCTGGGTTAGAGGCGGGCGCGTCGTGAAGGGCGCCATAGTCGACCATCAGATTGCGGAAACCCCGTAGCTCCTCCTCTGAGATGTTGTTCTTGTGCACCCTGGAGGCGTGGTATTTTTGCAGCGAGTATATATTTTCGAGCTAATCCATGGATCAGGTTAGCATTTCATCTGATGGAGCTGCCAAGGGGAAAGGGGCAGGGGAGAGACTCGTGGATAAGAACTTACCCATCGACTTGCCATGGGCCATTCGTTCTTCATCTCCTTGAGAAGCAGGTATGCACTGTGGAGTCTGTGTCTGGTTTTGCTGAGAAACTCCACACTGGGCTCGAGCGGGAAGGATTGGAAGTAGAGCATGACGCCAATCGTGGTGTACACGGTGAAACCGATCCATGGAACCAGCCCCCTCCGAAAGTCGGCGCCGGATCGGTTGATCTCCTCGCACATATCGCACACCGTGGACGCGGTGTCGTAGAGGGTCTGTGACGCCCGGGCCGCCCAGTCCAGGAACGCATCATCTTGCTCTGGGCTGTTCAGAGACCGCTGGCTTCTCGACAGGCCCAGATGCGGCAGATAATTGCGGTGGAGGAATATGACGGCCATGAAATATATACAGTGCATGTAGCAGTAACCTTGGCCCTGTTCGAGCACGCTGTGGGCTTGTAGCGAGAACAGACTGTACCGTAGCCGGTCCGGCAATGTCGACCTCCAACGCTCAAGTGACGACACGAGGCTGTGAGCCCTCGATTCCGGATGATCGAGACTTACAATCATGGATTCGTCGCTCGAGGCCCACCCCGCCACATGGCCCCATATGTCTGCAACTCTTACCGTGTAAGCAAGGATCGACATATTTGATATACTCGTAGTGCCAGGGAGCTTCTCTTGGGAGTATCCGTTGGCCAACAGTTCGCATCGCACGGGGGTCCCAAACACGAAGGCCACGTCTTCACACGGAAGCTGAATCGTCATATCTTCGGATTTGAGTATACGCGCACGACCGCCACCGCCACTGAGAAGGCTCTCCATGAGGAAGCACGTCCAAGCTATGCGGCGACGTTCTTCGGCCAAGATGAACGTCTCTGACGCCGACTCATCATCGCCAGTGCTCAAATACTCTGAACAGAGTCCCATCATCTGCACCATGCGCACCGCTATCCCAAGATAGATCCAGGCGCTCTCGCCGTCGCCGGCACCCCACTTGTGTCCCGTAAGCAGCAAGAGCGCCTGCGCTTGGGCCAAGCTCGGTGAAGTGATACGGAGCTGTACGGCACGCGATGCACGCTGTGCAAAGAAATTGCTGGCTTCGAGTGGGGTGCTAAAGCATGCTGGCGTGGGAGAGTACCTAAGAACGGTTAAGATGGGGCCACCACATACAATACAGGAAAGACTGCACCTAGAAGCAAGTGTCAGGATGGCCCACGCCAATGCCGAGTCAATCGTCCCGTCCCTGATTTGCTGCAACAGCCTTGGCTTGTGGTGAAAGCTCCACTTGTAAGTACATCGCAGGTAACACTGTTGCACGTCTTTTGTGAGCCACCTCAAAGGGCCGTCTGGCGAGAATGTCTCTGCGGAAAGGGAGTTCAACTCCTCGATCGGGCCAAGCTGTACCGGTCGCTCATCGATGGAAGCAGAGCTTGCCAACGCGTCCAGTCCGCTGTCCTTTCCGGGCTGGTGAGCGTGAATCGCGTGGCGCGGCTTCTTCGGCTGCCGATGCAAGGCAGAGGTCCATTTTTTAGGGAAATAGCAGGAAGCTGCTCGACCAGCGGAATAGCAGCGATCACATGGAGCTTGATTACGATGCGAACATCTCAGTTTGGTCGTTCGGCACGGGACACAGGCGATGGTATTTCGAGGCGTTGTTGAACGTGCTGACATGAAAGGGTAATTTCGAGGTTCCGTTTGACTTTTCGCCTACCAGGAACTCCAAGGATGTGCACGTACTGCCTCATAGGTAGCGAATTGCCTGAACAGTAAGTACGGACAAAGGTCTTCAGGCGGTCTGGGCGAGCCAACGCTAGAAGTTTGAGAAATTAATCACATATCTGTGTTCGCTGACCGTTGCTCTGTCACGCCAGGTACCCGCATCCACTGGCCTCGACTGCTCTGGGGGGTGTTTAATGTGGAGGAAAGTTGACGCGGGTCAAAACAGCGCGGAGACGGCATGACTGTCGAGACCCACCGACAATACCTATCTCGGTAGGTATGCATCTCGCCAATTGGCATAACCGGCCAAACCGGCATAATCGGCAGTCTCACTATCACCATTGGTCAGTCTCTCGTCTTCTCTTCCCCGTTTCACGTATTTCTCCTGCCGGTTGACAATTTATCCCCGCGTTGGGGGCTGCCCGGATGGAGTGTGGAGAGCTCCCAAGTCCAAATGAGCATATTATTCCTCTTTGGGCGGTAAGCAAACCATGTGAGCGACCTTAATGTCATGTATCGACTATTCCGGACCAGGATATTCTCAGCGAGGAGTTGCTTCGGTACTTCTTCCTATATCCTACATGCTCAGCAGTCCTGCAGCATCATGGGTGACCACCTACTCCATAGCACTTTGGAGCCTCAATGATTTAGACCCCGGCTAAAACTTCAAGACGAGTTGCCAAAGGTCTCATGACTCTGCTGGGATCTGAATTCTAATGCAGCCTTGTCCGGGTTTTCACCGATTGCTTGCATTAAATTCGATACCTTCTGCTCATATTCGAAGGATGGCATTCAACTCCTCGCCCATCAAGTCCGCTAAAATCTTCCCCTTCCTTCTGTCAACGAAATCTTGCATCCAGTGTTGAGAGGAATATTGCTACGCGCCTGGGGCTGCCATAGAAATGCTTCGAACAGCGGCAGTCAGAACTGGATTCTCAGGATCTTCAGCCTTGTGCGGTCAAGCCGGTTCAAGGCTACTGTGTCAGAAGCCCGGGCTATCATCTATCAGATCCTTCTCCGCATCAGCCAACCGCAATGTGAAAATTCTGGCTGTTTTATATCCTGTGAGTTCCGTCCATCCTCTATCCGTTGACTGTGTTTACGCACAGCAGAAGGGGACCTCTCGGCACTCAAGGGTTTAGATATGAGAGTGCTAACAGTCTTAGGGCGGAGAAGCTGCCAAGCAGCAACCGCGACTGTTAGGAGCGGCCGAGAACGAGTTGGGCCTGAGGAAATGGCTTGAAGATCAGGGCCATACTCTGATCACCACCTCTGACAAAGAGGGTCCAAACTCGGTGCTTGAAAGAGAGCTTCCTGATGCAGAGATTCTTATCACCACCCCGTACGTGATCCTAGGTGCCCCCAATATTGGATCCCTCAAGTTACTCTTAGAATGTGCTGATCTAAGTGCTGGCTTACAGATTCCATCCAGCGTACCTTACTGCCGATCGATTAAAGAAAGCGAAAAAGCTCAAGCTTGCTGTGACTGCGGGTGTAGGGTCAGACCATGTCGACCTCAATGCCGCGAACAAGACCAACGGTGGTATCACCGTCGCAGAGGTCACAGGCTCCAACGTCGTTTCGGTCGCTGAGCATGCGGTCATGACTATGCTGGGCTTAGTGCGGAACTGGATCCCAGCCCACGAACAGATTGAACGCGGAGAATGGGGCGTTGCCCAAGTCGCACAGAATGAGTACGACCTGGAGGGTAAGGTGGTGGGCACAGTCGGCATCGGGCGGATTGGCCAGCGCATACTGCGGAGGTTGAAGCCGTTTGACTGCAAAGAGCTGCTCTACTACGACTACCAGCCTCTCAACCCCAATTTGGAGGCCGAAATAGGGTGCCGAAGAGTGGAGAGCTTGGAGGATATGGTCGCCCAGTGCGACATTGTCACTATCAACTGTCCACTGTACGAGAAGACGTACGGCCTCTTCAACAAGGAGTTGATCTCGAAGATGAAGAAAGGTAGGTTTCTGCTGCTGCTTTGGGCTCTTGCGCTATATTGTCCCTCGATATGAGAGTCCCAAGACTGACATGCTTTACTTAAGGATCATGGATCGTCAACACTGCCCGCGGTGCCATCGTCGTTGCCGATGACATTGCAGCGGCCCTGAAGTCAGGCCACCTGAACGGCTACGGAGGGGATGTCTGGCTTCCTCAACCCGCACCACGAGACCACCCACTTCGCTACGCTAAGAACCCTCTTGGAGGAGGTAACGGTATGGTACCCCATATGTCGGGCACCTCCCTGGACGCACAGAAGCGCTATGCCGATGGCACCAAGAAGATTCTCCAGAGCTACCTGAGTGGCAAGGATGATTACGAACCCGCAGATCTGATTGTCTACAAGGGAGACTACGCGACACGGTCTTATGGTCAGAGGAAGGCAGCCTGATTTTCTGTACATAAAAGAAACCTCGGATTTTAAACGTTGCCCCGTATACAATTGGCGTGGGTGTCCTAGTTCTCATTGCTACTTCCCAATGTATGAGAAAGGCCCTTGACGAGACATCTCAAATGCGCTGCATTCTTTACAGTAAACCTTGGCGGCGAGGGCTGGTGCAAGCCCGATCGAACTCTGTTGTTCACGTTTGTGTAGTGGGTGACCTCCTGTCGACGCTGGGGGAAGAAGGTGATGTTCATAATAATGTCAGCCACCCACCGGCGGGCTACATCGCCATGGAACGCGGCAGCCGGTGTCATCAAAAGTAGAGTTGAATAGAGGACAAATTTTCTTCTGTTGCGAAGACTTTTTGGTTATCATCTCTCGATGTCGCACTGCTCCTATCTCCCTCTTGCTGCACAATTGCATCAAAGATCTGGACACATGGAGTGTCACAAAGATGGGAGCATATCCAATCAGCCGTGAAGGATGGGAGGTACGAAGTCCGAATTCACCTTGACCTTCCGCAGCTGGCAGCTTTTGCATGCGGTTGAGGATCTCACTTCTACCAGAGGGAACGTTCTTATTGATAGTTAGTGCCGGATAATGCACCGAGCCTTGTTCTTCAGCGACTCGGTCGCGCTTGATCCGTACATGCGGAACCAGAAACCAGACTGACAGGCGACTTATTTATCTGTCACAGCCGACGCCGGCCTTTCTCGTTTGGTCCGTGGCATCGGCGTTCGCCGAACGTTGGAGTCGCAGTTGTGGTGGAACGGCAAATGCCGAAATAAATCAAACCGCCTTCCTACAGATTGTCCCTCTACGCAGCCTCGACCAGAACTGGCGCCGGACGATGACACTGGTGCAAAAGCAGTGTCGAGTGGTTGATGATCTGCAATCAATTCATCAGGTTCCCTTGGGATCTATTCTGATTTGATGCTGCTTGATATTCCGGACGTATTGAGCGGTGGAAGAAACCATCTGGCTAATACTCTACAGCATATGTGTCTCTTCATAGCGCCTGGCATCTCTTTATGCCAGGGAGATAGGATTGTCCAAAAATTGAACGGGGACATCCACAAACTTGCTCCTCAGATACTCAGCCACGCCCTTGCCCAACATGTCGATTCTGGTGCTACTGGCCGCACCTCCCCCCAGAAAGTCCAGAAAGCGGAAATGTACGGCCCAGATTTGAGGAAACTCGCATCTCTCGACTGTAGTGCCTTGTTTGAAATCTTCGCCCATCAAATCAATGATTAGTGGGACAGTCAAATATGACTGGAGCCACTTGTATTCTTGAGCACTCCGGACAAAAAATCCGACATTGCAATTGTCACCCTTATCCCCAGATCGGGCGTGGGCGACAGAGCCCAAAGGGACGAACCGAGTAGGTCCAAAGGTCTCTAAAGGAGTGGGATTGTCGGTCTCCTTGCTGGGTCTCTTCCCCGGCGGTGGCTCCGTAATGCCGTGGTGCCGAATTGCAATCTCTTTGTCGTCCAACACCACTCGATGCGGAAGGGAGGTATAGGAAATCGTCCCTGGAAAAAGCTCCATAAACATCTTGGGGGCCATGGTCCGAAAATCTAGCGACATGTGGTATCCTGCATAAGATGGTTAGCTCAAGCATTTGCAAGCGGCTCCGGGCGAATCATCGTGAGAGAAACGGTTCCTAACCTGCGTAAAATTGCATGCGGAGTGCATAGACATGTTTTCGAAACACCTCTTCGCTGATATCTTCCGCCTTGCGACCTTTAACGAGCACCCGGTAGCCCACAGTTCCCAAAGACTGGCGAGGTGGGTTAACTGCCGCGGACCCGTGCCGTTCGATACTCAGTTCGGAGAAATTCGCGTTTCGGAAGGCGTATTCCAACTGCTGCCGCATGAATTTCTCTTTCGCGTCGATGTCCAATCCGTTCATGTAGAAAGTGGCTTCGGCTTGGTATCCCCCAATTGCCACCACAATAGCCTTGGTCGTCGGCGGTGGCGGACTTCCTACAGCGCCAGAGACGTGAACCCGGTCCTTTTTGCCCGTGTTTTCAATTTTGACGTTTGCAATGTCGGCGCAGACATCGGAATTGATGTACTTTGTGCCCTGAATCTCGTACAAGAACTGTGCTCGCACATTCATTTCGTCGACAAATCCAGCAGCTTCTAGATGTTTTGTGATGACGACGGAGCCATCGTGGGCAACTTCGGCGATCGGAAATCCCAGGTCCACGAGCCCATCCAAATAGGGCCTCACTCCAGAGAAGTTTGCTCCTGTTACGTAGGGACCGCACTCAATCAGGTCTGAGGGTACAAAATCAAAGCAGTCAGTGGAACAACCAAGAAAGCCAGGGCCTGGACGGGGGGAGCAGACTTACGTCCTGCAACCAAGGCGCCGGCCAGCTGATCCCAGGCATCGTGAGGCCAATCGTGCCACCATGCTGCGAGTCCAATGACAGGACTAGCATCCGTGACCCGACCACAAATCACGATATCTGCACCACATCGCAGAGCCTCAGCAATGCCCCATGCGCCGATGTAGGCTACACCGCAGTAGGGTTTCCTATCCCAGTCCTCCAGCTTTCGTTCCGGATGATCAAGATGGACGATACCCCCGAGTTGTTGTTGTCTGGCTGGGTCGACCACAATGTCGGAGATGTCGTCACCCTGGACGTAGGCAACCTTTAGATGACCCTGCCCATGTCGTTGGCAAATCTCAATCGCCTTCCTCGCACATTCGGGGGTATTGAGGGCTCCGGCATTCGTGACACATTTTATCCCTTTCTGCGCGATAATATCGATGCAGTCGTCCAGCTGTTCGAGGAAGCCAACCTCGTATCCCTGGGTGGGATCGTTGTGCTTTCGAATGGCGTTCCAAGCGATGTTCAACTCGGACAGCCAGTCACCAGCAATTGCATCCACGTAGCCTTCCGTCACCATTCGGTGCCTGTCTTACCCATCAGTCATATCAAACGTGTCGTTTTCTTGTGCTCGACTCACATGGCATATGGACAATCTTCCATCGCGCCGGCCACATTTCCAATGATGATAGGCCGTTTCGGCCCCGTCGTCACTGCAGGAGCCATGTTCTATCCACATTTACTGGAGTAGGGTTTTGTCCAAGAACACAAGGAAAGAGAGAAAGGGCGCACGAGCTTGGGATTTGAATTTCTGCAAAAGGCATCTTGCCGGCAATGGCGGCTGGAGAGAGGTCCTTCCAGACGCGAGGGCAATGTACTTCGCTAGCTTGTTACGAGAATTGGCAGAGAATGCCATGTTGGAGGGCGGGAAGGAGTGGGTGCTTCGGTCAATGCCGATTCATCCTGATTCTTTGAGAGGCCTGTGCTCCGATGCACGTCGCATGCACTTGAAAGTCGGCCTTCGAATACCGGGGCTACTCAACACTAACTTTGGAGGACTTGAACAATCGTTATAGGAAAGCTCGCAAAGTCTCTCCGGTGTTTGGTTGGCAACAATACGCGGAGCCCAACAAGGCCATTTTCGGCCCAACTCGAATCAATACACTCTTGTCCGGAAATCCCTGGATTATCTGCTGCAGATCGAGATGCTGTTTGTATTGGATGCAAGAACCACTCCATAAAAGCAGCCCGTTGTTAAAGCATCGTTCGACACGTATATGCAAGGGTGAGGAAGTCGAGGATGAAGCCTACCGCAAGCCAAGGGACTTGCTCGTGGGGGGAGAAAGTACCTAGGTACCTAGGTAATACAAAGTGCCCCCTTCGTCTTCCCCGTCCCCCGCTCTCCGCTCGGCCACAGATGGCCGCCCTCTCCACAGTTGCCAGTGCCCTCGTTTCCACCCGGCAGCCGTCCGAGTATTTGGCAGCATCTGCCCCGGCCTTCTCCATTTCCTTTTCTTCCTTGTCTCTGTCCTTCTTGGTTTCAACCGCGCTTAGCCCCACAATTTCTCACAAATGTCGTATACTCGACCACCCAGCGGAGGAGACTATTACGGTAAGAATGCAGGCCTGTGACCGGTGCCACCTACGCAAAACGAGATGTGACCGACGTATACCCCGATGTACCGCTTGCGAGAAGGCCGGGGCCCAATGCCTGCACGTGGACAAGCTCAGGTCACGCAACCTCCCCCGGGGATATGTGGAGAGTCTCGAGAGCGATTTGAGAAAGGCCGAAGATGAGAATCTCAGGCTCCAAAGAGAGCTTTCTGTGCTTCACGCCCAGGTCTCTAGTGCCACATCCAAAGATCCCAGCCCCAATCCCAATTACATGACCCAGGATGCAGAGGTTGAGGTTTCCACAGATCCTTCGGCCTCGGCGAATGTTGGACAGAACGAACACTCGAATGGAGCAAATCCGGTTAGCCAGTTTCCCTCACAGGAGCGCAATGTTGTCATGACTGCGGCATCAATGGCTTCCACGAGAACTCCAGCAGACGAGGCCTTCACCACCGAGGTCGGATACCTCACGTTGACCGCGGCAGGTGAGACGCGCTATCTTGGATCTAGTAGTGGAATGGGCCTGGCCAGTATCATCAGCTCTGTCCTGGATCCCCAGCAGTCGGAGGGATTCTGCTCGAATGACCTTGATGGAGGCAATTGGCGGATGTCCAGTGCCGCGAGTGAGGCGCCCTTTCCCCCTCAGAATCTCGCAATGCCGTTTATCGAGGCATACTTCCAGCACACTCATTTAACATTTCCGTTACTACACCGTCCCACCTTTCTGGCCGCTGTGGAACAGATCTACAGCAACCCGACATATTACTCCACCCATCCGTTCGATGCGTTTGCGTTTGACATGGTGTTGGCAATTGGAAGCTCCAACGTCAACCGGTTCGAGGAGTCGACGGCAATTACAGCAACCCACTATACTAGAGCCCAGAAAAAGCTGCATGAGCTCTTAAATATGAGGGGACTTGTTCCTCTTCAAACGATCATTCTTCTCTCTCAGCATGGCATATTCAGCAACTTGCGAGACACCAGCGGTAGTATATGGCACCTCATCGGCATCGGGGCAAGGATGTGTTTCGAGTTGGGCCTCCACCTCGAGCTTAAACGAGTCGACCGGCAGACCAGACGGCCAGTTGCGCGAACTTTGCCCATAACTTTTGAGGTGGAGATGCGGAGACGGACATTTTGGTGCTTTTACAACCTTGACAGGTAAGCAGCATCCTCTTCTTCTAATCGTCAGAGCATTTCATTGACGCGGGTATCATAGAGTAGTGAGCTTCACCCTTGGACGCCCGGTGGCCCTGAGGGACGAGGACATCGACATCTCACTCCCTTCACACTTGGAAGATGAAGAATTTGGCCCTGACCAGCCCATCGAACCGGATTCCAACCCAGATGCCCCGAAAATTTCTCCATTTCTGCACGTCATCAAAATCCGTCATTTGTCAGGGAAAATTCTCAGCACATTGTACGCCGCCAAACAGAAGAGCGAGATCCCTTTGCAGGAAAAGGTCCGAGTCCGGAGTCAGCTCTACGACGAACTTGTCGCTTGGAAGAACGCCACGAGCCTGCTAAATCTGGAAGATCGCCATCACAACAATCGGGCATTTGTGTCTTGCTTCTTGTCTGTGCACTGGTACAACGCCGTGTTCAACAATGCAGTTCTGTTGCTATATCGACCTTCACCATACCTTCCTCATCCCGTCATGCCCACCAAACCGGGCGAAGAGGAGGGCGACTTGCAACGACTATACTACGCAGCCAAATCGTCCATCTCTTCCTACTACGAACTACATCGGAGACGGCAGTTGAACTACTCATGGATCACGCTCCATGGCATCTTTATCGACGGGCTTGCCTACGTGTATGGAATCGGTCTGGCCTTGAGGAACCCCAGTCACGCCATGCCCACCCCGGATTATCTGGAAATCATCAACGACACCCGCGCGTGTTCCAATATCCTTGTCGCTATCTGCGAAAGATGGAGTGTCGCCCGCAGCTCTTGTGAACTGTTCAACCGCCTAAGCAACGCCGTGATCCGAGACGCAGTCAACGCCGCGGCAAAGAAGGACCTGGCCCCAGCTGCGTCGGCGCAAGGCCACCAGTCAGGTCGTATCTACTCCCTGCAAGGAGCCACTACGCTCGATCGACCCTCGCCTTCAGCAAGCACAGCCGGTGATAGTCTACCGGATTCATGGCGCCTAGGATCTGACCACTACGACTTATTGTCCTCGATGAATCAGTTTGACCACATGTTCGTGGCGGATGAATTCAGACAGTACTCGAATGCGCTGGACATGCCGGCTCGGGGTGACCAAGCTGTGCCCAGTGAGCTGATAAATGGGTTCTCACAAGATTGGCCATTCGAAGATGCGCCGTTGGTGTCACAAGATGCATTCGGCATCCCCATGCAGGGAGTTGACAAACTATGGTGATTCTTTGATTTGAATGTCCATGTAGCCTGGTGCGGTGAAGATGGATGTCAACAAACCGAAGAAGTCTCCAGCCATGGAGGCCATCGCAAAACCTATGGACATCCACGTCTGGCCCTGGAACCCTTAAAGACAACGAAGAGAGCTGCAGGACAGCAACCAGCTTCTATAGTGTGAGGCGAGTTCTGGACACCGGCAACTCTTGGTTGTTGTGACATCTCTCGTGGATCACGACAACCATCGGACTCACCGTTAATCACAGGTGAATTTGATGCCAGGTGCCCAGATCTCTGCATACTGTGCCCCGTACGATCACTAAACACGCAAGTCTTGGGGACGGCGGAAGCAACTTAAGCACAGTGTTGCTAGCGACTTCTTAACCGCACAAGGAATGAAAATCGTTCGTAACACCGTCAAAGAGAAAGGGCAAAGAGGGTCAAGACACCAGAAACATACCGATGTCGCCCCAGGTTATATTGTGTCCCCGTGAGGTTTAGAATCCCCGCCATCTATCCAATCACTTCACAAGCACAATTCGCCCGGAAACCTTCCCGGCCTTCAGCAGGTCCATCGCTTCATTCACTGAGTCCCAAGGCATCTTCTGGACCGGAATCGGGGGCAACTTCCCCTCCTTTGCGAGTTGCGCCAGATTCCGAAGCTCGTCCAAACCTCCGGTGAGGTTGGAATAGATGGTCAGGCCCCTGAGAATGTTCGCTGGGAGAGACAACTCGATTGAGCCTCCCATGACACCGACTTGCACCCATTTGGCGCCCTTTGCGACCAGGCTGTTCACCATGCGTGCAGTGATTGAGTTATTGACAAAATCGATCACTGCAATGACAGGTCCATTGGTGGCGGAAAGAACGTCTTGAGCTGCCGAAGGGCCAGAGGTGTTGACGGTCTTTGTGGCACCCGCTGCAGCAGCCGCAGCTAGTTTGTCGTCACTTATGTCGGCACTGACGATGTATTTGTGTCCAAAAGATTTCAACACCGATATCGCCGCCAGCCCTAGGCCGCCCGCCCCGATCAGGAGGACCGGTTCATCCGGTGGCAGAGGCATTATCTTGTTGACTGCACTGAGCGTCGTGATTCCAGAACAGCCAAAAGTACACGCCACTGAGGGGTCGAGATTGCCTAGATCGACGAGGTACTTCGCGTGCGGAACCACCACATACTCAGCAAACCCGCCATTTCGAAGGACTCCGAGCGCCCTTTGCGCGGCGCATAGGTTATCCTTTTCCTGAGTACAACGTGCACAGGCACCGCATCCAAGCCACGGATACACGATGTACCGTTGCCCAATTGTAACGGACGCTGCTTCTGGTCCGACGGCGGCCACTTCTCCGAGTATTTCGTGGCCCAATGCAACGGGCAGCTGTATACCGCGTTCTTTGACATAGAATCGCTTCCCGCCTCCCATATCATAAAAGCCTTCAGCCGTATGGAGATCCGAATGACACAGTCCTGCGTGTGTGACTCTCACTAAAATTTCCGTGCCTTTCAGGGTCGGAATAGGTTGGCGCAGCTTCTTCAAGGGCGTATCCCATTCTGTCAAGGCCCAGATGTCCATTTGGTTTTCCATCTTCGATCAACCGTAGGGGCATATGTTGGAAGTACGTTGGATGCCGGAGCAGCAGTGCCATGTATGATAAAAGAAACCCCGCTCGTCTGAAGAAAGATTCATGATCGGCTTGGGCCGAGGTCAGCGGCTCTCAAATCTGAAGGAGCTTCCTCGTACTCCCTAGGAGCAAAGAACATCTTAGGTTTGGGGTAGAAACGAGTGAATATCCGAGGACAAATCCAGACTTCGGCGACCGCCTAGCCCGCTACCGGCGGTGCGGGTCAGGCCTTTCGTCAGTCACGGCTTGATTGAGCGGGTCGCATACCTATCTTGATCCATACGACTCCACAGACACTTCTGTAGCCCGCTTCCCCAAGCCACGTTTTTCATTTTCAGATATTCTCATCAGTCGTGTTCATTCCCATGGGCCACGCTGGTCATTACATGCTCCCGCCATAACTATTTAGGTATCTCTGCCTTCGAGGATGTGGGGAAAGTTTCCACGACTATTCGCGAGGGGTACAGTTTTGGGGGAACCAAAGGGTTCGAAAACTGGGACTCCTTGCAAAGACGGTGAATGCAATCTCTCCCTCGTGCGACCAAGCACCTCCTCTCATGTGGCAAGGAGCTACTCGCCAGCACCTGGGAGTCAAACTCCCGGAGCGGAGCGATCTTGGCAGGATCTAGCTCCTGAGAGCACTTTGGCTCAAACGCGGACGCATGGCCCTGAGCGAACTGGAAGCGGAACAGGTCGCTTTCGTAAAAGCATATTTGTACATCCAGCTATGATACACAGGCATCTTCAGCCCCTCGATTCCACCGAATCAAAGTCACAAAGCGTCACATGGGAACGACCTTCCACGGATCCGCCACGAATTCCAGGGCTGTCTCTCGGAGATGCCAAGGGTTAACATACACCTGCAACCCAATACTGCTGGAGAATAGGTTGAACACCCTCATGATCAGGTACAGATCTCGCGGGGCCGTCGTCGAGTCATTTGCACAGGCCTTGTCTCGCATGAGCTTGTACTGATTGCTGCTCATGAAGAACGGAGTGTTGCAAGGGCCGGACGTGGTCTTGACTTCGATGTGATAGTTCACCACCGGTCTTGACATTGACGTTGCGCCGGACTCAAGCCCAAGCCAGGCGGGATAGGGGAACGTCGTGTTTTCTCGAAGCAACTCCATCAGCCGCGGACAGTTGCCTTCGTACATTATATCCGAGATTTCTCGGCCGTGCCATGACGGTTCATCTGCGTATTCGGGGAGGATGTCCACGTAGTGACGAATAGAGCTCTGCCAATTGTCGATGTTGAAATTTGTGACTCCGCGGGCTTTGAGGAGCTCAAATACCTAATTCAGTCCAAGTCAGCTACCGTTCATGTGTAATAAATACTTCCCAAGACTTACATATAGTTCTCCCGCCGCGCCCACCCGGGCGTTGTCTTCAAATCTGCCGTTGCCCGTATCGCCAAACGTTCGGTGGAACGCTGCGTAGTCAGCTGGTGGATGGGCAAGTTCATCTAGAGCTTCGTCGATTCCATCCAGCGACAGCGATCCTGCTCTCCTTTGAGGAGATCGCCCGCCTCGCCTTGCTTGGCGGATCACTTCTCGCAAGAGTCTTTTGTACTGTTGATCCCGTGCCACCTCCTCCCAGATTGTATGGTGAGAACCAGTTGACTGAACGTGGACTGGAGAAGGAATGCTGATCTCAACTCGGGAATATTGTGCTGTGCTCCTTTGATCGACCCTGGTCACCACCACGTCGTGGTCGTGGTCGTCGTCGTCAGAGGATGCGTCTGTTGGCGATGCAGATGTCGGCATACTGCTTCTGTTAGATTCTGTATCACCCGAAGCTGGAAATGACACTGTCTGCAGCGATGGCGCAGGTTTTTCGAACCAGGGATACTCCGGCAGATCCTCATCCTTCATGATGGTATCCAAATCTTTCTTGTTATCATTCAAGATACGATAGACGACCTTGACTGCTCGTTCACTATCGATGGAAAGTGCTTTTGCAAGTTCTTGAGGAAGCTCTGTGTGGAAGCAAGAATAAAGGCTATCGTAGTCGCTTGGGACATAGATCGTCAACTTCCCATCGGGGAAGCAGACATCGACCACCGGTCGATCACTCTGAACAGTGACTGAGTCATATTCCTCCGGTAGCACGAGCTCTGTCCACATCTCTTCGCAGACAAATACTTCTGCAGCCAACAGTAACTCATGCATCGTCGTTTTCCGGTTGAAATATTCCGAGCTATTGTAGTAGTTGGCACAGCTGATGAACAGTCAGGAAACTTTTTCTTCACGATAACGCATTGAAACTCACCATGACAAGGCGTATGCCCGGTCTCTGATATAGTGTTCAAGAGCTTGATGGGCAGTCGCCTTGTCGACTGTTGTTTTTGACTCCACTAGGCCCGAGAGAAAGCGATCCTCCAGAGCTAGCAATTCGAACAGCGGATACAACGAAGTCATCTCTTCGTGACCAAAGTCAAGGATCTTTGCTTTGTTTTCGAAGAGCTGGCCATATCTCTGATGGTCATTGATGGTGAATGCTTGATCCACGGAAGATAGTTTCAACCCGTTGGGACCACGGACAGGTAGAAAGGCCGTCTTCTCCAAAGTTCTCAGCTGCTCATCGTTGACCTCTACCTCGGAATCTGAGGCTAACAATTCGCCAATAGTAAGTATGATACGCTTGACCTCGTCAACGTCGGGGGGATTCTTCTTTGCCGTTCTTCCAAGCTCCTGTAAAAGAACGTTGATGTTCATAGTCCTGACTTTCATCTTGTCGACGAAGAACTTTTTAAGCCCAGGGTATACATGGTCCAGAGGCAGACGCCCGGAGATGGCGACAGTACAGTTCCACAAGCACTCTGATGGCTTCAGCCACTTTTGACCAACATAAATCAGACCGTTACCATTGAACTCTTGCCTAGGACTGCTGTCAGAGAGATCGATTTCTTTTTGAGAGACGACCGTACCGAATGGCCTCGATCAGGGGCTCAGAGCTTGTCATTGCATCTAGAGCTGCATAGACCTTTGGCGCCCTGCTCTCAATTAGACCTGATCCGTCTGTTGCTTTCGTTGATAACATCTTGAGTTCGTCGATCAAGTCGTTATAGCTAACATCCCGCATATTCAAAATGGTTTTGAAGAAAATGGAAGCAGATTGATTAGCTCCGTACAACGGACTCAATACCTGCTTCGCCTGGAGAAAGCTTGGACCTTCCCAAATACAATCAGTTGATCTGTACCAGGCTTCCTCGGTTGTCTTCGAGCGGATCAACGGTAGCGTCGCAAATTCTTGCTGCTCCAAGTCAGTGTATGTCTTTGCATGAATGGAATTGACATACCTGTACAGCTTTGGCGTCTCCGACTGCCGTCGTTTGAGCAATACCGCTGTAGATCTTCTCACACGTCGATAGTAAGTGGCCATCTCCAAGATCAGCTAATAGGTACATAGCTCTCAAGTAAAAATTAGTATTGACTTCACAGATCACTCCAAACTCTTTCAAAAAGAACCAAGCCTCGGATTCTTGGGTATCATAATCTCGAGGTAGTTTCAGGATTGGTAGGAGATTGGTTAGGTTGGCGTCTCGGCTCCTAGCCATCAATTCATGCGTTGGTAGAATAGTGTCGCAAAGCCTTCGTGTGGAGTCATTCAGACATGGTACCCGAACATTCTTCAGGTCGTTCTTGATTCTGGATGCATCAACACGATAATCAGACCAATGTGCTTTGAGATTTGCGACAAAGCTCTCGGGATTATCTCGAGCAATCAGCTCCATCAGAGGATGGAGCTTCCAGCCAGCGGACACTTCGTGTACCAGATCAGGGAAGTATTTAACACCCCATTTCTGAAGGTAGGATTTCCAGCTTAAACCATGGCGGATATGATTGGAAACTTGGGATTTCAGGTATTGTTTATTAAGAATCCCGTAACGACATTTATGCAAATCCTCCTTCGGAGTTGCAGCAAGTAGTTTCTTCGCGTCATAGTTTTCTTCCGAAGGAAAGAATAATGAAGGTCCTGGAAGTTGTCTGTTTTCATCGCTCAAAAGTCCCAGACGAATCTGACTCTGCGTTGACAAGGACGGTTGCTTTCCGAACCAAAAGAGGATTTCGAGATCCATTATGAACGTGAACAGCATTCCGGTTCTCTTCCCTGACTGGTGCATCTCCAGGATCTTCGCTGTTACAGCATCAGGTTGGCATGAGGTAATTCCGAGACTCGTGTAGAAGCTCGCACGCTCTCCATCTGCAGCAGCCGTCTCGTGAAGTTTCCTAAACCCAAGACGATCAGGTACCTTTAATGACACCGAGTCTCCGTCGACAAGATATGGTAGATATACAGCATCCACACGCAAGGATGAGGGTGAAGCCCAGCGACCGTCGTCCAATGGGATGATTCTTAACTGCTTGACATCCTTCTGGATGGGAAGGAGCCGTTGTATGAGAGCAGCGAAAGCCGTGTGCCACGGGTTATCCAGTGGTATTTGATGGATTGGGGTTTCCGCGCTTTGTGAAAGACCAAGTTGTATTCTCTCCAAAATTTGTGTAGCCGAGATTTGCCACACCCCAAGGTCCTTCAGGATTCTTGCATCGTTTGGTTCATAAACGTCCGATAAGTAGATATCTTCGTCCGTGTCCGCCACGATTGGCTCGTCGTCGTGGATGAACCAGTCTGGAAGGGTCGTCATGTGCTTAATGCTGTGAAGTTTATGCCGTCGTGACCGTAAAATGGGTGTGTCACTGAGCAGGAGCCCGGCATGAATGTCAGCCCATAAATATTCCCAGAAGCCTTGCATGGGTCTTTTGGGGAGATAGCGCATCCATTTAAACTCCAGAGGGTCATCATAGGTAACAATTTTGTTCACCAAACCGACAAACGCCGAAGAGACTCCTGCTCGCAATGCATTATTCCAATCCGTATCAGGAACACTCTCACGATTAGCCGTGAGGATAAAATTTGCGTTTATGAGAAACTGGATTAGTTAGCTTCGTACTGCGAAAGGTATCAAAGACACATACAGGGAGCTGTATAATGCGCTGTACTGGAAGATAAGCGAATACATGCTGCCCGTTGGCTGGAATTACAGGCAGGCCATCTGAATCCACCTCAAATGCGACGGTCACATCGCTCTCAGAGCTTGTACGATGTGTGTCATAGGGGAGGTTGCCGACTGTGTTTTGAAACAACCTGAGCCATGTTGTCGCTGACGTATGGGCGCCAAAATTCCCGGTCACGGTGGTGTTAATGCGTATTTCATCGGATCTCAAATCTCCATCTTTCTCGAAAGTTATTCGATCTGACCGTCCAGCAACGCCATCCACGACGACGACCAACTTCTTCAGCTTGCGTAGCGCAAACATAACTGTTCTTGGTAGTTTTTCAAACTCAGACACGAGGCGTGTGGCGAAGATGTCGCGCTGGTCATAGTACCGAAGCGTCAACCTCGTCCCGACATTCGAAGGTAGAAGAGACGTAACATCAGTCCACACTGGAGTGATCATTCCCACGCCCTCTTCGCCTTGACTGTGCTCAAACCTGAAAGACCAGAGCCCAGATTGGATGTGGACGTAGTCAGCAATGCCAAATACCGATTTGAAACCCAGGCCTTTCTCCCCAGTAGTATCGGCATTGCTGGCTTTGGAGCTTTTGCCAGTATCGCAAATAGATTCGACATTCTCGAGTGTGAATCCCAGCTCGTTGGACTCGATGATCAGCTCGGAGGGCTTGATTCGAAACGTCATAGAGGGCTCGACATCATTTGCGTAACAGGAGTCGTCTCCATTTTGGAGCAATTCATAAATAAGCCTGAATCTGGACGAGTAGAGCTGCTCGGCGACGCTGCTGTTATTAGCAACCAGTCTTTTGTACAGAAGGAAGAAACCGACGTTCTCGTATATCGGGCGTATAAGGCTCTGTGCTCGGCAGCTCTTCGACGGTAGTCTTTTTGAAAACTCGAATCTGTCTTGCGAATTTGGCTTTCGTCGTAGTCGTCGATGATACCTCGATCTCTGCGGATTCTGTTGATCTCATCTCTCGCTGCAGCGACGTTGAAGGGGCGTCCCTCTCCGTTGAAGCCGGGCTTGGGCATGTTTCTGGCGGCAGAGCAGTGAAGACGCAGTGTCTGATGAGTACAGAAAGATTCGAAGACACGATTGATGTACCTAACACGTCATGCTCAAGAGTCCATGTCAAGTACACACCGAACCCTCACCCCACCATCTGCAGGAGTTCACTAGCATACACGCCATTGTTTGAGACAAGCGCTGTACTTGCACTCGACCTAATGTGGCGTCTTGCGGTCACAAACGTGAAGCGCTTTGGCCCCAATTGAACCCTGCTGAGCAAGTCTTACGTTGCATTAATGTACGTCGAAAAGAAGAGCGTTGGTGGGGCCGCAGAGATTCTAACTTCACGTGTTATACACATGTCCTTTTGTAAGCTAGCACTGCAATAGAATTCCTCAGAATATGCCGAGTAAACGTTCTGCCCCTCAGGGGTTGAAACAGTGGGTGTTACAAAGCCGTAGCCCCTGATGATACCTAGGTAAGCCACAAACTTTAACGTTGACAGGGGCGGTCCTGGCCCGCGAGGACTCATCACAATATTCAATTGGCGCCTGAGCATACTGAGGATGCGATCATCACATATGAGGATTAAATTTCGCAGTGAGCTTCCAATGATAAGAGAGTTGAGGTTTAGGATGGTATCAAGGCATCGCACAAGAGAAAGGTATTCAAGGGGCATGGAATCAGCCGGAGAAGTTTTGACGACAGGTTTAAGTTCGGCTGCTGCTGTTAGGGGTAGAAGTTCCTTCTTCCTACCTACGGGGGGCTGACGGAATGTAAGTCGAGCCCCCACTATGTCAGTCTTCGGCACCAACCACTCGAGCTGCTTAGGCGAAGCAACGGCGAACTGCCCCCGGGAAGCGCGCGAACCTGTATGTGCAGTACACGTGCCCGGAAAAGCGAGCAGAACTTCCGCCCCTGATATCTACCTACCTAGATAGTAGATAGTCTCACATACAAGAGCGACCAAGTCTTCAAAGCATTTGTATTACTATATTCCCTTGATATAAACCGGATCATGCCTTATTACGTCTCCGGAAGAAAATCATGTGAATGACCTGAAAGCACGGAAAATCAAGAACCGGGTTAAACATAGATAGCCGCATAGAAACATCTGGTCTCCGATAGGCCTGGCTTGCTTGGGAGTATAAAATCATTCCAAGTATCTGTTCAGTAGGCAGTGATTGTTCTGGTCTGTTCTGGTCCGGTTGGGTTCGGTAAAGCAGTCGGAACCAACAAGGCTGCCAAGACTGATCATGAAGTTATTGGATGAAGAAGAGAAATGTTATGCCGCTATATATTTATCATATCCGTCGTATTTCTCACTGTCTTTGCCATCTTTGCTGTGGTCAAGTTGGGCCCTTCCGTACCACGCCCAAAGGCACTCGCAGGCCTCTATAATATCAGCATTCAGCTGACCGCGACCATCAACCATTGTAAGTTTCGCGCCACTGGAGTCGGCAGTGATTTTGATGGACTAATTGCAGGACAAATAATCCCAACAATTTCTCCAAAGCAATACTGCAAGTATAGTGGTATTCAAAGCTCAAACAACCCAGCAAGCGTCATTAATGTCAATCCCCTCAAGGTCTTCGCCGGCATGCATCAGGAGCCTATCCATGTATGTCTGAAATACAGTACGCGCTACATTGTGGGCATCACGGAGCCAGGGCTTGGTGACTCGGCCTGCGCGGCTATAGTCCTGACATGTACCACCGTGCGTGGAAGTGTGTGTCTGTTTGGAAACCCTTGTGAATTAGCTTTGTAGTCTGTGTGGGCTAGCTGGTGAGTGGCCGTTACCATTGACCCAAGGGTCTTCGTACCTTGTCGACGGACCTGTACATGCTCTTGCAATATTCCCAGGATGCCGACAACGGTGGCGACGATGCCAAATACGATGCTGATGATAATGTCGAGAGACATGTCGTAACCCTGGGTCGGCGAGATATGGTACGTCGAGTGGATCAAGGATGCAGGCTTATCTCAACTATTCACGAGTCACGACTCGTCTGGTCTGGTCTGGACTGAGCTGCAACGATGCGAAAGCGTCGACGAGGGACGAAAAGACCCAGTGCTGCCTTTATATGTAATAAGTTACGATGCTTTGGTGGCGGTATCTGCGGCTGCAACCAAGGCAGACAGTGTACCAGTACATCAATCATCCATCCACTCGAGCGGCCAACATGGCCAACTCCCACCTGCATCGCTAGAAGCTTGGTTTCGATACGCGCGACCATCTTCTCTGCTACTTGCAGCGCAGCATGTGTCGGCCAGTCGGCTTATGAAGCCGATTGTGCCACTACATATGAGGCTGGGGGCGTTGCCCAGCTTTGACTTGTCTCTGCGTAGAAGTTCGATCAGGAATAGTGCTAAGTGGGGGCCGACAATTGATTGGATCGGGCGCCTTTGAACTTGGTGTGCCAGAGCAATTGTTGACCAATTGGAAGCTGTAGGCTAGCGAGGCGGTGTTTGGGAGGGCTGGTCGATGCGTCGTGGACCTGTCCGTTGGCGTTCGACTACACATCCATATAATAATAAATATACCTTGCTGTCCGTCAGTCTAAACTCATGTGTACCGAACAACTGCTCTTACACTGCATCACGCTGGGCTACGGTGGGTGCGGGGCACATCCGTTGTATGTCTCTAACAGCACAACCATGGCTCCACGAAACGCCAAAAGATTCCCATGCCCCAAGGTCGGATGCACCAAGTCATTCGTGCGGAAAATGGCGCTGCAATCCCATCTAGATGGCCGTCAGCACGCCAACCTGCGGCGGTTCCAATGTCCCGAATGCCCCACCCGTTTCGTGCGCAAGGATGACCGGAGAAAGCATCGAGAACGAAAGCATCAACAACTGGCGAGGTTCAGCTGCGGCGCAAGCAGCTGCAGTGCTGCATACGCAACAAGGCACGAGCTCAATCGCCACCTGAGACGCTTTCCCGAGCATATTCAGGACGAGGGCAATCCAAGCGCCTCCTTCCAAGAGGTGACGGCTCTTGCAGCACCGAACGAGAATCCCCACCAACAGGAGGTCGACCAACAGGAGATCGACCAGCGATACGAAGAACAGTGGCAGCTACTAGTCGGCTGTGGGAGTTGGGCTGAATTTCCTGCTGTGCTCGAGGACGAGCGAGTCCAAGATGAAGAAACGGGAGGGGGACGTCTTGTGGCTGAATTGTCGCTGACCATCCTAGAGAATGACCCCTTCTTGCTCTCTGAACATGAGCTTCATTCCCCTAGCGACGATGCACTCATGCAGTCGTCCAGATCCACGTTACTCGACTGCGCTGGAGAACCGCGAGAAGTTGAGCTTCAGAATAGGTGGAGCAGGATCAGAGAGTTCTTGCAGGCCTTCAATTCTGCATGGGACGAAACATACGAGAGTATAACATCCCCAAGCTGGGTGAGTTATGCGAGGCCTTTGGGTTCCATGATGGCTCTCGACATGCCCTTTGTGGGGACAGGTTCATTCGTAGAGCGGGACCTGCCATTTGCCGCCGAACCAAACCCCGCCGCCCTGGCAGACAACCAAGCAGTCTTGGATCAGTTGGTGAAATTTGTCCGCTCCTCCTGGTATCAATATGATTTTTCCAACCTTGAGGTTGATCTTCGCCAACTATATGCCAAATTGGCCAACGGGTTTCGAAGGTTTCGGGAGCATGGAGTGGGAGTACTCGAGCAGCATGTGAAGAAGCTGCTTCAACAGGCGTTTAAAGAAGAGTTAGCCAGGCGTAATGAGATCGAGCGCGACATCCTCTTTGACCTCAACCAGGAAATTAGGGATTTCTGCGCCGCCAGGGATACTGGGACATCTTTTGATAAGCTCGCGAAAGAGTTTCCACATGCGGACATCTGGGAGTCACTTGCAGATATTTCTGACGAACAAGAACTGAGAGTCAAATATCAGATGGAGACGCGGTTTCTGGTGCAGCAGAAGCAACGAGAGTTGTCGCATGCATATTCAGGAGCGAATTTGACCCTTGAGTGGCTCGAGGAGGCCATCCGGTGTGCCCTTCTGGCTCGCCAATTTTGCAAGTCTATCATCTCTGGACACACGGACAGCACCATTGAGACGGTACGCACCGCCTCACAGCGAGCAGTTGAAAGTGTTATTGCAACGGCGTCTCATGTGCAGGAAGAGTGCGAGATGGACCTCGATGTCCGCGACTGACAGAAGGTTCTGAATAGAGAATAGACTGCAATCAGCTCCTTCATCATAAGGCGTCACGGCGGCACTCCATGGAGCGGTTGGCAAAAACCAAAGAACAGACCATTCAGGCGACTCGGAAGAGTCATGGCAAGGAAGGGAGGTAGAGTGGCCACGTGGCGGAAGATGTGCAGGATACACATACTTCCAGGTTACCTTTCTATGTTCCTTCCTGCTCTGATTGCGCATGTTGGATACTCTTGTATGGGGAAGAAGGGCCGCGGGCACTTGGCCTTTTTCCGAGCAATCCGGGATCCTGAGAGACAAGGAAGCCATAGACCAGTCATGGGCCTGGACCGAGAGGCTCACAGATTTTTGTTCACGCTGCTCACGAGAGCCGCGCCACAGGATTACATGCCGGATGGATTGGTCAAGGCCCAGGTCAAATTTGCTGAATGTGCGGGCCCGGGAATAGAAATGGTCTTTGCGGGAGTTCAGAATCTGGTGCTGAGTAATCTGGTGGTCGAAATCTAATGAAATCGATGTTCGCGAGAAGAGAGATGGATTGGGTGCTGAAGAGGTACGAGGTGCAGAGTAACATTGTGCCAAGGCGGAAGGGCGTAGCCGCCATATTGACGGATTCTGTATGTGGATACCTAACAACAGGGGGTAGATAAGGCTGCCATCCCCCTTTTACCTTTTGATTACATCCAGACCAACACTCCATCATACTCTCGGACAGCTTTCTCACCTATTCTCTTTCACCAATATACTGTCACCATGGCAATGGCGTCTGGCCCTCCCGCCCATGTCCAAGACACCATTGAGGCGATCGAGCTGCCAACAGCACAGCCATCCTCTCCTGCCGTTGTTTCCTCGGCACACAGCAGCACTGAGGTCAAGGAGTTGGAAACGACGACTCAAGGCTCATCCGGGCCTACCCGGCAACGGAGTAGGCTCAGGACATTGACTGTCATGATCGCCCTTTTTGTGCGCAACACCCCCCTCTCTTATTGCCTGCTAGACGCCCAACCTGACTCGGTCACTTATCCAGTCCGCCCTCTTCATCGCCGCCTTGAACACCACCATCGTAGCCACCGCCATCCCGACAATCTGCGCCGATCTTCATTCAGCTGCCGGCTACTCCTGGATCGGGGCCTCATATGTCATCGCCACCACCGCTGTCGTTCCAATATGGGTGAAACTGTCCGACATCTGGGGCAGGAAGCCGATTCTGTTGATGGCCGTAGCGCTATACTTTGCCAGCTCCATTATCTGCGCTGTCTCGACCAGCATGGCCATGCTCATCGCGAGCCGCAGTGTCCAGGGAGTATCAGGCGGCGGTCTCGCGTCTCTTATCAGTATCGTCATTTCGGACCTGTTCAGTATGAGGTTTGTGACCTATATTGCGGATCTGCGTTTGACAACGAGACGAATCTCTAATGGACGCTTGCAGGAGCCGACCTCTCTTTCTCGGCCTTCTCCACGTAACTTGGGCTGTTGCCGGGGGCCTTGGGCCAGTGCTCGGCGGCGCCTTTACGCAGCTTCTCTCGTGGCGCTGGATCTTCTGGATCAACCTTCCGATTTCCGGGGCAGCATTCTGCTTGTTACTCTTATTCCTGGACGTGCATAACCCGAAAACCAAGCTCGCCGACGGCGTCAAAGCGATCGACTGGGCTGGGAGCCTATCTATCGTCTGTGTCATGGTCATGGTCCTTCTCGGCCTCAACTTCGGAGGCACGGCGTATCCCTGGGACTCGCCAAAGGTCATCTGCCTCGTCGCGGTTGGGGGTTTGATGGCTGTCGTGTTTCTCTTCAGTGAGAGTCGCCTCGCGCGCTATCCAATCATGCCCTTAGGCCTGTTCCGCCGGAGGTCCAATGCTGCATGCCTTGCTATTGGCTTTACACAGCATTTTGTATGTTGTGCCTAGGATCTCTTCTTAAGTAATAGGGCTAGACTGACAATCGGCGACATAGGTTATCAATGCGGCCGAGTACTATCTTCCACTCTATTTTCAATCTACAAAAGAGGCCTCGCCACTCCAATCTGGCCTTCTCCTCCTTCCGCTCATAATCACAGAGGCATTTACTGGAATTTTCGCCGGCGTCTTCATATACCGTGTGGGCCGCTATATGGAGCTCATCTGGGCTGGTATGGCTTTACTGACCGTCGGCAATGGGCTGTATATCTATCTCAACGCAACATCATCCATAGGCTCGATTGCCGCGTTCGAAGTTGTGGCTGGTCTGGGCGGAGGTCTTCTCTTCGAACCCCCTCTCATCGCTCTTCAAGCCCTCGTCTCCCAAGACGACACCGCGACGGCCACAGCCACTCTCGGGTTCATTCGCGGCATCGGCGTCTCGCTGTCGATCGTCAGTGGGGGAATTATCTTCCAGAATGGAATGCAACTGCGAAGACCGAGCTTACGAGACCATGGACTGCCGACGAACCTCATCGAGACCTTCTCGGGCCCGGACGCCGCGACGAGTATCGACCTCATCGCGACCATCCCCGATCAAGCCCAGAGGTTGGCGGTGAAGCAGGCCTTCGCATGGAGCTTGAGGAATGTCTGGATCATGGCCGCCGGCGTGGCTGCATGTGGCCTGCTTGCGAGCGGGCTTGTCACGAAAAAGGAGCTAGCCAAAGACCACACCGAGACTCGGACCGGGATCAAAGAGAAGAGACAGGCTGATAGTGGCGCACTTGACGGTCAGGAAGCCGTATCTGCTATTGCGCGCAGCGAAGAGGCCTTTGCGTAAGGACTTGTTTCAAGGGTCATGGTCTGTCATGGCCACCTCAAGGCGGTATCGGTCTGAAGCTCCCTTGCTTCTATATGAGACGGGGGCCTTCCTTCCTTTGCCCGACATAGATTTTGGGCTTAGGCTCGTTAAGCAGCCCCCCTTCAGCTGAATCTAGCACCTCGGGCGGATAAAAGATACAGTCCTGTGGCAGCGACGTTAGTCCCCAATCTCACGAGCGAATCTACGCAAAACTCACCATATTCCGTGTCCGGATTCTGCCATCCCTGGATCAGCGACAAGCCTGCACCCTGCCAAAGCTGTCGTCGGTCCTCCTCGTCATACTTATGGCTCGAGACCACAAAGACCTTCTCACCCGCTTTGAGACAACGGTCCTCAAACCAAATATCCTTTCGTGGTACCAGGTACTGCTCGTGTCTTCCGAGTTTTTCGTTCCACTCGCCGTGACGCTCCCACTCGTCCTGATGAAAGATGGGCCTGCCCAGGATCTGGTTCGCGTAGTCGAGTGCGTTTTTGATAAACTGGTCGTTCCTGGATTCGGCGTCGTTGTACGCGGGCCATACTCTGTCTCCATTTTTGCAGCCGTCCACGCCAATGACCATCAGAGGCTCAATGCTGATTGCTCCATTGACGGAATGATCGATAGCTTTGGCGAATCCTGCGAAGAATGCCGCGGCTCCAGGCCGGGTGAAGCTCCCAAGGGTCGAGCCCAGCGAAAGTACGACTCTGGGCCTCGAGGCAACTTCAAATTGTTGCAGCCACGTCAATCCGTCGTCATAAGTGCCCAATAGGCCATGGCACCGGACGTGGTGGAATGTACTGGGGGACACCTCCTGTAGAGTGCGTTCGAGCTCGCAGCGTGATAGGTCTAGGGCATAGTAATCGACGGACTTTCTCAGGTCATCTATCGCCTGCAGAAGGATCTTGGTCTTTCGCAGACACCCGCTGCCCAATTCGACAATGATGGAGCCGGCCTCAATCCTCTGCGCTATCTCATGTGTGTGCTTTTTCAAGAGCTCAATCTCACAGTTGGTCAGGTAGTACTCGGATGCGTAGGTGACGGCTTCGAAGAACTTCAAGCCCTGTTCGTCCCACAGCAACAATGACGGGAAGCTTGGCGACCTGGCTTTCAGCGAGATAGCAGTATCCTTTGACAGTTCGATTTTCTCGGCATCTGACTGGATATCGATGATATCGGCTGTCAAATGCTCTATGTTTTCATCGTAGGATCCCATTGTGTCCAGTGAGCAACAATGCCTTTTGACGAGTCCAGAATCCCGAGAGCTATCGCGTGAGATGAGCCAGAAGATCAAGTAGTCCTTTAAGGACAATCAAAAAATGCGGTCGTGATGGCGCCATCTCGAGCCAGGGCAACATGTTCCACCAACGAGATCCACGCATGACGGTACCTGGGACGAACGTGCAACTCGAGAGGGACCGCCGCGACATTAGCTGGAGCGTGTGTCACCAGGATCGCAATCACGACATGTGCATGCAATTTCATTGCTCCATCATGGGAGGACAAGCCTACCAACAATGTCAGTAAATCGGGCGTAGAGCGAGCGGAAATAATATCCAGGAGATGCTGATATGACGGCACTTGGTGCCGGTGGAAAATTGGTCCATTGCATATACTGCCACCTGGGTGCCACCACTTCTTTTCTGACATGACGCCATGGAGGATCGAGCAGGTATTGGTAGATGGGAGCAGATATACTCCAGACCCTGTTTGGTGCTGTAGCTTCACAAATTGATGCCGCACGCGCTCTCGACATCAAAACGCGTCGCGTGTTCACGTGCACGCGTTCAGTGCCTGATGACGTCAAGTATCAAATGACAGTGACTTGGCAGTCTGGCGTTCAAGTTGCAATCGACTCTCTCTTGCGATCCTCACGGTTTACTGACCCGTTTCAAATCACTTGGGCCCAATGCCAATGACGAAGTGTAGTACAAAGGCACTGAGAATCTCGTCATCAGTTTGATTCTCACAGGCGCAAGCGGTGAAGCGGTGAAACCTCTATGTTGACGTATTCGCCATGCTACTTGTCCCCATTGCTGGGCTAATCTCTACATGAGCTCATATCAGACATAGACAACTGGACCATGTAGTCATAGTCAGGCACTCACAATTCCGTTCCCGCAAATTTTCCCCAAGTCTTTGTACCGAATCCCCGTTCCTTGATGCTTCTAGCCGCCAGATCGCGCATCTCGCAAGGTTTACAATTCCAGCCTATCCTGATCAACCTAGGTGACTGTTCAGAGAAAAAGAGATCTCCGCATACAAATGCACTAGCGCCTCGTGTTGGATTGACAAGGAACGCAGGATACCCTCAGCACGGGTAGCTGACCTTCCACCTTGATCATGGAGCCAAAGGTGACCTACAGTGATCTGGTCATTGTCGGTGCTGGCCCAGCCGGCTTGATGGCGGCTTCTTGGGCCAGTCGACTGGGCCTAAACGCTCGCATTCTAGACGATAAGCCGGACAGAATACAAAACGGTCGAGCGGACGGGCTTCATGTACGGACCATGGAGATCCTCGACAGCTTCGGCATGGCAACCCGGATAAATGAAGCCGCTTACCACCTCCGCGAAATCTGTTCTTGGGTACCCATAACTTCCCCCATCTGTCGAACTTGTACTGACCACAAGAGAAGAACCCCGACCCTGAAGATGAAAACAAGCTTCAGCGTACGCAGAGGATTTTGGCCAAGGAGGAAGAGTATGGCCGATTTTGTCAGCAGGACGTACACCAAGGTTTCATTGAGCAAAACTTTCTCGACTTCCTGGAAAGAGAAGGTCGTGTTCATGTAGAGAGAGACATTAAGACGACTTCTCTGCGACTGGACGAAGATAGTATGGTCGACCACAAAGCCTATCCGATCACTTTACGGGTTTCAAGACAAGCCCCAGCAAGCACTGGAGACATTGTGGACACGAATTGTAAGATTCCTCGCCTCCGGAGTGGCACATCTTTCCTATACTGACCGTCACGGCCGATGGCTCAGATGAAGAAATCAAAACAAAATATCTGCTCGGCACCGACGGGGGACACAGCTGGACTCGAGAACAGATTGGCCTAGAGATAGCAGGTGGCAAGACCAAAGCCCATTTCGGTGTCATGGACATTATTCCCATTACGGATTTTCGTAAGTGGTGTAAACTAACAACAGGACTAGACAGTGCTAATGTTTGTTGTAGCTGATATACGAGTGTCATGCTCTATCCACTCGGCAAAGACCGGCAGCATGATGACCGTTCCCCGCGAGAATCGGCTGGTCAGGTTCTATATTCAACTGGCCGAGACTGGTAGTGAAGGAGACGACTTCGACACCGCCAAAGTCACGCTTGAAATGATCGCACAAAAGGCGGCGAAGATTCTAAGTCCATTCCACCTGCGATACGAATACTGTGATTGGTGGTCTGTGTATACCGTGGGTCAGCAATGTGCGCCCAGGTTCGACAGAGACAATCGAGTCTTCCTAGCCGGTGACGCTGTTCATACACACTCTCCCACTATGGGCGCCGGGATGAACGTGTCTATGCAGGATACGTACAACTTGGTGTGGAAGCTGGGCCAAGTCATCCAAGGCATAGCGCAACCACAGATTCTGCGCACCTACAATGACGAACGCCAGTCAGTCGCTACACGTTTGATCGAATTGGATCAGGAAATGTGCAAATTCTACGAGAAGGGGCCGGGTTCGGATGCACACCACTACAACAAATTCTATGCGAAATTCCGTACATTTCTCAGCGGAGCCGGTGTTGAATATGGCCCAAACATTTTGATACCTCGCACGCATAAGGAGGAGTCGTCGCATTCCGAACCTCGCAATGGCTTCGACAGAAAAAGTTCGTCTAGCCTCACTTCAAGACAATCACTGGCAAGCAATATCATTGTGGGCCGACGGCTGCCCTCTCATTTGGTGTTGAATCACGCAGAAGCCAACATTGTGCATGTACATTCAATGTTGAAGTCCGACGGCCGTTGGCGATTGCTGGTGCTGCCTGGCAATATCGCGGAGGAGACGCCGATGGCGCGCTTGAAAGGTTTATGCCAATACCTGGACAGTGCTTCGTCGTTTTTACGCACATACACACCTGACAATGAAAAATTGGACTCGGTCATTGAGGTTTTGACAATACACGCTGCCTCGCGATCCAAGCTTGAATTGTCCGACCTACCAGAGATCCTTCACCCATTTGACCCCAAGCTCGGAGATGACTATTGGAAATGCTTTGTGAACAACAATGCTGGAGAAGAAGGCGCCTTTGACGATGCCTACGAGAGATGGGGCGTGGACAAGAAGCAGGGTTGCCTGGTTGTCGTGCGGCCAGATCAGCATGTCTCCTTCATCTGCGGCGTCGAGGAGATAGACCAGGTTGCAAGGTATTTCGACCAGATCCTTGTGCCGCAAAGGGGGAAGAGAGAATGCAATTGTGGGCATTGAAGCATCGCGGCCTCGATTTTCAGCATGTTGGAAGCCATTGAGGGCCTTGTAAGGAATCTGAGAAACATGGGGAAGGGATTCCTCATGGTAGCCGCGGAGACATGGGCGTTGAGGCCACATATCTTTGTCAGATGATAGTGGAATCCATCATGTTACAAAGAAGGCAGCCCAACAATGTGACTGGAGGTCTCTAGGGGATTTGTAGAAGGCTATGAAGAACGGAGTACCGCGTGCCTTGTGTGATTCTGTGTCAATTGCCGACCGTGCGACGGACTGTTCTCCGCTCATCGCCAACGTCCAACGGCCACCTGCACGTCGCACGTCGCACGTCGCACTAAGAATGATCTACAACACCACATGGTGCTACCACCTCCACCACCTCCACCACCATCCCATCCCGCCTTGTGATGCCCTTGATGCCCGCTGTCGATCCTGTCTCCCCACGATTGTCCATTGGCCGGTTGGCCGTCGGCACGTTGCCGACACGTCATTATTCGAATCCCATGCCACAGCACGTCCATCATGTCCCAGATGCAGCAGGTCGCATCTCTTTCATCCCTCCGGTGCTTCGCAATGCTTGCCAACGCTTGACCAAAAGCTTAGGCTCGGACTCCAGTGCCCCATAAAATGGGTAGTCACATATGACACTTCTCGGTATTATCATGACGGTCGTTTCTGTCTTTGTTACTTTCCTCAAATCTTTTCTCTCTCTCTGAACCCAAGTGTCCTCCAAAAATGACTGCGATGCAAGGAACGCAGCGCCTGGTCGGTGGGTGGCTGATTGCCGCCATCACGTCCGTATGCTCGTCGGGCTTTCTCTTGTTCGGGTACGACCAGGGCGTCATGTCCGGCGTGGTGATCTCCAAGTACTGGCTGGCGCAGATGGACCACCCGAGCTCGCTCATGGTCGGCACCATGACTGCGCTGTACGATGTGGGAGCCGTGTTCGGGGCCATCGGCGCCGCTTTCACGGGAGAGCAGCTGGGCCGGAAGAAGACCCTGCTACTGGGGACCACGGTGCTGATGGTCGGCACGGTGCTCATGGCCAGCAGCTACGAGCGCGTCCAGTTCATGGTCTCGCGAGTCTGCACGGGGATAGGCATCGGGTACATCACGTCGGTGACGCCCGTGTACCAGGCCGAAATCAGCGCCGCGGCGCAACGCGGCTGGCAAGTCTGCTGCCAGCTCACCACGATGCTCGGCGGGCTGATGATCGCCTACTGGATCAACTACGGCTTCTTCTTCGTGCACAGCAGCGCGCAGTGGAGGTTCCCGCTGGCCTTCCAGCTGGTCTTTGCCATCTACATCATGCTGGTGGCGCCCTGGCTGCCCGACACCCCGCGCTGGCTCATGCGACACCGCACCCCGGCCGAAGGGCTCGCGGTCCTCGCGCGGCTCCGGGGCCGCGATGAAAAGGACCGGCTCGTGCAGACGGAGAAGGACGAGATCATGGAAGCCATCGCCATCGAGGAACAGGAGGAAGGCTCGTGGGCAGACCTGTTCCGCAACAACGGCATCTCGGCCAACAAGCGATTCTATCTCGCGCTGGGCATCCAGTTCATGCAGCAGATGTCCGGCATCAACATTGTAAGTATTTTTGCACTGCACGGCCGGCCCCCGTGAAATCGGGACACTACATAGGCTAACAAGCATTCTTCCCTTGCAAAAGGTCACATACTACGCCCCAACGCTCTTCACCACATCGTTGAACATGACCCAAGAGATGTCCATCCTAATGGGCTGTTTCCTGCAGCTGTGGTACATCATCGCCTCCTTCCTGACCTGGTACACGATCGACCGCGTCGGGCGACGCCTCCTCTTCATCTCCATGGCCCTGGGCATGTGTCTGGTATTGGTGGCCGAAGCCATCGCCGTCAACCGCATCGAGGCCGCAAACTACCACGACACCTCGGCCGGCGTGGCCGCCGTCTTCTTCGTATTCGCCTTCGAGGCCTGCTTCACCTGGGGCTGGATGGCCACCGTCTGGGTGTACCCGCCGGAGATCTTACCTCTGAAAATCCGAGCAAAGGGCGCCGCTCTGGCCGCGGGAGCGGATTTCTTGGGAAACTTCCTCGTCGTCGAGGTCACGCCTGGTAAGTAACAACCCCCAAAACCGACCCACTCACTATTCAATCCAATTATCGTCCTATATATTTTCCCCCATTTCGCTAACCCACATCTCATTCACATCCATGTAGACGGCGTCAAGAATCTAGGCTGGAAATTCTACATCGTCTGGGCGGTGCTTAACCTCGCCAACGCCATCATCGTCTGGCTCTTCTACCCAGAAACCGGCGGCCAGCCGCTCGAAGCCATCGACACGCTCTTCGCGGACAAGGAGCAGCGCCGACGGGCCTCGAGTCTGGGCGTCTTGCCCGATGATGATGATGATGATGACATGGACGGAGCCGACACCGCGGACAAAAGGGGCCTCCTGAGCAGACTGCAGTGGAGCATCGTGCGCAAAGCCGACAAGCAGGTCAAAGCGTACCGGCGCACTGGGGGCGGTCGACGGCGTGTCTCGGAGACGACCGCCGTGTCCGACACCACCACCGCGCGAGGAGGCGGCGGCGACGACGACGACTACGACGAGGAGGGGGACCTCGATGGCGGAGCACGGGGGAGAAAGGTCCGTGAGGACCAGCGTGAAGTTGTCGTGCAAAAGTGACACAAAAATAGAGCGACCGGGAGCAGAGGGAAGGAGGGATTATCTTGATTGTTTTACTAATCAAACAATACTGTACAACTTTTATATACATACATGTACAATGCCACCCATCCCTTCACCACCTGCAGTGTGTAGAATAGAGTGGGGTATCATCCAGAAACACAAATGCGCCGTTGATCCCAGAGTCAAAGCTCATCGTGTCTGTCGTACAGTTCGTGCTGAAATATCCCCTCGACTTTTGAAATGCTATCGTAGCTCTCGAAAGATTCGGTGGTCGGCTGTGCTCAACCTGATGCATGAGTGGAAGGACAATGGAAAGTAGTGCCGTCAAGTTAGCCAGTCTGCTTCAGACTCTAGGCTTTTGCTCGCACTTCCAAATCCAAGGTCTCCCTGTCTTTGCCCAAGATGACCTTCGCGGTATCCCCAGTCTTCAGTTCGCCTCTAATGATCCTGTCTGCTAGTCTTCGTCCGATCTCGTGTTGTATGAGGCGATTGAGCGGCCTGGCGCCGTATCGAGGATCATAGCCCTTCTCGCATAACCAGTCCTTGACTTCGGACGAAATGTCAAGCGCGATCCTACGATCGTCAAGGCGCCCTTGAAGTTCGCGGATGCGGATGTCCACAATGTCTCGCAGAGCAGACTTCGACAGTTTGTTGAAGATGATGAATTCGTCGATCCGGTTGAGGAACTCGGGCGGGTAAGAAGCTTGCACAACTTCCATCACGCCTTTCTTTTGTTCGGGCGTCACTGTTTCCACGTCTGCCCCACTGCCCATCAGAATTTCGGCACCAAGGTTGCTGGTCAAGACAATCAGAGTGTTCCGGAAGTCGACTTTGTGGCCTTGGCTGTCGGTGAGAAATCCCTCGTCCAGCACTTGCAGCAGCAGACTTGAGATGTCACGGTGGGCCTTCTCAAACTCGTCGAACAGGAGAACTGCATACGGTTTGCGTCGAACAGCTTCTGTCAGCTGGCCTGCATCCTCGTACCCAACGTAGCCTGCGGTGGCGCCAATGAGTCGTGATACTGTGTGCTTCTCCTGAAATTCCGACATGTCGAAGCGTACCACGGCGGATTCTGTGCTGAAGAGGAAGTTGGCAATCTGCTTGCAGAGTTCTGTCTTTCCGACGCCAGTAGGTCCAAGGAACATAAAACTTCCGAGCGGACGGTTTTCACCGTTAAGACCTGCTCGTTGCATGCGGACCGCATTGGCCACCGCGGTAAGAGCTTCATCTTGACCACGGACATGGTCTCGCAATTTGTCCTCCATCTTCACAAGCTTTTCAACTTCCCCAGCCATGAGTTTGGTGACTGGAATGCCTGTTGTTCGGCTGACGACGTTGGCAATGTCATCAGCAGTCACCGAATCATGGATAAGGGTCTCTCCGTCCTTCGTCGTCGTGGTGACTTCTTCGCCTTCCCTGGGCAGTTGAGATTCGAGTTTTGGAATGGTCGCATATTGCAGTTCACCTGCACGAGCAAAGTTTCCTTCACGTCTGGCCTGCTCCAACTCCTGTCGTGCCTTTTCAAGGTCTTCTTTGGTTCGTTTGATGGTTTCGATTTCCGCTTTCTCGCGGTCCCAAATCTCGGTCAGACGATCCACTTCTTTCTTCTTGTCTGCAAGCGTCTCCTCTAACTTTTGCCGACGTTCTTTGGAGGCGATGTCCGTCTCCTTCCGCAAAGACTCGAGCTCGATTTGAATGGTCATGATCTCGCGATCTAGTTTTTGGATCGCGTCAGGTTTGGATTCCTGTTGCAAGCGAAGAGCAGAAGCTGCCTCATCCACAAGATCTATAGCTTTGTCGGGTAGGAAGCGATCAGTAATGTATCGATTACTGTATGTCGCGGCGGCAACAAGAGCACCGTCTGTAATGCGAACGCCGTGATGGACTTCATAACGGTCCTTAATGCCACGCAAGATAGAAATGGTGTCTTGAACTGAAGGTTCGCCGACCAGGATTGGCTGGAATCGACGTGCAAGCGCAACATCCTTCTCGATTTGGCGGTACTCGTTGAGAGTCGTGGCACCACAACATTGTAACTCGCCACGCGACAGAGCTGGTTTCAGGAGGTTGCTCGCATCAATTGACCCTTCAGCCTTTCCGAGACCGAGCAGGGTATGCAATTCGTCGACGAAAAGGATGACTCCTCCATGTGCGTCTTGTACCTCTTTAAGAACCTTCTTCAACCGTTCTTCAAAGTCACCTCTGAACTTGGCACCTGCTATCAATTGACCCAGGTCCAGAGAAATAACTCTCTTATTCTTGATGCTTTCGGGTACGTCTCCTCTTACTATCCTCTGTGCGAGACCTTCAAGAATGGCGGTCTTACCCGTTCCAGCTGCACCAATCAAGACGGGATTGTTTTTCGTTCGACGTGAAAGGATCTGTATCGTTCGATGAATCTCTCCATCTCTTCCGATGACTGGATCAAGTTTGCCATCTTTAGCTCGGGCTGTCAGATCGACGCCGTATTCTTCCAATGCAGGTTTTTCAGGCTCGCCTCCCATATTCATTCGATGGGTTCCGCCAGGGGGATGAGGTCGGCCATTGGCGTACGTACGAACGAACACGGCAGCTGGGAGTACGGAGCGAGGAGTCGAAGAATAGGTTGTACTGGATGTCAGGAAGGGAGCGGCTCTCCGACGGAGCAAAGTTGAAGGTAGTACTCGCGAAGGAACTGCTCGTCGGACGAGCGTCGACCTTGCGGTGTTCATGGCTGTGGTTGCTTTTGATGCAGAGCACCAAGGGGTTGCGGGAGTGTTATCGATGATCAAGGACAGAAGGAGACATGTCGACCACACTGTCGAGAGTAGAGCGGGAAATATTTTCTGATCCGAGTATTGGTGTGGTTCTTCTGGAAGCCTCGAGCCACATCGAATGATTCCGCACCGTCCACAGCCAAATACGGAATAGCTTGTTCTGAACTGGGTCTATTCCTTTTATAGACTAGTTTTGACGGCGTCGACGGCGAACTGTCGTGCCGTCATCTTTGCTCCGATTGGCCAGCGGAACGACATGGACCGGACTTACCTTCTCCTACAATCCTGAAGCAACCAAGCCACCTTTGTGCGTCTTCCGTTCAAATTATTATCATCCTCGTTTCTTCGTCGGGCAGCTCACGACCATGACGACTACCAATATCGATCCTACTGGTGACCTTGTCATCGACATTGAGAATGAACGCCTCCGAATCTCGTCCAAAGTCCTCTCTCTAGCGTCTCCTGTGTTTGGTGTAATGCTCAGTTCAGGTTTCAAAGAGGGGACTCCACAGAGCACAGATGACAGTCCTCGCGTCATTCCTTTACCGGAGGATGATCTCGAAGCTTTCAAACTTGTCTGTAGAGTCATTCATTTCCAGCTCGATCAGATTCCACAAGAGCTGAAAATCGACTCGCTGGAGAAACTGGCCTTGGTCTGCGACAAATATCAATGCACCGTCGCCATGAGGCATTGCGCGGCGTTGTGGCTGCAGAGTCTTTCCGACACATACCTCGCTGTTGAGCTGAATAGACAACTGTTGGTGGCGTACCTCTTGGACTTACCCACCGCTTTTTCAGATATCTCTTGGAGGTTGATGCAGGCACAAGCCGGCCCCTTTGAAGCATTACCTGGTCTAACGGACCACCCTACTGTCCCGTGCTCTCTACTGGGTTGGTAAAGATGTAACTCATTCAGCAGTCCCGGAATGCTCACGTGCGCAGATGTGCTCAATACCAGGAGAGTCGAGATCAATCGCAAAATGGAGAAGATTCTCATGCACCCGGTCTCCCGCCTCCTGGGCTGTTCCTGTCGAGCCTCATCTGACGGAGTGACAAAGTATCTCTCCACCCTACGGAACCAGACAATCGCTCCCTACGAAGATGGCTTTGAGTATCTGAGTTTACTTAAAGTAGTCGATAAAGTCGCGAACTTACCCAACAGCCTTGCGGGAGAAGCATCCTGCACGAACGGCTCATACTCCCGCTGCGAACTCGCTTCTTCGCGAGACGGTTCAATGAAGAAAAAGCTAACAAAGGATCTGTCCACCTTGATGGATTCAGAACCCGGCCTCTGCCTTGATTGTGTAAAGACCGGACGTAAATCAAAGGTTGACGGGACCTGCAGAGTTCAGCACTTGTCAAACCTCGTTGCAACTCATGGATACCGAAAGGAGGTCACTCGGTAGTGAGGCCGACTGTGAGAGGTCAAGCAGCATACTTATATTGCGGCCACGACGGCTTTAGTAGCGAACAGAAAAGAACCCTTGCCAATGCTTCGCTCCATCCGCGAATTTGGCCTGTTTTGTGTGGCGAGCATTGTTCTGCAACGAATTTGACTCAGTGTTTTGAGTCCAAGTCACGAGGCTGGATCTGCTCAGATGAGCCTCACCCAAATTATATTTCCCAGCAGGTCCGGCAGCCACAGAGTCTCAGGACGCAGAAAACTCACAATCGTCCCTGTACCTTCACTTCTTTCTCTTTCTCTCTCCCACCTCATACTCTCACACAGATACACACGCGCGTGCGCGAGACAGAGACCCACCATGATAGGACCAGCAGTGGCATTCGGTTTCCCAACCTTTTTCCCAGTCGGAAATACACCTCCTGTCGATGTATTACAATCCATTCCGCCTGGTCAAGATGCTGCGGTATTACTACTCGGCTGCGGTGATGCACGCAACGTTCTTTTCTCACTCTATTGTAGGCGACCCTCAGGTATGTGTCGTGGCTTGTGAAAGAAAGGAGTGCTTGCAGATTGCTAGGAAGTGGTGACGCTAACTTGAGCAAAGATGACAGTAAATTCGACTTTACGTGCTGCGATATCAGTGCTGAGATACTAGGTCTGGGAACCGATCCGACATGGCTGTCGGTGCTAATATCAATGCAGCTCGTAATATCCTCCTTTACACACTCCTGATCGATGACGTTGACGCTGATCGCACTCGAATCTGGAACATCTACTATCATTTCATGCTGGACAAAGAATCCCTGCAACTATTGCAGAAACAAGCACAGAAGCTGGCAGGCCTGGCCACATCAATTGAAAATTGGCGTCGACAACCATATGGAGGCATGCTCCGGTTCTGCGACCAAAACACCTTTGATCGAGTTGTCAAGCTCTGGAAATGGTATGCATTGGATGTCTCTGATGGAATTGCTTTCCAAAAACAACAGTGTCACCTTTGGATCGAGTTAAAGAAAGCATGTGAATGTCACCAACAGCTTCTCGCCAACTCAGGTTCTTCCTCCATTGATCGAGCGGCAAGCCCATGTTCAGACCTGCTCACTGAGGATAAGATGTCGTACCTACAGCATTACTGGAAGTTTGGGGTGATTTACCATGATGAAAGACTCCTCGCTATGTTAGACTATTATAATCCAACCTTCTCGTCAGTGGATGGAGGTTCAGTCATATCTCCGGCAACTGAACCTTTGCAATCCTTCCACTTAGCGACTGCATACGCACGACTTACCAAAGATTCGCCTATCAACCCGAAGACAAATCGTACGAACCAAGCGGCAGATCTCAGTCCCCAAGCTCAAGCGGCGGTAAGGCAGTTCCAGGCCTGGGCCGAAAGCCTTCGACGACTCAAGGGTCGACGGACTGTACGGTTCACAGCCTCGGATGCAATGGCTTTCTGTTACGTCTTACAACATCATGCCGTTCATCATGATAGTAATGGCGCTTTTCAGTATCGCGACAGGTCATGCTACGAGCAACTTGTGCTTGATCCTGTGGAATACTGTGCAGGAAAATATGGTACTACCACATTCGATGTCATTGATACTTCCAATCTCGTGGATCACTGGGGGTCTCTGAACATTCTGGGGGCTTGCAGACCTCTGCTCAGAGCGGGAATGAATTCCACCCTCTACATGGAACTTCTTCAACTGCGACATGACAGTCTCGAAGCGTACGCCCAGGGGCTGTTGTGTGGCGACATAGTTACGGTATCACTACTCTTTGGTCTCAGCCCCATTCAATACTGGACCAATGAAACAGGCTTCTCGCCTTACCCAGAAACGATACAGCACTGGCACGCACGCAAATATGGGCGTGGCCAAGCTCGCTTCATTACGATATGGAAGAATGTCGAGATGGACGGAGGTAATTTTGACCCTCATCAACTCGCACATTTCGTGCACAGAATGTATCTGCAGATGTTCGAACATGAAAGCCGCAAGGTCCAGTCATCCAAGACTGCCATTCAGTTGATGCGACGAAAATATCCGCATTATACACGTGCTGGTCTGGCTGTGATTCTGAGCCTGATCAAGAACGCTAAATTCGTCGACTTCACAGCCTTCGTGGAAAGACTTCGTTCCCGATTGTGGAATGAATCTAGCCGGGACGAAATGAGTTCTCAGTACCTGCAGTCTCTTGATCTCTACCTACACGAATTCCAGCTATGCACTTCGGCCATGTACAGTGACAAAATAGAGAATGCGGGAAACCGGGAACTCACCCTCCTTCGAAGTTGGCCTGACATCCCTTCCACTGTTTATCTTACTGTGGCCGTTTCACATTGGAGGTCAGACATTTCTGCCGTCTCCAGCTCTATGTCAGGATTTTGGCCTCTGTTGCAGCTTTCTTTGAGATGTCAAAATACCGATCGCGAGTCTCACTTTCCCGACGTACAGATTGGCCTCGGCGTTGTCCGAACCAAAGGAAAAAGAAATACGGCAAGCTACGCAGTGGAAATACAAACAGACTTGGAAGCACGGGAGGGGCTGACATCTTTAGTTGTTTCAGCTCTTGTGCCCACGCGCATGCTGTTGGAGGTGTCGAACTTCTCGACAGTGGTTGCGGTTCAGTTTATGGCTACAGCTCATAGGGACGACCAGGAAAGAGCAGCTAAAGCAGGTGCGGCCATAAATGATACTCTCTTGAATGATAGAGAGCGCGTGGGAAGCTTGAAGCATGAAGACGTCTTCATCACACAGAATCCTCCAAATATGAAGGGACGGATGCCGCCGCCGCCTGTTACTGCCAGCTCTGTGTGGCGAGAGACTGTACGTGTTGCTCACACTGCTGGCAAGGTGACCTTCCACATGATATTCGACAAGGAAGCGACAAGAGTGGAGAAACTCAACTTGCATATCGACCTTTCCTCCACGAGTGCTGAGCCTTTGTTGCAGTCAAAGGCTAACGTCAACTTTAAGCGGCTGTCTTCTTTCGTCCTCGAACTCACCATCCGTTCGGGATTGCTCGCGTATCGTGAGCGGATACGACTCCCAGTTGCATTAGACACTTCAAATTCCAGGACAAGAGTTGCCCGAAGATCTGCGTATGTTGAGTTCATCGCAACAGTTGCAACGCCGGACGTCCTATCAAAGCATCCGGATTCTCTTTATCCCATGCCTCTGGCTTGCGGCAAACCGACACTCGAGAATCTCAGATATATCCACCTGGAACATCTTCCAACAATCGATGTATCGGATGCTTCCAAACTCGAATGGATGACGCCTCATTTGATGTCAATGATGTCCCCGAGGGAAATCGACATTGCAATTCGATGCGGCCACCCGAACGCGAAGACCGACGACTTACGTTACAACTTCAAACGAACAGTCGCAAAAGTTTTCGCTCACTACACTGGCCTCGGTGGCAAGAAACAACAGAATGCGTTTGGCCTGATGCGTCGGGGGGAAACGATCCCATTAATAGTGGTCTTTATTTCAGCGTTACGGCTGGATCTCGCAAGTCTGAACGTTACCCTTGATGCGGCCATGCTACCTTCAACAACACAACTTGGGGCACGGGAGAGACTAGAACTTGTTATAAGAATGCAGAACAATGGCCCTGTATTCGAAGTTGACGACGACGAACTTGCACTATGGAAGTACGCAGCTGCAGCTTTTGCAGAGCGTTGCCGTGACTGGGAGCACACCGAGAGGTGCGAATACTCATCATCGAACACGTCTACCGTGCCTGCGCCGAGTTTCGACGGAGCCGTAGTCTGCTCTTGCGGGCTGGGGAGATTTCCGCAGGGTTACAAACCCGATGTGCCAGTGTGGACGTCTATCGCCAAGCACTGTGTTCGTGTGGCCATTTCGCCATGTTACGCTGTACCTTTGGTTGAGAAGATTTTTGACGATGAAACAACTGAGCAAGAAAACGAGCAAACAGCCGATCTCGTCACGAAAGCGGATCTCTACACAAAAAGACAGGGCTGCTGGGGATGCAACGAACATGTCTCAGAACATCAGAAATTGCTTAAGTGCGGCGGATGCAAGGTGGCTCGGTATTGTTCGAAAGAGTGCCAAGTCAAGGATTGGAAGCAAGGGCAACACAAGGTGGTGTGCAAGGCCATTAAGTTGAGAGTTTGATGCAGATGGGTGGTCACCGTGTCATGAGCTGAGGAGATCTCCAGAGAGCGGGAAAGGTGGATAGCGGGTACACCGCGGCTGCTCAGAAGGTCGATGAGAAAGTAGATCGCCCTCTCTCAAGTGTATGATATTTCTTTCTTTTTCTTGCCAGGGCTACTTGAAATGGAAATCAAGAACAGTACCGCGAGTGGTGGCGCAGGGGGTGTTTCATGATGGCAGAGCAAGTCAATGTTTTCAATTGCATTGACGGCGACTTCCTCTAGCAGTAAATGCTTTAATCTTCTTAAAAATAACAGTGTGCTCTCCTTTATGGTACTGCGAGATAGCGTTGGACAGAGCACAGACGTTGGAACAAGAGACCCCGCGAATATTCAGCGTCAGACGGTGTCATTTGATTTGCAGCCTGCCCCAGCCAGTGCCTCGTAGTCCGTAGTACCAGGGGGCAGCCCAATCGCCATTAAAGCAGCGGGGCTGGCAGTATCCGTCCTTGGCATGGCGACTCATGTTTTTTTCGAATTTGGGCATCGATCAAGAATCGACTTTGACTGCGCCCACCCATACCACTCACCACACCGGTAGTCGAGCTCTTTGGTCCCCTTCACATCTTCCAAAAGCACCTGATACATCAGTCAAGATGGGTTTCACCGACTTCGTCTCCGACAGTGGTCTCACACGTACGTCTTGTTGCCCCTTGAGCCCCTCCAAACCATGCCACTGACTCAATGACAGTCCTGAACAACTGGCTCAAGACCCGTTCATACATCGCTGGGTACGTATACTCTCCTGAGCTTCTCCCTGCCTTCAGATTCCAAGGATGAGAAACAATTGGTCCGTGTTGATGAGGCGGCTTAAGACACCGCAAAATGACTACTTCCAATCGCATGCATTTGCACCTCTGAGTTTTTGAAGAGACGAAGACACTTTGGCAAACAATATCAAGCTTGCTGTGGTCGCTGACTCATTCTCTGCAGCTTCCAGCCATCTCAAGCCGACGTCGTCAGCTTCAAGGCTCTTAAAGAGACTCCTCCCGTCGAGAAATACCCACATGCCTACCGCTGGTACAACCATATCAAGTCCTACGAGGCCGACTTCTCCACCCTGCCGGGCGACCCATCCAAGCCCTTCACCACCTACGGCCCAGAGGCTGTTGCTGTAACCCACAACCCCAAAGACGCCCCTGAAAAGGCTGAGGAGGATGACGACGAGGTTGATCTCTTCGGCTCTGACGAGGAAGAGGAAGACCCCGAAGTCGTGGCCGAGCGGGAGAAGAGATTGGCAGATTACAGGAAGAAGAAGGAAGGCAAAGCCAAGCCCGCCGCAAAGTCGCTCGTCACCCTAGACGTGAAACCGTGGGATGACGAGACGGACATGGACGAGCTGGTGAAAAACGTCTTGGCCATCGAGATGGACGGACTTGTGTGGGGCGCGCACAAGCTCGTCGCTGTCGGCTTTGGTATCAAGAAGTTGCAGGTCAACTTGGTTGTCGAGGATGAGAAGGTGTCTTTGGACGAGCTGCAGCAGCAGATTGAAGGAGACGAGGATCACGTCCAGTCCACCGATATCGCGGCCATGCAGAAGCTGTAAGAAGGAGGAGTTCCGGTTCTCCATGCCTCTCATTGCCTGTGACACGGACACCAAGTCAAGGGATTTCGAAGCTGTCCAGAGGGTTTCTAGCCTTGCCTTGGCTGATGTTGGGGTGGTTTCACGCCTGATTTCCCCTGGCACGGATTTGTTGGACTGACTTAGAGCGATGGCATTCTCCCTCTACGTAACTTGATGATAGACGAGAAAAATACAAAGATGAGTGACGAGCATCCTCGACCCACAGACAGCGCAGGCTCTCCTCCTCTGATCCTTGCAGTCCCCTCCCTCGTACGTGTAAAGGCGTTATCAGATCTGAGACATTTTGCAGGCTCATGATTTGCTGGTTGGTGCTAGATCCGGAGTCGCCCAGTCAGCCACCTGCCTCATTCTTTTCTATATCCAGCAAGACGGCACAAGCATGTACTTGACCTTGCAGCAGGTATAATTATAGCAGCATTGGCTTATTTTTTCTCTTCTGTCTGTGCTAAGTCTTTGTCTCGCTTGAGCCTTACTCTCCTCCACGAAGACCGCAACAAGGATAGAGGTGGGGTTTCCCTACAATGCTGGTCGCTCTGGCCTTTTGACAGAGCCGCAGAATCCTCAACTGCGCCCCTCCCCCTCCTTCACGTTACTACCTCAGGGGGCATACATATACAGCCCGGTCTGGCAACGAGTATCCCCAGAGCCTCGCGCCCTTTGCAATCTGCCCAACCTGACCGGAGAAAGCGGTGAGCAAGACAACGGACAGACCACTCTGAGTGGAGGGGTAGCAAACAAAAGGAAGGATATAGTGCGAGACAGGCCTTTCACTCCCCCATTCCCTCAAGAGAGCAGAAGTCGTGGAATCCGCAGACATGGCGGCCAAAAAACTCAAGATCGACCCTCCCCTTCTCAATTCAGCCTGTCCTTGGGCCACCACCCTCGAAGACATCAAAGCCCTCTATGACACTCCTTACACAGGCGCCGTCACGATTCGAACCTCTTTGCTGGAAGGCTTCACCCATGACGACTCTGTTCATCAATACATCTTCTTCACCCCCGGCAAGACCATCCCCGGGGACGCCCCAAAGGGTGAGGCTTCGAAACCCTCTTCGTCAAACAGCCCATCAGAACCAGTATCGACCCTCAACACGCTGGGCTACTCCCCACTCACTCTCTCCGAATACCTGGGCATCATCAACGAGATCGTCGGCCAGCGCCACCTGGGGACCGACACGCCGACCAAGAAACCATTCATCCTGTCCGTCACGGGAACACCAGACGAGATTGCCATGGCCTATGCTCTCATCGCCAACGCTGCAGAAATGGACGAAGATCTCCGTCTGGCCATGGAGGTCAACCTCTCGTGCCCCAACATCGCATCTGCCCCGCCACCGGCATACGACAAGAAACAACTAGACGAGTACCTTGAGGCAATCAGCGACTCCAAATCCACCTACCGGGGACGTATGGCAACTCCTGATTCGGTACCAAAAGTCGGTATAAAGCTTCCACCGTACACATATACCGGTCAATTCGAAATGGCCGTCGACTCTCTGCGCAATGCCAAGTCCTCTGAACCAGGGGAAGGCTCTGTGATCGACTTCATCACATGCACAAATACACTGGGCAATAGCCTTCTCCTCACCTCGAATCTCGACCCAGCACTCAGCAACGAGTCTGGCAGCGGGCTGGGCGGGCTGGCGGGAGCAGCACTCCACCCTCTTGCACTGGGCAACGTCGCCACCTTCCGAAAACTGCTCGATCGAGATCCCTCAACCAAGGACATCATGATCATCGGCGTTGGAGGCGTGGAAGACAAGGATGGTGCAGAGAGGATGAGGAAGGTGGGAGCAGAGGCTGTCGCGTGCGCATCGGCACTGGGCCGGTATGGGGTCAGTGTTTTTGAGCGTATCACCAAAGGTGCATGAGGCTCGATACCACCGATCACGTATGCACGCGGGAAGACGAAAAGTGATGCTTGGAAGAGACAGTCATGATCAGATTGCATGCCTTGCATTGCACTGCATAGCACTGCATTGACTGCATAGCACCATGGGCCACGCCTTCAATTACAAAGAGGATTGAAGAGCGCAAGCTGAGCCAGGGTCTCAGAAGATTATGCTCATGGGGATCCTGGGGCTGGCAGGTATTGTTAACTGTAGGTGGTCATCTACATGAGTAGAAGATACTATGTACGGAGGAGTCCTCACTTATTTACGCATCCGAAGAGGTGGATTGGGAAAAAAGGGAGACGATACGGCCCTGTCACGACCAGCACTTACGATAGCCCGCAGCATACGAGAAGCGTTCCAGAGAGACACGAAGAAACGATCAAATGATAAATAAATAAATACATTAAAAAACAACGGCAACAACCTAGAAAAACTTTTTTGTATTCATACTACGCTCAATAGGCACTCTGACTCAAAGAACCTTCTTCACCTGTTCGCATGCTCATTCTCCAGAACAAGCGCTCGCTCACACCTTGACTGATCAATCTTTGTTTCGTGCTTGGCCACTCGGACATTGACGGGTGATGGTCGAGGTTCGGGCTCGGGTTCAGTTCCAGTCTCTCTCTTCGTTCCCATCACCAAAGAGGTTGTTTGCATTCTCGTGCCATCGAGGTCACCCACCCGCCAAATACCCCTGGCTATCGACTGCATCTTCAGCTACCAATGCAGCTCCAATTCGATCAATACAAGATTCGTTGTCCGTATTCTCTACCACCTTTTTGTTGATGCTCCGGATCTGATAGACCTCCCCGCTCTGTAAAGACCTATGCCGTGTGCCTGGAGTCGATCTGTTTCCCATGCCGGTGATGACTTGATACTAATGCATTAACTACAATGCATATGGATTCATGGACCGAATAGTCAGGCATCTGTGCAATGGTCAGCAACGGCATGGATGAACGTGGGTTTTCATGTCACTTACGGTGGACTCTTTGTCAGGTCAGTCTTCAAAATGACGGGCACTCGAGTCATTTCAGTCACGTCTTGAATGTATTCACCACCCTCTTCCCGGAGTTTGAAATAACTGAGATACTTCTCCTTGTCGGTCAGGTTGTTCTCTGGAATGTCGCCAGCAGGCTTGCCTGTCTTTGGCTCGGATTGCGTTCTGGTCGGGCCGCCGTTGCGGGCCGGGGACGACGGCATGCTCTGAGACGATCGGTCGACTGGCGAAGTCAGAGACACACCGGCAGCCATTTCGGTAATTTCTGATGCACTATCTTCGTCATCAAAGAGCGCATCAACATCGTCGGTCGACATGGTATTGCTGTCTGTCTGCTTGCGTTGGGATTCGTATCGTTCCTTGGCCCGTTCTCGTGCAGACTCGGTCGCACCGTTGGTGCCTCTCGTGCTCACCGAAGCACGGGGTCTTTCGTCTTCAGGAATGTAGGCAGATGACGGGACTCCTTTCTCCCAGTAAAGCTCGAGGACTCGTTCTTCCTTGCGGAACTCGGCCTTCTTCAAGGGAAGCTGATCGCAATGCACACGTTTCTCGAATCCATATTCTGGGATAAGGACATCGAATGCAGACTCGTAGACGCAAATGACAATACCCTCGCTAATAAGATCGCCGCCCATGTCTTTGCTTTTCTTGTCCATGAGCCGGCAAGATTCGATGTGGACGCTCTGTTCCTGGGCGCAATGAGCAGAATCTTTCTTGTTGTTGCATTGCTCGGCTGTTTTGGCCAAGCTCTCCATGTCTTCATTGAACTCGACAGCACCGTTGGAAAGAGCAGCCTCCAGCTGCCGGTGGACGACGATGTCGGCATATCGGCGTGAGGGGTTGGTGAAGTGGGTATAGAGAGGTAGGTTGAGGGCATAGTGCTGGCGCTGCTCCTCGGCAACCTGTTCCCCAATGTAATATTTGGCACGTTGCAAAGTCTTGACCAACAGAGTCTCCATGCCCTTGCGCAGATCTGGATCTTCCACTTTGAAGAGACTGTTCTGCAGGCTTCCGCTGCTAGAGCTATCAATCTCATGGCCAGCTCGCGTCATGCGATCGACAAACGTCAGCAGTCGTCGCGGGTTCGGAGGGGCTTGTCTTCTCAAAAACGCCTTGTCAGGCATCGCAGTGAAAATCTTCTGCGCAACAAAGAAGTTGGCTTTGCAACTAATTTCCTCCATGATCTCGTGAGCAGCGGATGTGTTGAAGATGTTCTGCTCAACCGGAACATTCTCGTCATCGAGCTGATAAAGCAGCCGAAGAGGGGCAATGTTTGCAGACCGGTTGCCAAAGCGAGCTTCTCGGAATTTGCTGGCAATTTTGTGCAAAGTCTTGATGTCCTCGACAGTGGGCCCGTTCAATTCAGGTTGTTCGCCTCCCTTGACGACAGCATCAATTGCACGGTATCCAAGCTTACCAGTGCTCTGAATGATCGATTTGCCAATGAATGGGTCCTCTTCAATCTGCCCTGTCTCGGTATTGACTTTGAAAACCACACTCACGGTCAGACGACCCTCGCCTGGAAGTAGCGAGCAGATGTCTGCTGACAGCTTCGAGGGGAGCATGTTAACGCCCCTGGTCATCAAATAAACGCCAGTCCCTCGTTTCTTGGCCTCTCGATCAACCAACGAGTTCGCCTTGACGAAATGCGCGATATCCGTGACATGGATGCCGAGTTCGACCAAGCCATTGTCAAGTTGCTTGATGTGGATAGCGTCGTCGAGCTCATTGGTGCCATTAGGGTCAATGGTGAAAGTTCGCTCGTTGCGGAGGTCGAGGCGTGCACCCAAGCTCTCCTCACTCTCCGCCTTCAACGACCAGTCATCCCACCCAACACTCTTCAGGACGGCATCGGAGAACTCATCGGATCCAAAGTTGTTGTCGCGGAGCAAGGCGTCTGTCTCCACACGAAGATCACCCATCTCGCCCAGTTGTTCAACTAGAGTACCGAATGGATGCAGGGAGGTAATCGGCCAACGCTTGATACAAGCCACGAAGATTCTGTTGGCGTAGTCCATATGTTTATCGACAAAGTCTCGGGGAGCTTGTTCGGTGGGGATGGCGATCAAGGGGACGCGTTTGTCGGTGGGTTTGAACCACACGATCTTCGGCTTGTCTTGTGCGCGAGATTCAGATCGCGAATGCCCTCCATCTCGTGCCTGCCGCTCGGCCTCCTGCTTCTCCTTTGTGGCTTGACTGCTTGGTCGGAGCAGACCCAGAGTACCCGAAAACATCTGCCCAGCGACGCGCTCAATAACCGCAACGACATGGCCTGCGTAGAGAGGCTTCTGTTCGTCGCTGATCTCTTCTTCTTCCATCAACAACAGGCTCTGACCTTCGACCTCAACATCATCATTCTTCTTCTGTGTTGGACGCTGACGCAAGCTGCCGCGTCGTCGGATACTACCATCTGGAGCAATCGAGGCAGTGTCAGTGGTCGAAGCCGTATCACTCTTGCCGTTTTGGTTGTTACCCGACGAGCGAGTGTCGGTGATGTCCTTGCGTTTTTTCTTCTCTTCCTTCTCACGCTTCTGACCCCAGACTTCGTCGACGTCAAGCAGTTCGACCGCAACGAGATCGCCCTCGAGAGCGCGATTACGGTCTTTGCTACCACAAATGAAGATGTCTGCATCGAGATCGTTGGTAGTGACATAGGCGTCGGACCGGTTCTTCTTGTTCACTCGGAGGATGCCCGCAACCAGTTGGCCGTCGTTGAGCAACGCAGGAAGCGTGGCTTGGGGGAGGTAAGGAGTAAACAGAGTCTTCCGCTGTTGTTGTTGCTGCTGCAAACCCATTGGAGGAGCATGCTGACTGGCCTGAAGACCGCCAAGTTGTGCACCTTGCATCGCCTGAAGCTGCGCGATCTGCAACGCGTTCAGCTGCTGGCCAGCGAACATCTGAGGTGCCATCATCATTTGGCCCTGAGGGAGTTGCACCAGCTGTGGCTGGCCGGGATATTGAAACCCACTCATTGAGCCGATGGACTGGTTCATTGATCCTCGCCCACGATGGCCCGGCTGGAAGTTTCCACCACCCATAGCTTGCGGTTGGCTGAATTGACCCATTTGTTGAGGTGACTGCTCAGTCGTCTGCTGATTATTCTGTTGACGCCAATTGCCCTCAAAGTTGCGGGAGCCCTGCCTCGTGTGATTGCTTTGGCTTCCACGACGTTGCAGGTCTGACTGGTTACCGGCACCAGTATCACCAGGAGGTGGGAACTGGAAGGCAGAGCCTCCACGACCAGCCTGACCTCCACCCCGGGGATTTCCAGCAGCCATACTCTGGCTTCGACTGTGACCAACCATACGTGCATTGCCAGCACGCTGAAGACCCAGCCCTCCAGGAGTGACGGGTGTGTTCAACCTGTCATCCGCAGGGGTAGCAGCCACAGGACTCTCCGCGATGCCTCCCGCTCCTGGAATAGGGAACTGAAACCCAGCAGCGGTCCGCTTCTTCTCTGCGAGTTCAGCAGCCTTTTTTGCCTCGGGAAGAGCTAAAGAATGACGTCGAGTATGTCCACTTTGTGCAGAACCTCCTCTTCCGCCGCGGCCACTGGCATTTTCACGATTCTGACCCATGGCCTGCTGGTTGAAGTCACCGTAGGCTGCACCGGCAGTGCCAGCGGATGGTGCTGGTGGAGGGCCCATGGCCATGCCCGGAAGCGCGGATTGATTTCTGCGGTGGGCACCGGCTTGTGTAGAAGGGTTTGCCTGCATGGCCATTTGCTGCTGGATTTGAGGGAATTGAAAATTGGTGTTGTTGGGCGAGATTCCCGAAAGATTGGGCTGCCCTTGAATGGGAGAGTAGGTAGGCATGCCTTGCAAGGGCTGCTGAATCATGCCCATGTTGACGTACTGCTGATGTGTAGCAGCGATTTGTTGTTGTTGCTGTTGTAATAACTCAATCTGTTGCTGAAGAGCCAGTTGTTCCATCATGAGCGGAGTGAGCTCGGACGGACTGCGGCGGTGGGCAATATGAAGTCTGCGCCCTGTAGGGCCAGGCACGCCAGATGAACCCGGTTGTGCCATCGTGGAGATGTCCTTAGTAAGTAACTGTGTTTCCTAGCTCTTGCTCGGCTTGAGGCTGTCCAGCCTGGGGAAGGCCCTCGAAAGGGTGGAAAAAGGGAAGCAATGATATTGCCTCTCTGACTCCGTACACAAGGAGGGAAAGAAGACGCAACTGGGACAGTAATATTAGTGTACGCTCGAGGATGGGCACTTAGGGCCCGTTGGGGACGCAATCTGGATAATGAATGCAGAGGACAAAAGGTTGAACGGTGTGAATGGGGTTTGGAGGGCAGATGCGGAGCATCTTTGATAAAGGCTCGTAAACAGCAGTTGAAACTCACCTGAGAAGGTGCCGAGGAGTACAACCAAGCCGGATCTTGATGTCCTGAAGAGTTTTGTAAATCCAGCGGATCTCAAGCGTTGGATGAAAGACGGTTACGAATCCTAAGCAGTTGTGTATTGCGCTCGACGTTCGAGTCGGAGCCTGCGGGCCGGGGTGCAGTGGTGGAGTGACAAGGCGGTGTCAGTGACAACGTAAGAATCGCTCGACGGAGGTGATGTTTGTAGCGTTGAGCTGAAGGCTGTCGCAATGGCAATAAGAACTCGAATGGCTTGGTAGTGATTGCAACCGGAGACTGCGCAAGATGGCGCAGGCAGATAAGTCGAGGTTGCGGAAGGCAGGCTCGGTTCGACGTAAGATTTATTTCTTGGGTGAGGGAAGGACAGGAAAACGGAAATGGACGGGGACGGGCTCCCACAAGGCAGAGGGATAAGAGCACACAAGAGAGTGACTCTGATGGGGTTGAAGGACTGTCTGGCAAACGCTGAAGGAAGCGATGTGGAAAAGGACAGGACAGAACAGAGGGACAGGATGATGGAGAGGAGGGAGGGAGAGGGCAACTCGGCAGGAGAGGGGGAAAGAGTAGGGAAGGTGAAGATGGGTTTTTGGTAAAGGCTTTGTATGGGCAAATGGTGGTGGTGGTGGTAGTGGATGGTTTCTTTTTAGCGGGCGCAGGCTGCAGGTGGTGGAAAGGCCCAAGGGTCCCGCAGGCTGAAGACCACCACAAAGTACCGCCTACAGGGTCTAGTTAACGTTCTCACTGCTCACTCGCTTATGCGCTGAAGGTGAACCGCAGGGCTATTATCTAGACATGTTCGACTGGCCCTATAGGCGATGTCTGTTGGGTTTCTCATCACCTTTGGCCCCCTCTATCTATCGGGCTCTATCAGAAAGGACGACGCCTCTGATATCTTCCCTTTCTGGGCGCCACCTTGATCCTTCGTCGGGTTTGCAGAGAGTAAGCATCGTCTCCTAATAATACGTAGTACTTTGCATTAGGAGGGCGGAGACCGCAAAGAATGGGTCACTGCTAGTTCTCCAGATGGCTGTTTCTATCCCTCTACTAAAGCGCAGCTGTTTGTGATTCATGTTGCAGTCGCCCGCCTACAGAGGGACAATGGATGCGCCAAGAGATGTTGCGGGCGGTTCTGGGCTACGGTTACAGGCTCCCCTTGGCTCCCGAGGAGGGTCTAGTACTGCCGCCTAGCAGCCCACAGACGGGGCAAGGCCTTGGGTTTAGCGCACATCCCCCAGGTGAAGGGCCAGCCGGGTGGCAGGCACCTAGAATGCACCGGAGCACCAGGGGTGCCGGGACTGCTCCACCATGCTTGCCTAAGCTGAAACCCATGTCCGAATGTCTGAGTCCTGGTCAGTGGTCACCAACGGTACTCCGTACTCCTCCCAGCTCAGAGGTTCCTCCATGAGACTTCACCATATCTGGCCCTTTGCGCGGTTTGGACATCAGCACTGCTCACTTGCCAGCCATCGACACTTAATTGGCCCTGTCACTCCCTTGTCCAACCTTCGCTGCCATCATTAACACTGCTCCAGTCTTTGCAGTGGCCCTCCTTTGATACTGAGCAGGTCTAGAGCTCTCTCAGCTTGACTTAAAAGTGCTTTATCTTTATATCTATTGCGATGGGCTAAGCGTTTGACGCGTCCTGGACTGAGTGTCAGCCTTGCCTCGGCAAAAGACTTCCTCTTCTGCTACCTCCTTCCTACCACCCTGTGTCGTGGTTTGCGCGTCGATATCGAACACGGACCAGCCTCCAAGCTTGTCAACTTTACTCCAGCGCAATCTTCTCATTTCCATCAGTGTCATCACCTAGACAGTGGAGACATTCCGGACACTCCATCCTCAGATCTCCCTCCCAACATTCTTTGACCGTGTCAGTTGGGGGTGGTCAGCAGAAATTTAGAGTCACGTGCTTTGACCATGGCAAGGCTTCACTCATCCTCACCCTTCTCTGCCAGAGACAGTCCTAGGGCTCGTCGGACCGACGACAGCCCATCCAGACAACTGCAATGGGAATTGGAACGTGCTTTGAGTCAGATCCATTTGCACGAGATTGAGCGCTCAAAACTTCACGCTTATCAGAAACGCCAACAGCAGGAAGAGCTTGATGCCCGGGAATCAGCACAAGCAGAGGCTCATCGGATAGAGCTCAATGCCGCAAAGGCTCAGCATGAAGTTGTACGGAAACAGGCTGAGGCTGTTCTTCAGGCTTACATCAAGCAGGAGGAAGAGGATCGCCGGAGACGTGAGGAAGAAGAGCGAAGGAGATTAGAGGAGGAAGAAAGACGGAGGAAGGCGGAGGCAGAGGCGAAGGCCCAAGCCCAGGAGAAGGAACAAGCACGTAGACGGGCCGAAGAGGAGCGAAGAACACGTGAAGAGAAAGAGCGCCGGGATCGTGAAGAGCGTGCCCGTCAAGAGGCGGAACGTCAAGCAAAGCAGAAGGCTGAAGAAGAGGAACTAAAGCGAAGGGAAAAGGACGCAGCCGAGCAGAAGCATCGGGAGGAGAAAGCCAAGGCCGAGCAGGAAGCGGCTTTGCGGAGAGAAGAAGCTGAGAAAGCTGCAGCAGCCAAAGTTCCTCCACCACAACCCACTGCCGCCCTTGGTCAAGGCAAAGACATCAGTCCAGCTCCAGAGGTCGAGGCACAACATTCCAACTACCTCGTTCTCCACAAGAAGCTGAAAAAGTTCCGGTCAGACTTCTGGGTTGCGGCCAAAAAGGATCCAGCCTTGAAACCCCATGTGGGAGATATGCGCCGAGCAATTCGAACCAGCGTTGGCCAGTTGACAGATGACAAGGTTGGTAACAAAAAGGCAGTAAGTAACGACGATAATACCCCGACTGGCCAGCTTTTCTGACTAACTAGGACAGCATGACCGAGTGCGTTCTACATTGCAACAGGCTCTCAAGGATCGACCGTCTCCTCCGGTTTCCGTTAGCGAATATCTCCCTGCGCACCTCAATCTGGGCGACAATGGCACAACAACGATCCCGTCACTGGCGCTGTACCTGCTCTCCATCTTCAGCAAGGCTGTTATTGGCGGCTTTGTGGGTGAGTGTGCCGTCAACCCTAAAGCGGCCGAACCCATCGGAACCCTGGTTGCTCAGATATTCTCGATGCCTGAGCTTCAATTCCCCCGAAGTGTCCCATCCACGGCCGACCCATCGCAGCCTTCCAAGCCAACAAGTGTCTCCCTCATCTCCATACTTATGAGCAAATTCCATGCCACGGCGCCGATTCTTTTCGGCATCTCCGGGCGCGAATCTACTGCCGCGGGCAAACACCGACTCGGCTGGCGTCTTGATAGAATCACAGATGACCCCGACTCGAAGAAAGCCTTTGTGAATGAAAACAAGCACTACGACCGTCTCACAGGACTCGGTGTGGGATACGCCTCGATCGCTCTCCGCAACTTTTCAAAGGCCAAAGTCTCCAACCCCTGGCCGCCGGTGCACTATTGGGCTAGTCTCGCACACATTGCCAATACGCCTCCACAAGAGGTGCAGACCAGCCATCTGGTATTGTTGAAAAGCATGCTAGAGAACAATGCGATCGAACGATTCGTGCTGTTTTTCGGAGCGGCAGGCATTGCCGCCTTGAGGCAGGCGGCGGTGGATTTCCCAAGGACACTGCCGAAAGAAGTGCAAGAAAAGCCAGCGACCAAGACGTTGGTATTGATGGTTGAGGGTTGGAAGAAGGAGAAGAACTTTTCGCTTGCGTAGAGCGTGCGAGAACGAGTATGGGAGTCGTGATGGATAACCCTACGACGACTTGGGCTGGGAGAAAAGAGGGCGCAACTCAGAATTTGCTGCAAGATCAGGCCGCCAGACAGACAGTGATCAGGAACTGCGACGGGCGACTTTGATCTGGAAGGACGAATGCCAGCATGTGCAGCTGAGAAGCAACAACTCGTTCCATGAATCTGGGAAAATACATGGACACAGAATAGAGTCAACCCTCTGGATCTCTTGTTCCTGTTCCGGTCTGTTGTTCTGTCAACTCAGTCTCGTCTTCTTGCGACTTTCATAAGCCAGTTCTCACGCAAGTGCAAGCCAAAGAGTGGACAATTGTTGTAAGCAGGCGGATGCAGATAATGGTGGCTTGAAGTTCTCCACCACCCTTCGGCATTTGGGTATTTTTCCTTGACGTGTCATCCTCCCCCAGCCGGGGTCCCCGCGGCGGAGCTCGTAATGTGCATACGTTTGGGTCATACGCATGCATTGCGACGGTGTATTCAACAATTTGTACTCCGCACATTCCCCGTAGGCCCCATCCAACTGCAGGTGGCCATATGGGTCCCGTAACGAGTCCATATAGGTATGTAAGTGAGCGTGACAGGGTTAGAGAATGGGGGAAGAGGGGGTTTCACTGTCCATACATGTATATGTACCGGAGACCTTGCTAACGCGCTGAGAACAGCGTGCATATATATATACGCGTGAGTGCCCCAGACCATCCCACAATCCTTCTCGCAAAGTCAGAGTCAGACTTTAAGGTGGTAGCTGGTAAGCCTAAGGTGGGCGCTCATAATGACGACGACGGAGTCCACCACCAAGGCCACCACCAAGGCCACGGCGCCAGCGTCGACGGAGATCTCACGGCACGAATTCACCAAGCACGACAAGACAACTTCATACCTCGACGCCGGGCCCCAGGATGGCCCGCTACTGGTCTTCATCCACGGCTGGCCCGCCATAGCAGAGATATGGAAACCACAGCTTCGCAGCTTCTCGGCGCTGGGCTTCCGGGTCGTGGCGCCAGACATGCCAGGGTACGGGCAATCGCTCCCAAAGAGCAAGGAAAAGCGTGACTATTCGCTGGAAAAGGTTGTGGCGCAGATGTTGCAGCTCCTGAAGCACCTGGGACGCAGCGAGGCCGTGTGGGTCGGCCACGGCTGGGGCGCCAGCGTCGTGTGGGCGGTGCTCGCGCATAACCCTGAAGTTTGTCTCGGGGTGGTGAACATGGTCTTCCCCTACCGCACGCTGGAGATGGGCGTGGCAGAGACGCTCAAGTACGCCAACCGCGAGCTGTACACGGAAGAGGAATACCCGCACGCCCAGTGGTCGTACCGAGTCTTCTACGAGGATTCGGACAACTACGAAAAGGCCATCACTTTCTTCGACAAGCACGTCGAGGGATTTATAAAGTTCGTCTATTCGCGTGCAGCCAAGGAGCCCGAGCAGGACAGGGACAAGCCGGCGTTCACGGCCAACGTGGTCAAGGATGGAGGCTGGTTTGGTGGCGCCGAGTCACTGCCCGAGACCGAGACCGAGACCGAAGAGGAGCTGGGCGACAGTTTGGTCGACGACGACACGCACAAGAGCCTGGTCGAGGCGTTCTCCACGGGTGGCTTCTGGTCCCCGACCGCATACAATCTCAACGACGACGTCAACCTGCAATGGTGCGAAGACTGGTCCGTCAACGAAGGCGTCGTCTCCGTCCCCGTGCTGTTCATCGAGGCCCTGAACGACGCCGTCGCCGGCACGTACAACTCGAAAATCTGCGAGCCTATGAAAAACTTCTGTAGGAAACTGACCACGGTGAATGTCGATGCCGGCCACTGGGTGGCATTGGAGGCACCTCAGGAGACAAACGCCGCCATTTTGAGGTGGATTGCGCGGGAGCTGCCCGAGGAGAGGGCGTGGCCCTGGGGCAAGAAGAATCCGTTGAAGAAGAACGAGTAGATTGAGCAAAAAGCGTAATGTGCAGGTCCACGGGGGAAAAGCGTTTCAATTGGCTATATGACCATGATCAAGAGTTGCTGGCAAAAAGCCAAAAGGCAAGGAAAAGCAGAAGCATCTTCTATATCCTTCAGTCGGTATGTAAGCAAGAACAAATGGGCACGTCGTTCTTTTGCCGTGGAGAAGTGATCATGCTGTCGAACTTGGCCTGATTCATGATTGTGACTACGGGCCGACTTACATTCGATCCATCGAACTGTGGCGGACGCCCAGCAGCTTGTTGCCAGACCTCCACGTCCCCTTTGCCCTTGTTAGGTCTCCCGACATGGTAATCCGCCTCCAACGGTCCTCTTCCTTGAGCTCCACAATCCCGCTCTTCGTGCCATTGAACACCATAATCCTGTGCCTAGAGCTGAATGTCTCCCATGGTTGCGATCCATGTGCAAACTCGATGACGGCCGCAGAAAGTCTATTCGCTGTTTCTCTCACTTCCGGGTCGGCATTGGGACCAGCGACGGCTGGTAGTCGGCAGAAGAACGAGTTGTCCAGTGCATGATAGGCATACCCTTTAAGGGGGCTCTGGCTGAATGTGTCGGCCTGGTCAAATCTGTAGAGACTGACCGGCAAAGATTCGGAGGGGTTTTCTGCGATGATGAAGGGCAGGCCTGAGAAGATGCTGTCGGTAGCCATATCAATGAACCCCTGGAGACACGTCTCGGCAGGTGCCGCTGGGGAGATGCCGTATGCATCCATCAGTTCTTGGGCCAGCTCGGCAGTTGAGAAGGCGGATTTCACCCGATCCACAAATTGCTGGGAGGACCAATTCCGCCATTGAGTGACACCAAACAGCGCTGCTTCGTGCTTCGTGGATCCCGCAATGACGCCCTTCACCCACGGCGCGAGCGGAGCAGGGCCTGCAATAGGCCTGTTGCCGTCTTGATACACAAACCATTTGTCGTCCCAGAGGGGTGTAGCCAAACGAGGGACCATCAGCCGAACTATTTCCATCGAGTCCAAGTTACGCAGAGCTGTGAGCTTTTCCTCCGCGGACGCAGTAGGCGGCACGCCCGTGCTGGCGACAAGCTCATCAAAGGTCTCTTGAGCCTCTTCCGGTCGTGGAAAATCCAGGTTGGGGCTCGATAGAATGATACCTCTTTGGCAAACGGGTACGTCGGATCGCAGGTGAGCGAGCACTGACCACCCACCTGCAGATTCACCCGCGATGGTGGTATTGGATGGGTCGCCGCCGAAATATTGGATGTGCTTTTGGATCCACAGGAGGGCGACTCGTTGGTCATGCATTGCCATGTTTGAGTATGGGGTTTCGCCGCTCGCAGTCGCTTCTGCGCTCAGTTCCTTTGAAGCGAGAAATCCAAAGAATCCCAGTCGGTAATTCATGGCCACGAAGATAATGGGTTTTCCTTTCTCCAAGGCATGCTCCACGAGGTAGTTTCCATCAAATTCAGAGTTGCCGTCTCCAAAGATAAATCCTCCGCCATGGATCCAAACTAACACTGGTAACGGACCCTGGGCCCCCTTGGGGACATAGATGTTGAGCCTCAAGCATCCAAACTCGTCCAGGGGATACTCAGAACTGCGTCGCACACCCTCATATAGGTGGGCTGTCTCCGGTCGGGTTACTGTGACCTGTGGACATCTGGGTCCGTATCGAGTTGCATCGAGGACACCACTCAGCTCGGAGTGATCAACGAGCTTGGACTGGCGAAATCTTGCCGGGATAGTTGCGTATTGGATCCCAAGGTAGTTCGCAACTTTGTTTGTCTTGTTCATCAGTCCCTGGACCTGCAAGTTGCCTATCTGGACCGAAACGTCCTGGCTTTGCTGGGATTGGCTGGCCATTTCGCGAAAGGATATTGGCGACAAGAGTGGTGCTCAAGTGCTTGCTGGAGTGGTCTTCCTGCCTAATCACAAGACCCAAGATCGATAGGACTTCTTATGCTGACACAAAGGACATGTCTTGGACGAGGGCCAGACGTGTATTTTCACAAGTCATATAGCAGTGATCAGTGGTCCACATTTCCAGACCCCACCTCCGCATCGTGTTTTCGGCAAGTGGAAAAGACATGGAGCTCAGAAGTTAAAGCCCAGCATTCATTGTCTCCGGCAATATCGCCCGCCAACACGCAACTTTGAGAGAATCTTGACATGCGCCATAGGATCTAACCCACAGTATCCAAGGAAGTATGAAGAAGGAAGATCTTGAGGACTTTGACGAGCCGATCAGGCCCCGTGGATAGCTAGCTAGTGAAAGGTACCTCCAGGCCGACTTCAGAAATAAATAGCAGAGTCTGACTTAGAGTGCTCAATAACGACGAGGGGACCACCTATTTAGGAATAGCTAGTATCTAGTAATAAGTATAGGGATCCCGCTATACTCAAGAGCAGATAGGATACTCTTTATAAGTGAAGGTAATCTAATAGCTAGCAAATTCCCGCCAAATTTGGTGGTCAGTGCCGCCGCTTTTGGAGGGGTTCTCGCCTCGAGCCAATTCCTACCTACCGACCGGCCTCAGCCTCGCCCATTTGTCGCAGGATTCATCGACTGTCAGGCACCGTGCTCCATGCTCCATTCTACTCGTCCTTCCGAGCAAGTCTTGTCAGCAGGGATTGCGACAGCAAGTCAGCGCCGCTCATCGGCCGATCGGGTTTTATTTTTGGCGATGCGGGGCAAGTCTCGGTGGGCGAGATGGCATCTGAAGGAAGATGGCCGCTTGCAAGGATAACGATCGTCTGTGCTCGCACTGGTCGTATAGGTTAGGCTGCGGTCCAAGGCGTTCACTGGAGGGCTTCTGTCGAGGCAGGACTCGAGAGTTGTTCAGGAGAAGCAGGCACATGTGGAGGATTGGGTGGCCATGAAGGGACACGAGGGAACCAAGTGAGAAGCATCAAGATATCGCGGGGAAGGCACCGGAGTGCATTTCAGGTTTGCCGCTGGACCAAATGGAGGGTTGGTCCATTTCCAAGTTTGTCCTTTGCAGTGCCAGTGGGAAGAGAATCACTCCACCTTCAAGTTTTGTGCCGGGCGGCGGGCGGCGGGCGGACCCCACCAACTACGCCTGGACCACTGCATGCAAGCAAGGCTCACTCACTAATAGCCCCCCGGAAGAGCCTAGCTTTAGGCAAAAGAATTAGTTCCCCCCGTGCAACTTTCAGGCTGCAAATGCATCGCCACAGCCCACGGGCATGTGCTGCTCAGTGCTCACTGCTCAGATGTCGCCCGCCCACGGCGCCCAGTAGTGGTGCCCACTCACAAATGTTCAACTATTCCTTGTACAAGTACCCCGAAGGTGGTTGGCATCGCCCAGTGGTCTTCATCCACATCGCCCGCAGCTGCAAACCCGCAAGTGCGTCAACGGTTCCGTTGGACCCTTCATTCTTGCACTCTGTGTTGGATCTGATTGACATCTCGACTATCTCTTACTCGGTACCAACTCCATTCCTCTCGCAGATCTCCTCAACATCCTGCTTTTCCTACTACTTGTTGTCCTCCTCCTCCTCCTCTCCCCTATAGCCTACCTATTCGTGCTATCCAAAGTATTCTTATCCGTCTCCTCCCGCCACTGTCCTCGCCCTTGACCAGATTTCCCCTCCTCCGATCGGGAAAAGTCTCATTTCGCCTCCAGGCTGCCCGATACGCCGCAATCTCCGCAACCCTCATTTTTTGTATAATTACCACCACCTATTAGAGCAACAGCCCCAAAAAACCCTCCCGGTCGTGCGCGCGCAATTCTCTCATAAACAAACTGCACCTGTCGACTCCAGCGATCCCTTCTCGGCGCGACAACAAGCTCAAGCTCGGAAATGCCTTTGTGCGGTGGTAAGAAGGTGGTGCAGCGCAAACTCGTCCTGTTGGGCGACGGCGCCTGCGGAAAGACGAGTCTGCTGAACGTCTTCACTCGCGGCTTCTTCCCAGTTCGTTTCCCCCCCGGGATCCGTGCCTTTTTTGTCTCTGGATGTGACGGGCTGCTGAAGAACGAGGAACACTGCCCGCGGTCTTGTTTGGCGGTAGATTGCTGACATTTGTTGGTCTTCTCCCAGACTGTCTACGAACCCACCGTCTTCGAGAACTATGTCCACGACATCTTCGTCGACAGTATCCACATGGAATTATCTTTATGGGACACCGCTGGACAGGAGGAGTTTGACCGGTTGCGGTCTCTCTCCTACGATGACACTCAGGCAATCATGTTGTGCTTTAGTGTATGTCGTCCTACTTCTGACAGGTCTCCTCAACGACAAACAAATGCTGATAACCGACTCGCAGGTGGACAACCGTGGCTCTCTCGAAAACGTGTCCACAAAATGGATCGCCGAAATAAACGAACACTGTCCCGGGGTCAAGATTGTCCTGTGCGCCCTCAAGTGCGACTTACGGGAGGAGCACGAAAAGGACGATGACGAGGAGAATGGCGCTCCCGCGAGACCCATGATCCAATATAACGAAGGATTAGAAGTTGCGCGACGCATCGGCGCGCTGCGATATCTCGGTAAACCTCAGAAATCACAATCCTTATCAAGAAGTGCAGTTCTAATGGACCTGTTTCGGCAGAATGCTCAGCGATGCGAAACCGAGGCGTTAACGAAGCCTTTACAGAGGCCGCCCGAGTGGCGCTACAAGTCAAGCCGGCTCGATCGAAAGACGACTCGAAATGCACGGTGATGTGAGGAAGTTCAGGTTCAAACAGCACTGTCAACTTTTCCACCTTTTGAAGTCACATCTCGAGTTTGCCCTTCTCAGCTGGGCCTTTTCCCCGATCCTTGCCGTCTAGGGACATCCTATTTCTTGTTCATACCCCTCGCTTCGCCTCATTCACGCCTTTCGCTGCCCTTTACTTTTTAGAGCGAGGGAAAGATTTGTCGGTTCTTAGCGTTGCAGTTATTTTTGGTTGGACCTTTCTTTGGAAAGCGTGGAGGCATTATGATCTGGCGTTTTTATGTTGGCCGAGTCCTAGAGTTTTGGACATTGCGATGAGACGATGGTGAGATGTTTTGATCAGGAGCGGGAGCCACGGGGGGGGAGAGTCTGTCACGACTCGGTCGCGCGACGCGTACAGCGGTTTGGTCAAGCAATGAGGCATCCTGCGACAGCTCGATATCTGATCCTCGGCACGAAAAAGTTTGGAATAGAATCCTTCAATCCCTGATCCCGTTCACCAACGGTTGTCCATTGCTCCTGCCTCTCTCCGCTGTGGCAGAATTCCCAGTAGCACTTGTTGGTGAGGCATCTTCGTCGACCAAGACCCAATCTTTGACACCTCCCTTCCAATCCGCTATCCTCCCTTCACGCACGGGAACAATAACCACCCTCACGTCATCTCCTTCAATATAACAGCTACTATTCTCCGCATCGGCAGATGCTGGCTGTCCACTGAAAAACCCTGCCTCTTGCGTGACTTGACCTCCAAATGTGTTATTCGCCAGATGAGCCTCTTTGCACCACTTCTCCTCCTCGCTGCCTTGTTCCAGGAATCTCGCTTCTCCTGCTATGGTGGTTGATATTGAGCTTAGGGCAGAAGTATTCAGATTCAGAAGGAGAGTTGCAAGAGACGACCGAGTTGCGGCAGCGGGCGGAGATCCGGCTCGTTGCTCACCACTCACCGACGTGGCTGTCGGCGGTCTGTGGGACACCCAGTCGTGCACCAGGATCGACACTTTGGGGTTGTGAATCAGATTCTGGGTCTTCATGGACTTTGCGTTTGTGGTCATGATGATGACGGGGCCGTGGCGGTCGTAGGAAGGCAGGAAAGTGTAGTTCATCAAGGATACGTGGGGTGTTGGGAGTGGGCTGGTCTGGCTGGCACTGATTGTTGCGAGATGGAGGAAACGGGCATTCTTGAGGCATTGCGATACTTCCGGGGGTAGGGTCGTGGAGATCAGTGGGTTGGTGGTGGTGTTAGAGGCTTCGTAGTTGAGGGGCGGGTTGTGGGCGTCAGCCATGTCTTCTTCTTCTTCTTCCTCAGACGTGACTGTTGAACAATTTTGGCTTCGAGTACGTGGGATGAGAGAGTTGAATGTCCCGGGAAGAATGTGTCGAGGTGGAAGAATGTTCGCGTCGATCTTGAATCTACGACAAAACGAGGTGGGCTGATAGAGGCCGCCAAAGTCAAATCAGATTCATCACACATGCTCTTACTGCAGCATTGGCAGCTGGCACCGGTTGTTCCTCCCCGCAGTGCCCAGCTCGCCCGCTACCAGTGCAAGCTTCCCGCCATTAGGGGAGGGGCCATGGAGCCTAAGATGCCAACTGGCCCCCCGGGCTGTCAAGCTCCAAATGGTGACGTCGATGGTTGCTTCTTCCTCCCTGGTTTGTCCTGGATTGTCCTGCTTCTGAGCTTCTGCATGGTAAACAGCTTTCTTGCTTTCCAATCAACACGCATCAGCTGCCACACGCCTGTCCACCACTGTCACCACTGCCAACCCCAGGTCATCATTACCACCACCACCATCACATCTCCTCCTCCTCCTGCAGACCAGTTTCCCCGCGTTCTGCTCAGAGCCACCTGAACCCCAGTCCTTTCACGCCTAAACAACCCGCAACCTCCTCCACGGCTGTCTTGACCACTGGGGCTTTCTCCGGCACAACAACCTCGTAGCTCCTCTGCTCGCGTGTTACTTCGAGTCCTTGTTCTTTGCGAACCTCTCCAAAATTCAACAAACCACTGGTATCAACCAAAACAAGGTCTCTTTCGACAGGCATTGTTCTCACTCAGCCTCTGCTGCGACCTTCTTCCCTTGTGTGTCGAGCTCAAGGATCCCGAGTTGTCGCAATAATGCTCGCCCGCCGGCTATTACCCCTCTCTTCCTCTGCCCAAGCTCCCTCATTCTTTCGCACCTTTACTACGACCTCCCTGTTACGAGACCCTCCTCGCAGCCCTGCCTTGAGCGACCTGACCCCCGACGGAGCCGACGCCTTCAATACCAAGCAGAAAGAATTCCGAGATGGACTTGAGGCTGCCCGGAAAAGAAAAGAACAAGCTGACAGTCAGTTCCTTGATGCTTCTGCGTCTTCTTCTGATAGATCCCCAAGTCTTACTGCTACTGCGTCCCGCGTGTCTGAAACCCTGGGTTTGGGCTCACTGTCTACTGCACCCCGTACAGAAGAAGCAAGACAAGCCGAAACGGATACCACCACAAAGCGAACCGGCACTCTCACTAGCCTCATCTACGGCACCCCCGAAGGCCAAAACCTAGACAAAGAGATGGAAAGATCGTTCTCTCAAGTGTTGGCTAGGGGCAAATACGTCCATTCGATCGTCTTTCACGATGTCAAACCGGATAAGGTCGACGACTATGTAGAATTGGTGGGCAACTGGTATCCGAGGATGGCTAATGACCCCGAGAACAAGGTCCATTTGGTGGGAAGTTGGCGAACGGAAGTGGGGGATTGTGAAACTTTTGGTATACTACATTCGCCGCCGAAGTGTTTTGACTAACATGGTATATTGCAGTTCACATCTGGGAATACCAGCGCTACACGGGATACCATGCCTCACTCCACAGCATCGCACACCACCCCGAATTCCCCGCCTTCGAGAAGAAATTGCAGACTCTGATCACCTCCAAGAAAATCTCACTAATGCAGGAATTTTCGTTTTGGCCGACCACTCCCCCGCGAACACTCGGCGGCTTGTTTGAACTACGATCTTATACTCTGCACCCTGGGAACCTTTTGGAATGGGAAACACATTGGCGGAAAGGACTCAAAGCACGCCGAGAGGTCATGGAGGGCGTCGGCGCTTGGTTCGTGCAGATCGGAGATCTAAATACCGTGCACCATCTATGGCAATTTGCCGATCTGGAGGAGCGGAAATTGAGACGAGAAATGTCATGGGGTATCGAGGGATGGGGTGATACTGTGCACAAGACAGTACCATTGATTCAGAGCATGAAAAGCAAGATCCTTATTCCCATGCCGTGGAGTCCAGTGGGCTAAACAATTTTGGAGGGGAAGTGAGTGTGTGCGGGATTGAATCTTGGTTTAGAGGGGGTGTGGTGAGGAGGTCAATCATCATGGAAGACCATTGTATCGGAGGGATGTTTCCAGTCACAGTCAAGCAAAAGCATCAAGCTCCCGCCCTGTCTCAGCAACCGGCAGGTCTCTGGATTTGCAAGATAGATACTCAGTCGACTTGAGGCTGACTGAGGGATCAATCCATAGCCTCAATCTGATAGCAACTCGCAATGGACAACAGTTGCGGCAAAGGCGGTGTATTCAATGATGTCGACGGTCCTCGCGGTACCGAGTAGGTACAATGGACTAAGGTAGGTAGTTCCATAGCACTCAGTCTCAACCAACGAGTGGACACAGAAACCGCGGGCAGTTAGAAGTCCGCTTTCGGAGACGCATGATTGGAAGGAGTTTTGAAAGCTTGAGTTTGGATCTGGCGCCAAGGAATTCGGTACATTGGAACTTTTTTTGACCCTGCGATGCATTCTCCACTGGCACCCAGTCTGTACGTCCACCGGGAATCAGACTGTACAGCCAGGAATAATGCTGAGTCGGGCAAGAACTTCAGGTCTGTGCCATGGCTGTCGCCAGGATTTCCAGATCCTCTTCGAAAATGGATTCTGTGGTCCGGCTGTCACCCTGAAGAAGCGAACGACGCCACTACCCCTGCCATGGCGAAGGACTTTCGCACCGCGACAACATCTCCGATCTTTCTCTAGGAAATCTTCTCTTTTCCAACCACACTCTCCTCAAGAGTCCGATCCGCGAAAGAGCCAACTTGAAAGTGAACATAAGTCAGCAGTTGACGTCGACAATGAACAGCTGGAGGTATTGCAAGAACTGGAAAAGGCCCTGGGGCGGCCCATAAATGAAGCAATTGACGAAGACCGAGCGGGACTTATATCCATACAAGAGATATTTCCAGACAAGCAAACAGACCTCGATGATGACCCAGACATTGCCAATGGCACAATTGATCCGCTTGCAGGCTTGCGAGCCTCCGGTGCGTCCGCTGAAGACATCGCACGAGAGGCGAGGCAGATATACGGGGACAGGCTCCCTTCCATTGCTCTGGGCACCGAGGAGTTGAAGATGTACAAACGACTCTATGGAAACCCTATTTCAGCATCTTATGAGGAATTCCTGGACGAGGAGGAAGCAAGCACTGTTGCAGAGATCCGAAACCAGCTCTTGGACCAACAAGGCGAGCCTATAGATTATGACCCAGAACCAGGCGTCTTCGCACGACTGGAGACCATCAAGGAGGAAGAGCCTGCCGATAATATCCCAAAACCTGCGCAGGGAGGCATTGACCTCGGGGTGACCGGCCAGCACAATCCAGCCCTTTCGTCGTCTGCTGAAGAAAGAGCTGCGGAAATAGCTCTCTTGCTTAACGGCGAGGTCGTCGCAGACTTTGGCGCCGAGGAGGATCAGCAGGAGGAACTTGAGGAGGATGGGCAAGAGCAGAGCATGCGACAGCATCCGTTCACTCGGCTTGGAAAGTTCGCAACCACCCCCAGCAGCGTCCTCCTTTCCCAAGAAGACTTTGTGCAACCCGTTCAAAAAATCATGAGTGCCTTCTCCAATAAACATCTGAAAGAGATGTGCGAGAAGACCTTTGGAGGACCCGGCTTTCCTGACTCCCCATTGACACCCAGATCAGGACGGTCGAGACCCCAATTACCCATCCCCCTTGATGCTTCCCAACATCTTATGGGTGAGATGGAAGCGAACGCATTCATCACCACCATCATGCCGCCCACATATGCTGCCATCATGTCCGTTCTAGTCGAGACACGCAAGCGACTAGGCACCACATGGCTGAACAACCTGTTCGCGAAAGAAGGCGGACCCCGAGTGCTTGATGCTGGTGCAGGGGGTGCAGGTATCCTGGCCTGGCGAGAAATTGTCAAGGCGCATTGGGACTCGTTACACTCCTCTGATCGTGACCCCATCCCTCCACCTCCGCCAACGAAAGCTGTCGTCCTCACCGGTTCAGATACATTAAGACATCGGGCGGCCACGCTTCTCGAGAACACAACTTTCATTCCACGCTTGCCTGACTACGTACATACCCGCGATGCGCCCACTCTGGAAGACGAGCGACCTGCTCAACAACGGAAGCAGTTTGACATCATTATCGCACCTCATACGCTGTTTGGGCTGCAAGAAGATTACATGAAGAAGCAACATGTGCAGAACCTTTGGTCAATGCTTAGCCCCGAAAGCGGCGTTCTGATCATGATCGAAAAGGGCATCCCTCGCGGCTTCGAGGCAATAGCTGGCGCGAGAGAGCTGCTTCTCGAGAGGTACATTGCAGTTCCGGAGGGGCGAGTGACGGCATACAGCAAGTTGCACAATGATACAGAAGACCTTCACACGAGAGAAACGGGTATGATTGTCGCGCCATGTACGAATCATGAAAAATGCCCAATGTATAAGATCCCTGGCCTCTCAAAGGGTCGGAAAGATTTTTGCAGTTTCCAGCAACGGTACATACGGCCCAGCTACCTGCAACGAGTTCTTGGAGCCAAAGATCGCAACCATGACGACGTGGATTTCTCGTACATTTCAGTGATGAAGGGAGAAGATCTGCGGCAGCGACAAGTCCACTCGTGGCGAGGGCTGGAAGATTCTCTATCTACCCCCCTCCATCCCGACCCGCAGCGTGCGGCAGAAGATTATCAGAACTGGACTCAGCTTTCTCAGGGCGGCTTTGAGGATGTCCAGCCAACAAGCAACCTCGCTGATGCTCCGTCAATATTCACAGACGCAGCCAAAGCTCCTTCGACTCTGCCCTCCACGCACAACCTCCCACGTCTGGTTTTTCAACCCATGAAGCGTCGGGGCCATGTCCTTCTCGATGTTTGTACGCCGTCGGGGAAGATTGAGCGCTGGACCGTCCCAAAATCTTTCTCCAAACAAGCCTATCGCGACGCGCGGAAGAGCCAATGGGGCGATCTGTGGGCTTTGGGTGCTAAGACACGCATACCGAGGACGCTCAGGCTTGGTGGTGAAGATACGAAAGAGGCGAGGAAGGCGAGAGGACGCAAGGAGCGGTTGAAGCAGCAGGCCGAGGAGTTGATGGAAAAGATGCATGAAGAGCAGTTGGAGGAGATGGAAGACCGAAAGGAGATGGAGAAGGCTTTCAAAGAGGGGAGAATTCCAGGTGAAAAAGACGACTATGGTTTCGAAGATCCGGAGGCTTATGGAAGGATGACGTCTCGGCCGGGCAGGATCAGGCGTGAAAAATCATCCAGCAGCGGTGTTGAGAGTTTCAGGATTGAGGAGGATTTCGACATGGATGCAGTGAACCCTCCTCTCTTCCCACAAAAGACACACACTCCGACTCCCACTCCGACCTTGACTATGGATGTGCCTCGACACCCTTCGTCGAAGCCATCGCCACAGTCTGCCACCGCATCGGCAACAGCAAACCACCCGCAAGACGAGCCCCTCCAGGGAGAAGGAGACCTCACAGCTGAAGAACTCCAAACTCTTCAGGAGTGGAACGAACAACTCCAGGGAGGAGAGGCGGGCACTGGTATCCCGACAAAAGGGGGGAGATCCATCAGACAATATTCCAAGTTCGCGCCGAGGGGTATGAAGACGGTGGCGAGGAAGAGCGGGAAAGTTAGGTGAAGACAGATAGACGCAAAGACACAGGATAGGTGCGTTGGGTAAAAGACGTCGGGTGTATCACATGTACTTTTATATGAATACCCTGTACCTAAGTAGTGAAATAACAGACACCGAGTCTCCTCTTGATAGTAGATATCTGCTCAGCCATCTATCCATCTACATATGTAGAAACAAAAGACACAAGCAAACGGAGAGGAGGAGATTAGAATTCTTGTTGAACTAGGGTTAGGCTCTCAACCTATAGGAGAGAAGGGAATAGGCCGTTGAAGCAGAAATGATTGATCGTGAGTTCCGTACGGAGTTGATGGGGAGAAACTCCCCTCGCTCCTTTTCTATTCTCAGCCTTGTGTGGAGAAGCCTGGTTACATTACAAGAGATTCTTCCTCCAAAAGCCGAGAGAGACGGTGGCGTTCCGATTGCTTCTTTGCGATATTTAAGTCTCTGTACAGAATGGGATGTAAACGACGTTGTTGTTTGACGGTAGTTGAGATCGGTGTGCAGGCACCTGTTTGGTGGGACGTGGCTCATTAGGGGGTTGGCTCATCATAGGGCGGTCTGATTTATCACTTCCCTCCTGTTAGTCTCTCTTTAGTGTCTAGGTACCGAGCTATTCTATCCGGCCACTGGCGAGTTGAGATATCACTTGGGGTGCAGCAGCCTTCTCGACCACGTAAGGGACGGGCGTGTTGTCTGCCGCCGAATTGACAGTCATATCGACAGGGTAGCCAAGATCGAGACTCATATGTCAAAACGCCGAGCTGAGCTACGGTGGCTGGCTGAACGTCTGCGTGACTGGGCTCATCGGGGCGTGGCCAGTCGCTCCATGCCCGTATGGCGGTCTGGATTCCAAGCTGATCGAGCCTGCACACGAGCATGTGAATGGGGAACGAATCACGCTGATCTTCCTTTGCGTTCAGGTTGCCGGGCTGTTTCGAGAGCATGAAGCCCGTTGCTTATGAGGCTGGCTGAGCCCAAAGCATTCGACACAGCGTGATGCAAAATATAAAAGAAAGCAATTTAGACCTGTTATCATGCTTTCCTCATTCCTCAATGAACCTCGTTTGATCTCTTTCTGCCTCTCATTCCAGCATGAGCCACAGTCCGTACAAATATGGATGCAGCATTCCAAGGCAACAACCTCAAACCGGGTACAAAATCCTATGATCGTGCGAACAACTTGTACGCCTCGTCAACGTATGAAGATGAGCATGACATGAAACCTGGGGAGATCTTGCAGCCGACAAGCATCGAAGATATCCAGAATGTTATCAAGTATGCGAATGCGACTAAGAAGCCTATTGCCATCAGGACAGGAGGCCACCAATACAGCGGAGCATGTTCCACGGGCCAAGATGGTATCCAATTGGACCTGAAACCAACCTTCCGACGACCCAATCTGGATCTGAACCTGACCTTCAAGGACGACAAGGCATATATCCGATCGAGTGTCAGCTGGACGCTGGCCGAAATCTTCGACTTCTTGCAAGACAACGGCGTCTTCATGCCCACAGGCCAATGTATCAACGTGTGCCTCGGAGGCCATGTCCAAACCGGCGGATATGGAATGCTTGCTCGATCCTTTGGACTTCTCGGAGATTATGTGCGCGAGCTTGAGATTGTCGACCACAACGCCAACGTCATCAAAATCACCAGGGAAAACAATCCGGACCTGTTTTTCGGGTTCCTCGGCGGCAGTCCTGGGAACATGGGAGTGCTGACGCACTTTACCGTTGAGGTCCAACAGGACAAGGACTTCCAAGGCTCCAGGGGGCTTTGGAAGGCCTTTCTGTTCTCGCAAGAAAATCTGAAGCCGTTGCTCAGCCTCTTGGTGCAGAAGGCCGCAGATCCGAACTTCCCACGGAGCTACGACTTCACGGTCAATGTCGTCGACAAGGAAATCAACCTTGCCAGCATATTTCCCGGCTCCGCATCTGAACTCAAGGATAAATTGCCCGACGACATAGACAACGGCCAGGACAAAATAGCCGACCTTTTCAAATTCAAGCTGCCATTGATTGTTGTTTACGCTCAGTGGGTCAATTTCGGGGACGAGCCGTACTCACCAGATCTTTTCAACCGGATCAAGAACGCCAAGGGGGGCATAGTCACCAAGGACATCGATGGCCAAGCCATGTCGACAATCGCGTCGTCGTGGCTGTTCCGATCCGCTCGCGAATTCCCATACCCTTACATCAAGCGGACCAAAACCACCAACTGGGCAGATCTGTCCTCCAAGGGATGGGTCGATTGGTTTGCCGGACGTCTGACTGAGGCGATCAATACCAAAGGCCTGTATGTATCATCTCAATTGCAGGTGTATGGAGGAACAAAGTCCATGTTTAGCAAAAACGCGGGCAACGGGACGGCTTATACCTTCCGGGATGCGACCCTCGGAGGGACATGGGACATCTTTTACGATAAACAAAAGGATGCGGCGCAAAAATGGCAGTGCGATACCGACAAAGGGTTACCTCAGCATTTCAGCGATGTTGACCGACGTGTTCTTTGGGGCTCGTATGGCGATTGGACCATGAAGAATGTCTGGAAGTATTATTACGATGAGCAAACTTACAAGAAGCTGCAGCAGATCAGAAAGGCAGCCGACCCTCAAGGGATCTTCACTCCCAACCCGTTTTGCGTCGAGGCAGCGAAGTAAGGACGGAAACATGTTTCAACTGATTTTGGCACATGGGGCGACACGAGGGTAGGATCTCTGTTCGGCAATGTTTAGTTCACATCAATTTGAACGACTGATGATTTGTCCCAATATCTTTTCATAGCCTGCCACAAAGTAGCTCTGGCAAGTCTGGAGCTCCCTTGAAATTCAGTCATGATCTTTTCATTGTCCCTTTCCAATTGCCCCCGCAGAAGATCTGGCAAGCCGACGACAGAAGTAAGTGGCATAGGTATAACGAGAAGAGCGTACGATATAGTAGTAAAACAGAAGTGATTAACCATTAGTTATGGGGTTGGCATCACTTAGAAGGGGTATCCTATCTACTCTTGATCAGCGGGATCCCTACACTCATGACCAGATATTAGCAGTTCCTTACACGGTGGTCTCCTCGTCGTTAACTGTGTCAGACTGTGCCGTTTATTTCTGACGTCGGCTCGGAGGGGTTGAGGAAAGACGAAAGAGGTTCCGATCGTTTTGCTACCTAGGTATCTTGAATTCGAGCACGAAGGGTCTGCATGACCTACTCAATCTCATGTCTCTTCCCTGCGGAAGAAAGTATGAAGATACTGAATAGATTGGATGATAGTACAGTGTCTGCTCAGAGGGAGAGTGCAGGTTGAAGAAAAGAGGGGAAGTGGCGCAGTAGTCGTCAAAGACAGGCTCTACCCTCATGTAGGATGGTGGCTGCCTTGCCAGGTTGACGTCTCAAGCCCATTTCCACTCTAACGAATCCGAGTTAAAGAGCCTTTCAATGCCATGAGGATGTAAGTTGCTCGTTCAGAATCGATGCATTAGATGGGGGCTTACAAACACATAATATTCACTGCCGTGCCAGGACGTGTTCCGGTGGTACGAGACTTGATATGAAGCGCGGAAGGTGCCCCTTGAAGCACAGCCTCGTCACATGACAAGGGAAGGGTCCCAATCCTGGACCGTGACACCTTGACCACAGCCTCGAAAAAGGAGACCGCGATTCTGGAAGCAAGTCATCCCGTCACTCGGGCTGTCGTCGTCGGAAGTCTCTGCTTTCCGGTGGCCTCAGCTGCAGGGAGCCGTCACCAAGGAGTGTGTGTTAGCAGCAGGGCTAGATTGGATTTGCTAGTCACGGGCTCGGAGTAGAGACCACAAGACAGGCTGAAGCAGAATGCTGATGAAGGACACTGACATAGGCCTACTCAGGAATCGGTTTTTTTTTTTTTTGATCTTGTTATGTCCTCGCCTGTCCTCAACAAAAGATCGAGAGACGGGGAAGCATGGATCCACTGCCAGCCTTGCGTCCGGCTCATGCCCCGATTCCGCTCGCATGTCGGGAATGTAGTCCCTCAAGGCATCTGGGAATTGCTCTTCTCTTCTCCTATTAGTGAGAAAAGCTCTCTCCGACCAATTCTTCAGACAATATCCAGAGCCTATCGGCATTCTTGTTCGACACGGCGCGAGCGTTTGCCCCATCATTGATCTGGCAGTCGCTCAAGTACGCTCCAAAGTTTTCCTTGCCGTCCTTGCTCACTGGCAGGCTCAGTCCAGGATCTGTGGCAGCCACCAAGCTCGTGGCGGCTCCCGCACCCTGCGTCTTGATATGGAGTGCTCCACTCTTCGCCCACTGCTCCAGCGCACTGGTTAGCTCGGGTGGGAAATTTCGTTGCAACTCTGTTGCGATGACTCCCGGGTTGACCGCCAGACTCAAGAGTCCGTACTTGTCGTAGTAGCGTGCGTTGAAGCCGATGGAAAACAAGAGATTAGCCACTTTGCTCTGGTTGTACCCTTCGCGCGGGAAATACGATTTGTTTTCGGGTTCCTTCTCACCCCAATGCTTGAGTGCCTCGTACTGCGGCTGCTCGTCCTCTGGCAGGGTCTTGTTGACCTTGTCGAAGTTGATGTCGCTGAATCGGACGCCTGCCGAGAGGGGGGACGACGAGGAGACATTGACCACTCGGGTTATTCCCTTAGGCTTCCCTTCTGCCGCCTTGATCAATTTGGGCAGGATCAAGTTGGTGAACAAAAAGTGGCCAACGTGGTTGGTAGCAAAGTGCATCTCGATCCCATCCTCGCTGAGGGTTCGCTCGGGGATCAGCATGACGCCGGCATTATTGACGAGAATATCAATGGTGGGAATGTCCTCCATCGCGAGGAGCTCGGCCGCCGCCTCGCGAACGGACTTCTGACTCGATAGGTCCAGCTTGAGCCCGGCATAGTGCACGTTGGGATATTCCTGTTGCAGTGCCTCGATGCTCTCTTGAAGCTTTGTTGGGGAACGTCCAGTGATGATGATGTGGGTGGGGGACTGAGATGCCTGTGGGCTCTTGTCAGCTTTGGCGTAGAGACCATATATTAGGATTTCGTACAAATGCCTGAGCCGTTGTGAAGCCAATACCTCCCCTATTGACTCCTGTGACTATGATGTTTCTTCCCCGGATCGATCCAGCAAAGGCCTTGGCGACGTCCGAGGCCAAAGTGTCGGCGTGGAATTCGGCATGGGTGACTGCGGTCATGTTGGTTCAATTGGAAGTAATTTGCGTGTTCCTTGTATGCGATGTAATGCTTTCGCTTCTGACAGGATTTTTGTGAAGGACATGGTTCACGCTGGTCAATTTATATGCCACGAGCCGCAATCTTCCTTTGGCAAAAACCCTCACGGAAATAACTCATGGCAACTCCACGAAATCGTGGTGAAGTTGAGTATGACGACCTGGGGTGGTCATTTTGCAGCGTTGGCTCGGAATTCCTCGGTGTCGTTGTCATCCCAAAAGAGTAGAAGTTACGTTGCGCTAAACCGTAACCGAAGTCTATATTGTATGTCGTCCGGAGTTTAGGAGATCGTCACTCACATTGTCCATACTAAGGAGTCTGATCAGAGGTGGGCTGATGCAGTGAACCTCGAGAAAGTGGCTCATACAGGTGTTCAAATCTTCGATTCAGCGTCCAGTACCTCGTAGTCGCATCCGACATGAAGAGCGAGCAAGGCTCCCCGAAAAATCACAAGTGGACTTGGAGGCGGCGGGTGGGGACTCCAAAGATGAAATGGAAAAGGATCTCTGGTCTAGGAAGTGCCCGAACTAGTGACCTGTTCCAAAAGTATCGTGCGCACAGTAAGGTCTGATTTACCTGGCTATTGATGGACAATTCGCTGCGGTGGTTCGGAGGAGTAGAGATTCAGCTGATCAGACAGCCATGGTGAAAGTCGCATGTACTTTCATCACTAGTTTGAAAGGCTCTCGCTCCGCTGAGCCTCTACGCCTTCTAGACTCATGGTGAATATCCTGTCGTCGGCGATTTTCATAACCGTACTCTACCTTGGAAATGTTCTCACCCCTGGGACATAAGAAGCGAATCGAGTTTCTCCTGCTGGATTAATCGGACCGAGTCGGAGATGTTAGTGGCCTTAGGAAGTAGCTTTCAGCACAGTTGCTGGGGGGATCGAAGACCATCGACCAATCCTGCCTGAATAAAGACCATCATATGTTCAGACACAGAAATAGAATCAAACAACCGCATAGGATGAGGTCTCTTTGGTTGATCGCTCAGACCACAGAACTGTGAATCTTGTTTGGATTTCTTCATCTAGGCCATTTCGCCGGATCCTGACGTCTTGAGACGATGGGACGAGACATCAGGCTCTTCGGTACTTCCATTGCAAAGACGACTCTTCTTCTCCGATAGCATGCGGGCGGGGCATTTTAGCAACTTCATGACGCCTCCGCCAGTCGTCCATCATGAATGTTGCGGTTGTTTGAAGGAGCCCGCTTTCCGCGCTTCACCGCCTTATTGCCTACCATCACCACCATCGACCCCTCAACACCAACCCTCGACCACAGGCACGCTATCAATGCAATGCAGTGGGTGATTAAGTGCGCCTTCTACTCCTCCAAAATGTTGCCCCGTTCGCTCACGTACAGTCCGTCCAAGAACTTTCGAATATCCTTGTTCTTCACTCTGCAGGCCTGTTGGATATCGGCGGCGGATTGTGACACGTTCTCGAGGCTGTTGCCGGTAATTTCAATCTGGTCCTTGACACCTTTCGAGGCTTCGACTGTGACGCCGTCGTGCATGGTAACGTGTCGGACGATCTTCTCGCCCAAGAAGTTTCTGTCGCATAGCAAATGACAATTAGCGTTCTCCTTCGTCTGCTTGTCTTTTGTCCATATGGCAGGCATATAAGTTTTTTTCTTCCTTCCCTCTCTTGCTTCTAGGCAATTTTCAACGGTGCACCTGCGTGCGCGGAGAAGAGTGAGCGGGAAGTTGCCTGTTCTTACCTGATTTCCAAGTGAAACAAGCCCTCGGGATTCTTCTCGATGTTGACATTGATGGGAAAGTGAGCATAGACGTATCGCATCTTGTATTTGTAACCCTTGGTCACACCGATCACCAAGTTCTGGATAATCGACTTGACGGTCCGGAGAGCGGCAACGTTCTTTCTTTGGCCATGGTGGATTTCAATCTGAACGAGCTGTTGGCCTGCCTTGTTTTTCCCGAGCGTGAAGGTGACGGCAATGTGGGAGAGATCTTTGGTGAGTTTTCCTGTGCGACAAAATTCCTGTTAGCCTCGTTCTCTTTCGATCCGGCTTCTCTCTATGCTATGCTTTTCCCATTGTTCTCTCCGGTGGCTGCAAAGACTTCGGGTTGGCATGGGTATTGTCTTTCGTACCTCGGGGGCCCTCGACCGTGACGATGCGCGAGCGGATGTGGATGTTGACACCCTCTGGGATGACCAGCTGCTCTTGCGAGAAGATGTACTTCATCTTGGGCAGCGGCGTGGAGGAATGATTGTGAGAGGGATTTGCGCAAGTCGTCTCACGATGGGAAAACCGCACTTTCAGAAATTCCCCAATTCCCAAAATCGCAGGCCCGATGCCAAGACCTAATGGTTTTGTGCGCGGCTTGGCATTTTCAGAGGGGCCACCACAGCCTTGCAGGCTCGCGAGGCTATATCACATGATGTAGTACAAGTACGTACTGGAACTCACTTGACCAGCAGGTCTAGGAGAAAATCTTCAAGTTTCACAGGAAAACCTTTGTCAGTTGTTCCAAATACAATTGCAGGCTCAAGTTCAGGAATTCTGAGCCAAATCGATGTCCTATCTCCTAACTCCAAACTCGGGGTATCTCATGCTAATGCGAATCTCGTGCCACATCACCCTCCAGCGTTCTCCAGCGCTCAACCTGATCGCCGTGTCTCTGCCAGCATTCGGGCTACTGTTGGATCGTCATCGTCGACTTGAATGCCTTGTTCACGTAGGGCGTTCTTGTATCGTTGCTTCAAGCCTTCCTCATCGTCATCTCGTTCCGCGTCAGGGAAGTCGTCCGCATCAACAAGCTCGTCCTCATCGTCGTCATCATCATCAGATTCTCCTTTAGAGGTTCCCTTATCACCTGACTTTGAGTTGGAATCCATTTTCATGTCTTTCATAACTTTCGTCAAGTCGTGTTCGCGTTTCGCCGCGCTCTCCTCCTCGCGCTCTTTCCTTCTTTTCTCCAGCTCCGGCCGGTAGTCCCGTTCGAATTCTTTCCGCTTTTCCTCAACGGCAGCAAAGAATTCGTCGATGCCCTCGCCAGTCATGCTCGACACCGCCACCATGTTCAGATGAGAATAAAACTCTTCCAGCATGAGGCTCATGCTATTGAGAAGGCTGGCCATGTAGCCGCTCCCTCCACCAAATCCCTCGCCACCGAAGACACCTTTGTTCTGCTCTTCATTGAGGGCTTCCTGGAATTTATCGAAATCCGTCATCCATTCTCTTGCAAATTCTGCGTCCTGCACATCCGTCTTGTTGAAAACAAGAATCATTGGCAGCTTTGTCTTGTATAGAATCGAACATGCGTAGAGCATGTTGGACATGAATGTTGATGTGGAAGAGGTGCGTGGCGTATCAATGATGTAGGCAATGACAGTAGGGAAGGAGGATGCAAGTGACTCGAGGAGAATGCTGCCCGAAGCAGACCATACGAAGACCTCGATCTGGCCGGGCGTATCAACCAGGAAATGCTTCGGTGGCGGCACTTTGCTATCGGGCGGTGGATTTGCTCGCTTTTCAAGTAGAGTGATGATCTGATCAATCTTGGTTGCGAATAGATTAAGAGATGTAAGGATGCCTCCATTTGGACCAAGATTGTACTGCTTCATGACTTCTTTGTAGTTGATACTATCGCGAATATCAATGTTGGGTTGGAAGGGAACGTTGATAACCGCAGGATCCAGGTTGAGCACATAGGGTTTCTTCTTGTTGACATGTAGGTAATTGTTGATGCGCTGCATGAAGGTAGTTTTGCCGGATCCTGTTGGCCTGTTAGAGCTTGTCTTTCAGAATTCCTCTGGTAGCCATACCGGCCATGCCGATACAGACGACGGCGACGGGAGAAGTCGCCATATTGTCTAATGAGGGATGTTGTAGCAGAAATGTCTTTATGGAGGAAGGGGAAGGTCGATTAACAACTTTTTGTAAAATTCCCACGACAATTCGTTGCCTCTCCAGGAACAAGCCGATGCCGCCCGGGGTTCGGTGTCGACAGCCACGCGGGGCTTCCCACGTGACAGATTTTGTACCTGATCCACTCAGCTGTCATTACAAGGCTTGGCAATAGGCCCTTAACAGAACTTTATGCGCAGAGAGGTAGGGCTGCATCTTCAGACTGGACACTACAAAGACAGTGAGGAATCAGAGTCTGCCAATACAGAGAGATGGCGCGATGAATTTTGCAACGTCTCTGCTGTTACGATTTCCTTCAGCCTCATCATCTCTTCACCTGCCATCGGCAGCTTCCCAGTCCCTGGCTTCAGACTGAGGGTTCTGAGGCCATGCGCATTCTTCTCAAGCAGATTCTGGAGAGCAGTAATTTCCTGTGTTGATTGAATTCCAACCCATGAGACCTCGGTCAGATTGGTAAATTTCGACAAGTCGTAGCTCTGACACTTTGTTCCAGCTCTATCACATTCACCATCGGTCGATAGGGACAGACGCTCAAGCTTTTCTTGATAGGTTCCCAGGTAGCCTCCTACGCCAAGGATAGCCAACGGCACGCACGTCCCCAGATCCCAACTGTACATGATCAGCAGAGGAGACACAAGTTTACATGAGGGATACTGTACCTGAATGACTTTAGTGCGCTTGGTCGAAGTCTATGGCAAAATAGAACGAAATCCCACTCCTGGGAAATATCTAACTCGATGTTCTGATCATTATACAGTTTGAGGAGACCAGCTCCTGTGTTCTCAGCAGGAAACGGTGTCCCCAGACTCCTTGGTATACCATCTAAGTGGAACTCTGCAGTTTGTCGCTCGTGGTCGTCGAACTGAAGGTAGTCACCAGTGAATAGGTCGTGAGCACGGTTGTGGTAGCACCGGCCGGTCAGATCTTTGTAATCTTTGGTAGTTAGGGTCAGATGTTTGACAAAATGTAGCCCATCTTCGACTCCACAGTGTGGTGCTGTCAAGTAGTATTTTTGGAGATCTTGTACTCGTGGACAAAGCCCCTCAACGCACTCGATACTCAATGACTCATAGAGGAAAGGAAGGGTCTTGGTGTATAGATACTTTGAAACTCGTGCGAGGCTGTTCAGCTCACGGAGGCTGGAAATCTAGTCCTGTTTATGAGCATACCATTTATGGGGGAAGTCGGTGGAACTTACATGTTTGACAACCACTTCAAGTATTTCAGGGGGCAGCGTGCTCAACGCCGTTTGCTTCATCGAGCTTGAACCGGTCAGTATCAAACATCCTACGGATCGAGGACACTCCTAGTCAAATATCTTGTACAAGACGACCAGAGTACCTATTTACCTGTACCCTCTCTCATGGCGGAAATGAGGTGACGAGTCACAGTCGGAGTTAGGAAACACGGCATCATTTCTCCTCCGGTCGCAGCACTACCATCTCCTAATACCATCTTCAGACTTACGCAAGACTTGGATATCAAGTCTCAACAAAGAAGCTATTACAAAATGCATCTGGGGCGGTCTAGTGCTCTCATGCTCCAATTTGCCTCGTGGGCAGAAGGTTCTAGGACACCTGACCAATGGGAACTCGCTATCTATTGCCATTTGCAACCATTCTCCAAATCGGGCACAAAATTGGAGGTTGCAGCCCGCCTATCGAACACACAGAATGTATAGTATCTACGGCCGAAAAGAGGTGGGCCTCAGCCTCGCGGACTAAGTTTCACCCGTAGCAACAGCAAATTCTCATAGTTTGAACATAAATGATGTCCGGAGACCGAGCCCCAATTTGGAGATTGTGGGGGAATCTACCTAGGTAGGTACATAAGTACCTCGCATGTGGGTGTGGACTGTTTACCCCTTTTCCCCAGGCGCCATATATAGTGAGCCTCGCAAGCCTAGGTATGTCAGTTGGAAATGTAGTCCCTCTTGGAATAAATACATCGCCCGTCCCACGAGTTTCCACATCGAATCAAAGTGCACATTCATTCAACCCAACTCCTGGACCACAAGCCGAAGTATGTCTCTGAACCCGACGAAGAAACCAGTATTGGCGCTTGTGGGCGTTGGGCCTGGCATCGGAGAGGCCGTCTCACGCCACTTTGCCGGTCAAGGCTATGCCGTCGCTTTGATTGCCCGCACCGAAACCAAGCTCCAGACCATACAAGATGCCATCAACAAGGACTACGGAAATGGGGCCGCAAAGTACTACGTTACCGACGTGCGCAGCGAGCAGAGTGTGCTCTCGACCTTTGCAGCAATCAAGTCAGATCTAGGTCCTGTCAGTGTCATGGTGTACAATGCTGCTTCCCGGCGCATCTACCCCAGATCTACACTCGAGACAACCACCGAGGAATTCGAGAGTTTTATGAAAATCAACCTCTTCGGCGCCTTTTGGTCATCTAAGGCTGTCATCCCTGATATGCTAGAAGCTGGACACGGAACCATCCTCTTCACCGGAGCGACTGCGGCATTACGTGGCGCCGCCGGCCTGAGTAGCTTCGCGCCCGGAAAATTCGGCCTCAGAGCTCTATGTCAAATTCTCACGCGCGAGTTTCAGCCAAGGGGGATCCATGCCGTCCACATAATAGTGGATGGCCCTGTGGATACTAACATTATAGGTGGCGTTTCACGGCGCAAATGGGCACGAGACGGAGAGACTCATAAGTTGGCGGATCTGGACGCTTACCTCATGAAACCCGAGGACCTCGCGAAGATGTATTGGTATCTACATACTCAGCCACGGAGCACTTGGACACATGAACTGGATGTCAGATCTCAGAAGGAGGCCATGTTCTCGAAGCTCTGAGAGGACGCAAATGGTTTCTTATTGAGTACCTAGGTACATTACGCGCCGGGAACGCACGTTCAAGATCAATCATCTTGACAACAGCTGGCCTTCCCACCAGCTATCCTGCTGCTTGTTTTGATTTGGGTGTGAGACTGCCTATTGATGAGCCTCAGCGCGAAGTCGAAAAGCTATCTGCATTGCCTTCTTGCCGATTGTGTCCCTCTTGCCGTGACGGGCAACAAGATTTGCATCTACAGGGTTAGTAACTTCATATCCAGGATGACCAATCGAGAAACCTAAGACTTACCCTCGAAAAGGCTGACAAGAAACGCTTCTGCACTTTCTTGTAGACACCCAACCGCCGATGCTTGAACTCGCTCGATCCCAAGGTCCTGAGCAATCTCGCGAATGACTCTCTGGAAATCCATCTTTGGAATGACGAGACCTGTACTTTTGTGATCCTTGCGGATATGTCGAAGAGCGGCGGCTGTAGATGGGTTAGTAATGTTATTACTAATGTAATGAGCGTAGTATACCTTCTCCCTTGAGACCACGTTTTGTGGGCAAGGTGGCAATGCTGGGGTCCTTGCTTGCTGAAGAACCCTTTTCGGCATCCTTGATGGCAGTGCTCCTCAGGGGGGTTTCGTCTCCGGATGCTTGTCTAACTTGGTCGGCTGGAGCCATTGTGGATAGAAGTGGCAGAGCGCTAGAGGATTCAAAATTAGCGATTTATAACTCGAATTTTCCAATGCCGGCAGATTTGAGAGGATAGTCACTGTATTGGCTTTGGACCGGCTCATCAGCAAAGCTAAAGAGACCTCCGTTGCCTGAGGAGAGTTGTGACGGCGGTGGCGAAGAGAGACCCAAAGGTAATCAGGGGAGCAGAGGTAGCGACTGAAGTAGAAATGAGAATATCTTGAGACGACGTGGACAGATAAAGAGGTCTTTTCAAGAAGACGAGGCGAAATCCTCTGTCTGCACTTTCACTTAGCTTCGCCACTCTCGTCAATTTCACTTCAGTCAATCCTCTTCTACTTCTACTTCTCCTCCTCCTCCTCCTCTTCCTCTTTATCCATCCCTAAATTTGGCTTCCAAGTCACCCCGTCGTGATGAATAGCAAAATGCGAGATAGTAACATACTTGAAGTGCCAATCAATCATAGGCTGTCCAAATAGAGATATGCCGCCGAGTTTTGTAGCTGTTTTCAAAAGCCCCATGTCGCTCCTTGGTTGGAGTCCCTTAGGTTCACAAACTCGGAAAGCTGGAGACACTGCAATGTATGAGACTTCGGCCTGCAACTCCAGATTCGACCATGCTATGTTGGACGAAGGATGAGTGGGCTTTACCGTAGCCGCGTAGCGACTGGCACTCCCTACAAGGTGAGGCAGAAAATCAAAACACCACCCGAAATTCAAACATGTCGATTGAGTTGTCACAAACCTCCTGACGATCGCAAAAGACCCTTACTAGGAAAGAGACTAAAAGAGTCAACAAAACAAAGTGCAAAGAAAGAAACCTAATCAAGTCAACAAGTGATGGAATCTGGCTCAAGTAGGCGATCCTCCTCCCGAAGAGGTCCCAGATATATCTGGTCAAACTGGCACGGGCCGAGCAGGCATATATATGTGTCCAATACTCACCTCAAACTGGGATATTCCCGAACTTGATCCAAGCTCAAAGAGATCGATATGCAATCTGGCAATTTTTAATGGACACGTTAAGATGACTTCAGTTCGACAAGCGCTAGACAAAGTGTGAGGGATGGCTGACCCTTGGAATGGGGGATACTGCCCCATAACCGTTTGAGAACGCTGGCAACCGTGATGCTGGGCGCCACCAGAAGGGAGTACCTCCGTTTCCTGAGGCTGCAGAGGGCATGCATTCATCCCTTGGATGCCGAACATCTCAGCACTTGCTTCGGGACAACCATAAATAGCTTGTTTTTGATCACGAACTGCGTGAGCAAGAGCAAGGGCCAGGGCATCTGTTGCGCTGATCTCTTGCCAGATCTTGCGGAGTTCTCTCTTCCCGACTCGGAGTCGTCTTCTCTCTGCTGTTTCCTTATCAGTTTGACATGCTCTTACCGGGTATTTTACGGATGGACAGAAAAGGATACGAGCCACATCGTTGGACAGCCCAGCCTCAGCTCATCTCAGCAGAAGACGTGCACCAACTCGGGTCAAGGTATCACTAAACATGTCTTCTCTCTGCATAAAGGTATATACAAGGAACATTCTTGAGACCAGCCTGCGCATCGGCTAAGTCACGACAGACAAGAGAAAGTAGATTCAACGCAAACCAGGGTCGGTGACCGGTCCACTCCTCAATGCTACACAACTGCAATACTCAGATAACGACATCGAGAACAATCATGTCGCGATGGCTGGTTCGTCTGCAGCATCCCGCCCAATCATGCGGATGATGTCAAAGCTGCTCAAAATCTTACCCGGTTCACGCTATCACGACAGGGGTTCGCTCCGCGCCGAAGTCTCAAATAATCCTCCCGCTTACAATCTCGGCTGAGAATTTCGCACCTTCCTACATTCCCTCCACCTGCCTGAATCCTTCTATCACCTATGCTCTCCTTTGACACTTGCGAGTATAAGACCTGTACCAAAAATGACATCAGAGCGCATGACAGCGAGGGTGTACAGTCTCAAATATTGGGGTGCGGGAGATCTCAGATTTGTCTGGTGTCACCTGTGGGACCGTACTGTGTACCTAGGTAATTAATTACTCGGCGAGTCGGTAATACCCCAACCTGGCACAAAGTCATAATTGCCGGCTCGGGTGTTGGGCTGTGCCAGGCCAATGCACGGTGTCTGATGCCCTACGTTCCGCCCTTCCGACTAACAGAGCTGGGGGGGAGGATGTGCTGTGTTCAAGAAGATGACCTGCCCTATTGACCAAAAGATGACTTCCCATCGGAGCTACCCATATCACGGCAATTTGCCGTGACTATTATGAATAGAATCGCGTTGCCGACAAGGAGCCCGAGCCTGGTTGGAATCTATTCTTGACCACAATGCCAAACGGCATGTTTGGTGACAGACAAGAAGACCAGAATACGAGAAGGCAGTTTGCAGAACAGCAGAGGCGACAGGCATTAAGAAAGAGACCATGAAGTCGATACGCCCCCCCCCCCCCCCCCCCCCCCCCTTGTCACTGGGCGACTGCTGGGCTGCAAGCGATGATTACCTCGAAAGGCCGTAATCACAAAACCTGATTCAGCAACTGATGAACGTCTTTCAATGTCAGGAGAGGAAGCATAACCCGACCACTTCACAATTCCGGCCTCGATAGCTCGGAGAGACCCGAACTTCAAAGGAACTCAACCAGCTTCTCGAACACCTACCTATCTTTATGGAGATTCCGCCACCACTTTCGAGATTTTCGGCTGGAGACGGGATCTGGGCGACATGATCACGCGGCTGGAATATTCCAAATGCTACTCTTTGCTCGGCGCATCCATCGATGAACTTTTGTGATAGGCCACGTCGTTAGTTGTGCAAGATTAGGACCGAGCCAGCTTGGCTCTATGCGGAAGGCGTCTCAGGTGTCGCCTCACCTGATGGAGAGTCGCTATCAGATCTGCCTCGGTGTTCTGGGGATTCCATTGAGCTTCGGCGCTAATCAGCGGATATTGTAGTACCTGAGGGTGGCATCGTGGATCAAATCTAGTGGCTGTAAGCGAGGCGGCGTCACCGGGGGGGTCCTGCCAATGACACCTTCCCGACCCGGTGCGACGATGCCCTTATCAACAAGTGGCCCCGGGGGCACCCATGGGGCGTATGCTCCTGGATTCCCGGTGGACTCTCGGTGGATCGTCAGTGGACTTTTAGTGGGCTATCAGTGGGCCAGCGCCAACTTCTAGCGGGTGCTCATTGAGAGCTCAGTGGTCAATTACTCGATGCTTGGTGATTGCTTGTTCAAGCTTAAATTCCTTCAAGAGACTAAAAGGACTACCAAGCCACGAAAACTTCTGGGCGATAGTGCAGAGCCACTGCGTCCGAAAGAGAAGCTAAACGGCGATTTGTAGAGGACCGTGACGACGCAATTCAGCCGCACCTGCCTCACCTGGTAAGAAATACTGCGTGCCTCGCTGTCCTTACCCCAGTTTAATCTCGTGTCCCTTTGCAAGTTCATCCACTGTAGGGCCACCGTTATCTGCGACTAAATGGACTAAATGCTCGTGGAACAAAAATACCACGTCTCCCCATGGCCCAGTCGGGCACGAGTCCAGGGTTGCCACTGATCGGCCATGGCTCCTACCCAAGTATCTTGTGCATCCCGGCGAATAGTTTCTCGCTTTTGATAACGGCCTGTGATTTCGTTCGTCCGGTCGAATCTTCTGGGCCTCCAAATCACGATCCCAATGGCTCCCAGGTGGCAATCCTACTCCAACCCTCCAGAACATGCCATTCCTGGCATGTGTGGTGGAGGCGTATCGAGTACAGGTGGCTTCCTCTCCTCGATCGAGCTTGTCTTCCGTCGTGGGCGAGAGCACCCCAGTGACAATTCACTGACAATCGGTTAGGGCGACCGCCACCAACACCTGTTCAGCACTTCAGCAGGCACCTTCTCGTGGCCGTACTTAACCTGGCTCAGGACCGCTGAGATTTCCCCTCTCTCTTTCCTCACTCTCGTTTCTCTCCAAACCCTTTCCATCCCCCTCTGCGACCTGGTTGTCGCCTGGTCATCGCCAAAGATGTCGATCATCCCGACTGGCCCAATGGCCATCAGCACAGGAACCAACAAGGAGTTGAATGAGCTCCAGGAGCCCGACAAACTCCGCCAGATGTCAGTGAGCGGCGCTCATCCGGGCATCCGTCAACGTCTCTGGGGTCTGCAGGCCCGTTTGGACCCTACTGTCACCTTTGAAGAATACACCTTCTGGGCCAAGATCGAACGTGAACTGGAGGCCATTGAGTACCGCCATTATATGGCCAAGCTCAAGGGCGCAGGCGTCATCGGTTACCTCAAGGCCTATTTCAGCAACTCGACTGAAATTGATGCCCACAGCATTACCGGTTCTCAAGATGGCGTGACACAAAGTGAGAGCACCCAGGCCGGCAAGTCCGAAAAGGAGCAGGAGAAGAACGGCGTTGTTGCCAACAGCGACCCTACCATCAGCGACTCTGGCATTCTCCCAATTGCGCCGTCAACCAGGGAAGACTTGGATGCCGAGTGGCGACGTGCCGCTCGCGCCCTCCGCACAACTGGCTGGATCACCATCTTCTACCTCATCACCACCGACATCCTCGGTTGGAGTCAGACCCCTTACGTCTTCGCCAGCGTTGGTTACGGCCTTGGTGTCGGCATTTTCGTGCTTTTCGGGCTTGCCGCCGCCGCCTCGGGGCTGATGATCTGGAAGGTCTTCCTGGCTCTTGACTCTTCGCGCTACCCCATGCTGAGCTTCGGCGACCCTTTCTTCCGTCTCTTCGGTCCCAAGACCCGCAACTTCATCAATGTTACCCAAGCCTTTCAGATGTGGTGTTCTGTCTGCGTTGTGCTCATGGGCAACTCGCAGATCTTGTCGCAGCTGGCCGACGCCAAGGTCTGCTACATCGCCATCGTCATCATCAATATGGTCGTTGGTATGGCCTCAGGCTGGCTGCGATCTTTGAAGCATCTTGGTTGGCTATGCAACTTCGCCGTCTGGATCAACATTGTCAGCTTCATCATCATCTGTGCCGCCGCTGCAACTAACGGCCCGGACCCTACCGTCGCTCTCCAGACAACCCTCTTGAAGAAATTCGACCCTGTTAAAACCTTTATTGGAACGCCACCTGCCGAGTATCAACAGCAGTCGACTGATCTGTTTGCAGCACAATTTAACGGCATTGACACTATCGTCTATGCCTACTCTGGGGCTCTTCTCTTCGTTGCATTCTTGTCCGAAATGCGTCATCCCATGGACTTCTGGAAGGGTTGTCTCCTCGCTCAAACATTCATCCTGGTCGTCTACGTCTTCTTCGGCGCTTTCGTTTACACCTATATTGGTCAGTACTCCATCACAAACATCACGCAGGTTGTCAGCCCCTACGGTCTGCAACTTGTCAGCAATATCCTGGCCTTGATTACCGGTTTCCTTGCCATCTTCTTGTATTTCAACATCGGCATGAAGACGGTCTACCTCGAAGTTGGCCAGGAGCTATGCGGACTGCCGCCCATGAGCACGAAGAAGGGATACTACTTCTGGCTGGCTCTTGGACCCATATATTGGATCATTGCCTTGGTGCTTGCCGTTTCCGTCCCCAATTTCACCGCCATCACCAACCTCATCGGTGGCTTACTCAGTCTCAACTTCACCTATAGTATCCCCGCCATTATGTACGTGGCCTGGGCCATCCAAAGTGCTGCAGCACTGCCTGGCGAGGGTTTCGACCCATATACCGGTGTCACCACTCGTCATGATGATGGCTGGCCGCGATACATGCGTGGGTTCAAGAAGAGCTGGTGGTATACTCTTCCGGCGATCCTGTTCGCACTGGGTGGTTTGGCCTCTTCCGGCATGGGTTCTTGGTCCGCTATTCAATCCCTCAAGGAGATCTTCGGCCCCGGTGGCACCATTCAGACATCGTGGAGCTGCACTGCTATCGGTTAAGCTGTATGCAACCTAGTCATACCCAGACAGTCAGCGTACTGCGTCGCTTGCGAGAAGGGCGATCTTAGCGCAATCTGGTCCAACATACTCTTAGTGTTCTTTGGGAGGACAATGCCGTGCCGTCGACCCATGGCTGGTTTGCAATACCCCACCGACAGAGGTAGTGAAATTCTTCTTTAGGGCTGAAAGCTATAGTATTACAAGATCATGACAAAATTCAGATTCTTAAACTTGCTGCCTTTTCTATTTTTCGTTCTCATCCTACCGGTGGTAGAGAATGTGTAAGGTTAAAAGTGGTGAGGACATACCCTAGACTCATTTACCCAGGATTTGTTATGACTGTCGCATGCCGCGAGACGGCATGCTCTTTGCACGTAGATCTCGAGGCATGACAGCCAGGGTCGGTCTCATGCTGTGGGTGCGCGAAACGCTCAGTAGTCAGAGTCATTTTTCTCCTTGAAATTTTCGTCGTGTTTGTCATTTTACGTCCTTACGGGCGGCAGGCAGCAGCGCTCCAAGTCCTACGTCAGACGGCACAATTTCGGGTCCGCAGTTGGTAACTTTCCCTCGACGCTCATTTCACACCAAAAATTGAACACATCCAACCACAGGTTTTGTGAAAATGACGCTGGAAGATTTCGAGAAGGAGCTGGCAGAGCAGAAAGAGGCGGAGAAGAGACGCGAGAGGCGCAAGGAGCACGAGAAATCCGAACACCGCCATCGACACCACCACCGAAGTTCTCGACATGGGGACTCGCATTATGATGAGGAAGACGGACACCGATCAAAGAGAACGAGACACTCAAAAGACGACGACGCGTCAGGGAGCAGACATAGGCACAGACACCATCATCACCATCACCGCCGACGAAGTAGAGGTGAAGATGACACACAGGAGGAGGAGGAGAACGAGAAGGAGGAAAAGCAGCCTGCAACAAGCTCGGGCTCGGGCGAGCTGAAGCGCGATTCGTGGATGGAGGCACCGTCGGCGCTCGATATTGATTACATCCAGAGGAAAAGACCCGAGCCATCGCCGCAACCCAAGGGCGGTTCTCTGGAAGCAGACTTTGGGCTGAAAGTGCACGAGAGAGAACTCAACCACCACTTACGCGATCTCAAGAACGGCACTCCCGTTGATAACGACCTCGAAGCCGACGAGCCTGCCACCCACGAAGTCGATTACACGTTTGGAGACGCTGGCTCCCAGTGGCGGATGACCAGATTAAAAGCCGTATACCGGCAAGCCGAAGAGACGGGCCGCAAGGTGGAAGAAGTCGCCCTCGAACGCTACGACAGCCTCCGAGAATTTGATGATGCCAGGGAAGAAAAGATTGAGCTGGACCGTCGTAAGACTTATGGCGATGGCTATGTGGGCAAGGACAAGTCCAGCGGAGAGCTGTTCCAGGAGCGCAAGATGGATGCTGGCGTCCGACGACCTCATCCGCGAGAAACCGAGACCAGCCCAGACATACTGCTCGACCAGATGCCTGTTCCGGCAACCACTGCTACTACGCAGAAAATTGACCAGACGGCCCTTAACAAACTCAAGGCTCAACTCATGAGGGCTACAATGCGGAAAGACCCCAAGGCGGCAGATCTGGAAAGGGAGTACAATGACGCGCTTGCGGCGTTCGAATCACAGGATCCCACAGTCATCACTCTCTCCGCCATGGACAATCGCATGCTCTCATCCGCGCCTCGGAACGAAGTCAAGGCAGTGCAGAACCGGCGCGGAGCAGAACGGGGCCAGGTGGAGGAGAACGAGGAGATGAGCATTGAAGACATGGTCCGAGAAGAACGCCGCACCCGCGGACAGCAAGGGGGCGAGGGTCTACGGCTGGCCGAGAGGATTGCGAAGGACAGCAAATTCGACAATGATCTTGACTACCTCGACGAGAATGCCCAAAAGCTGGCCAAAAGGGTGCACAAGTCCGAGACCAACCTCCGCAACGTGGCCATCAACGAGTACCAGAAACTCAATAAGATTTTGGAGAACTGCCCCCTCTGCCACCACGAAGACACGGAGACTCCGCCTATTGCTCCTGTTGTCTCACTCGCGACAAGAACCTATCTCACCCTCCCGACCGAACCAGAACTTTCGCCTCAGTCCACCATGATTGTGCCGACCGAGCACCGCACAAACCTTCTCGAATGCGACGACGACGAATGGGAGGAGATCCGCAACTTCATGAAGTCCCTCACACGCATGTACCACGACCAGGGACGCGACGTCATCTTCTATGAGAACGCTGCATTTCCGCATCGAAAGCCGCACGCCGCGCTCTGTGTCATACCGCTGCCTTACAGCTTGGGGGAGACGGCACCGGCGTTCTTCAAGGAAGCCTTCCTGAGCACCGAAGACGAGTGGTCTCAACACAAAAAGATCATTGACACCCTCGCAAAGGCCAAGTCTGGAGGGCTGGGGAAACTCGCGTTTCGGAGGAGTCTCGTGAAAGAAATGCCATATTTCCATGTCTGGTTCGAACTGGATGGTGGGATTGGGCATGTTGTCGAGGACCAGGAGCGATGGCCGAGGGGCGATCTCTTTGCGCGAGAGATAATTGGCGGCATGCTTGGGTTGGAACCAGACGTGATCAAGAGGCAAGGACGATGGCATCGAGGGACGGACAAGAGGGTCGAGGGGTTCAGAAAGGCGTGGAGGAAGTTCGACTGGACTAGGGTTCTCACTGAGGGCGGTGCCTAATTAGAGCAGGGTACAAGGTCGATCGTGTGAATGATAGTCTATTCCCTTGAAGAGAACTTGAGGTCTTTGAACGAGTTATGATACTTCATTCAGACCGTGTACGCAGTAGTCTCTGCTATGCACGATGGTTGTGGTCGCCCGAGTGACTACGGCTCGCATTGACCCAGTGCTTACAAGCTATCCACTGTGTTTCCAGCCATGTAGCAAGACAGCATCGCGACAGAAAGGTTCACAATAAGACAAGCCTCGTCTACAAGCTCTTCTGTTGTCATTGCCTAGGTATGTACTCCATGAACCTTCGGGGAGACGGCGGGGTCTCCGATTTCGCACTCCATCGCCCATCAGACCCCGACTCCGCCCTCTCGGTTATCCGCGGTTGGACCCCAAGTAACCTCGTACCTTTTCTGCGCTCAAATACCTGCGGTGCCCTAGACGTCGAGTGGGAGGAACCAAGGGAGTAGAAAAAACAGGCGCTCGATGCCTCCTGCAAATCTTCTCTTGAAGCTTGCACCATGAAGTACGTCCCTTCACCGCAAGCCCTGCGCTGGCTGCAGTCTCTGGCACGGAATCCAGCTCCAAGCTTGAACCGCCTAGCGACACGTCCTCGGACATACTCGTCCACCACCGCGACCACCCCTTTGTTCCCAGCGGCCAGCAGCAGCAGACGATACTTCCACGCGACTCCCCGGCTCGACAAGATCGAGACACACACCTTGTCAGACATTGGCGAGGGCGTCAAAGAGGTGCAGATCATCCAGTGGTTCGTGGAAGAAGGGGCACCCATCGAGGAATGGAGCCCGCTGTGCGAAGTGCAGAGCGACAAGGCCTCGGTCGAGATCACGTCCAAGTACAGCGGGGTGATCAAGAAGATATATTACCCGCAGGACGCGGTCGTGCAGGTCGGCGATGCGATGCTTGATATCGAGGTGGAAGGGGATGAGGACGAGGGTGAAGTGCCAGAACAACTGGATACGGAAGCGCCGTCTCAGGCGCAGGATAACGATCCCGGCAAGGTCGCAGCAGAGGAGCAAGTGGCAGAGGCTGGCACAGCCATAACTCCTCCTCCTCCAAAGGAACAAGACGCATCGACTACGACTGCTGCTACTCCCCCTCCTGCAGCGGCGCCCAAGGAGCAGCCAGGCAAATACGCCTCCCTAGCCACTCCGGCGGTCAGGGGCCTATTGAAGCAGCACGGCATCGCAATCGAAGACATCACCGGCACGGGCAAGGACGGCCGTGTCCTGAAGGAGGATGTGTACCGACATCTCGAACAAAGCTCCTCCTCTTCTTCTTCGGCACAACAAGCTCCCACAGCTACCCCATTGACGAAACCCGGACTCGACGCGAAACAGACCGAGACGGCCCAACGACTCACGCCCATCCAATCCGCCATGTTCAAGACCATGACGGGATCGCTGTCCATCCCGCATTTCCTGTACGCGGACACAATCGACATCACGAACCTGGCGACGATGCGCACGCGCTTGAACGCCACGAGAAGAGACCCTGCTGACACCACCGTCCCGAAACTCTCGTACCTTCCATTCATCGTCAAGGCCGTATCGCTGGCGATGAACCAGTACCCACTCCTCAACGCGCGCCTGGACTTGACCACAGACCCGAAAAAGCCGCAATTGAAGATGCGCTCGGTGCATAACATCGGGATCGCGATGGACACGCCCGGCGGGTTAATCGTGCCGGTGATCAAGGCCGTGAACGCGCGGTCCATAACTTCCATCGCGCGCGAGATCCAGCGCCTCTCCCAGCTCGGACAGGCGGGGAAGCTCGGCAACGACGATTTGAACGGTGGAACCGTCACGGTCAGCAACATCGGAAACATTGGCGGTGAGGTCGTCGCGCCCGTGATTGTCGAGGGCCAGTTGGCCATCATGGGCGTGGGCAAGGTCAAGACCGTCCCGGTTTTCGGGGAGGATGGGGTCACTGTTAGACCAGCGCAGATGGTCACGCTGAGCTGGAGCGCCGATCATCGTGTGGTGGACGGCGCGACCATGGCGAGGATGGCGAAGGTGGTGCAGAAATACCTCGAGGAGCCGGGGTCGATGGTTGTCGATATGAGCTGAATGAGATAGATCTCCTGCTATTGCGCTATTGAGAAAGCTACGTTTACGGTAAAATATATTTGTGATAACCGTTCTAAGAAAATCCGAAAACATCAAAGCCTTGATGATGTATGTATGTATGTCAGTTTTGGCCTGCTCTTGGTCTTGCTCGAGGAGAGGGAGGATGGTAAGCCCAAAACGCCGAAAATGAAATGAACAACAAGAGTCGCTCTACTTCTCCTGTCTCTACCTAAGCAACTTTGCATTCATGCCCACAATGGCACGAACAATATCCCAGTCACTCCCCAAGCCGACCCAATCCGTCACCACAATCCCCGTGCTCCAGTCGCCGTCCTTGACACGGTTGCCATTGTCGGCCATCATGTGTCTTTGACACAAGTGGGCGACGACCGCCGGGTTGACCTCGGCGGCGATCTTCTCGGGCCAGCAGTTGACGTTCCAGAAGTTGCTGGCGCTGAGGAAGTTGATGTACAGTGGGTATTTTTTGCCCGTGTCGCTGGCCGCAGCAGCGCCGACGTCGTTGGCATTGAAGAGACAGCACCCGCTGCGCTCGAGGTGGGCGCACGCGTACGTGATCTTCTGCTCGATCGACGGTTTCTCCATGACCTGGTAGAAATCCTGCACGCAAATGTCGCCCGACGGACACATACTGTTGGGCGTGTTGTCCGCCCACACGTGCCCGTCGATGCCCCAGCCCTTCCCGTTCCACTCGTGCCGGAGCGGCTCCTCGAGCACGAACCGCCTCACCAAAACGATGCGGCCGCGCACCTCGCCCAGCGTGGGCACGCGCGGCTCCGTGAACCACTCGCGCGGATTTGTGTAGTTGTTCTTCAGGATGCGCGAAAGCTGTTCGTCAGTGCCCTTGCCCGTGCCTTCCCGCTTGAGCGACACGATCAGCGTCTCGCTAGGGTTCTCCTTCAGAAATTCCAGGATCGTGTTGTACAGGTCCCGGAAGTGCTTGTTCCCTGTCAGGGAGATTGGGAACACGGAATGCACGAGTATCAGCTTGTCAGAGTTCGGGTCGTAGGGCTCGGGCACCTGCACGCGCAGGTCGAAGAAGCGCACCCCGTTCTTGAGCTGCTCCTTTGGCGACACCGCCTGGCACCGCACCGATGGCGCGGCTTGGTAATGCGTAGGCGAATTGTGGGTGCCTGGAATCGACAGTACACCGAGCGGGGTATGGTCTGGCAGGTCTTTCATCCAGCTTTCCATGTGGGAGGTGTTGAACAGGGCCACGAAAGACGTCTGGGGCAGGAAGATACCTGTAAAGCGCAACTTGGGGTTTGGGGCCAGAGCGACGAGTGACGCAGTCTCAGCCGTCGGCACCGGGCAGTACATCTGATGTTTCCCTCCCAGGTCGGTCTGGAAAGTCAATCGGAGACGCTCGTCGGGCTTGTTGATGACGGCTTTGATGTCCGTGGGCACAACCGTGAACGGCGGCAGCGGGATCGAAACCTCCCTCGTCGCAAAAGGCTTCGCGTCCGCGGGGATCTGAGGCACCGCTTTGCGGGTGGTGTTGTTCGTCAAGCCCAGCCCATTGGTGATGGTTGCCAAGGACGTCGTCACATTTTGCATCTGAAAACCCTCGTCCGGCGCAGGGTCGAAATGCTCAACCAGCACCAGAGTGAGCGGGTTGTTGCTGACGTTGCGGATAGTGACCGGGGGCACCATGTTGCGCAGCCTGTCTTGTCGTCGAGGTTTTCGAAAGGATGAAAAGAAGTTCATGGGCGTGGCTGGATGACGATTCGAAAAGAGATAAATACAGACAAGAACACGAATGCCAGCGAATGAGAACCACGGACCTAGAGCTGCAGCTTTCAGCTGAGGTCGATCCCTTGGGGCCCTGTTCGAGCTCAATCCATCCAGAGAAGCGAATGAGATCGATGAGAGGGTTCGCGGGGCATGTTGGTCTTTGGGAGCTGGCGCCAATCGCTTTCCTTGCCGAGTGCTGATGGAGTTTCCACTTGCTCAGCTCCGGAGTGCAAAGGATTCAAGCTGTAAATGGCGCCCCGGAATCCGCCGGTGTTGGCGGCGCGGACCTGAAATCCAGGGGTTGACAGACATTATCTTGGTTGAAAAGACGCCGGTCAGTGGGAGTGGGTAGAAGGGATAGATGAAGCATTTTAAGACGCCGGGTGACCTTGCAGTCAAGCCATCTACCGATGTGTTTCTCTTTGCGCCCTTCGTGAAGCTTCACAATGTTGAATGTTGTGTTTTCATTACATAAATGAATAAATGATATTCTGGAACCGCTTCACGCATCCTCATCCCTGCCCTCCCACAAAATCTGACCCTTCCAAACCGCTCGAGCATGGGCGAACGCCACAAAGAGCCAAAGCACGAACAGTATTGCAGTCATAGCAGTGCTGACCCATTTGATACCAGGACTGTCCAACGCCTTCCCAACTGCAGTCGTGGCAAGCGCAAGGCCTGCATTGGGGAAAACAAAACCCCACCAAGTGAGCGTGAAAGACATAGTCTTGATGCCGTTGAAGACAGAGATAGTGGTAATGGCGCAGTACCAAAATGCAAGCAACCAAAGGAAGACTCCCGCAATGCTGCCAATGACGCGAAGGACCTCAGGTGCGGAGACTGTCTTGACACCAAGAAAGCCAACGGGCAGTATGGATGTCGCACGCTGGGAGAGCGAGACCAGGCCAGCTGCCGTATATGCCGTCGGCCCTACTGCAACATACATGCCAGGCCGCAAAGATGGCGCCGGAAGGTCGGCAGAGAACAGACGAATGACCCAAATCGCGTAGAGGAAGATGGTGACCATCCACCCAAGGCCTTGGAATGTAACTCCGGCGACAAAAATAGGAATTCCAGGCTGAGGTGGTTGGTGTTGAAGAATCTCCCCAGCCAGTGGCCCTGCGACAATAAGAGGGTACATGGGTAAGATCCAGGCTGGCGTCATCCCTTGTATACTGATCCTTTGGGTCACAAACAGGAGGTCGTACTGAAAAATCGCAAAGAGCAGGGTAAGACCGCAGTACACCCAGAAGCATATCTTGACCGCCGTATCCAGCCAAGGCCCGCAGCCAGCGTAATGACCATATGAATCTGCACCCTGGATGATCAGGCTGACCGAGACCCAGAATGTGCCAACGAAGAAGGCTTCCCCGTAATGGATGAACGAGTGTCTGAACGAACCGCGTGCCACAATGAATCTCCTCGTTATCAACGCCACAAAGGATAGGAACATGATCAGATCAATGATGAAGATGACTTTGCCGACTGTGACCAAGCCTTGGAATTTATAGGGCGTCTGATAGATGACATTTGCCAGCGACCCAGTGGCCATGGTCGCCGAGAACCACGCCCATGTGAAGTGATTTAGTCTCTGTTTGATTGGAGGGTGCGGCTCCGACTTCGGCAGAGAATGCAAGTTCTCTTCATCTTGTTGACTTTTCCGTGCAGAGCTCATTTCGACAGGATTGTAAGGAAAGCTGGAGCGATAGCAGCTGGTCGATCCATGTACTGGAAAAGGTGTGCAGTATAAGGAGATTGGTGGTTGCTGGGAGGATGCTCATTGTCGAGATCGTCCACCTGTATGTACAGCGGTTTGCGCCTGGGTCATTGCTTCCACATTGTGTCCATCTATGCCTTCTACAGTGCAAAATGATATACAAAAGAATGGAGGAGCGAGAGACAAACTTGAAGGAGCAGGACAAAGTGGCAGTGACGTCACCGCAGGTCACATCGTGACGACAATATCAGTGTCTTTTGAAATATATCAGTGTCATTTGAAATGTAGAGTTCTCAGCACTTAAAACTCGCATTTGTTGCTTGCCACGACGGACTGACAGATAGAGCTATTCTTCCATAAAGAGCGTTGTCCGTATGAGCGTGAATGAATGACCATGATGTTGATAGCAGTGGCTGCTTGAAAAAGAGTGAAATGCCAGCTGAAACACGCATGCCGGTCAAGGCCTCCCTCAGCATCTTCCTCCCATCACCGTGTCCTTCCGCCTATGGGATGATCTTTGCGGCTTTCATTCTGTCGAACGAGATTGTATAGGATCTGACAGTATCAATGGTCTCCTCAAACCCGACGTCCCGGGCGGCACTCAGGTCGTATTGGCGATCAAAGAACGCCTTGTCCATCAAAAAGTCCATGAAAGGCCAGTAATACAAGTCCAACCGGCTTGCTTTGAGGCCTTCCCTTTCGACCATTTTGGACCAGACTTCAGAGTGCTTCGTCACAAATTCCGCTGGTGGTTCGAAAGTGCCCTGAGGACCAATCCCTTCAAGGCCAAAGTAAGCGCAAATCCCAGGCCACTTGTCGGCCCAAGTCACCACGTCACCATTTGCCACATTGAAAGCCTTTCCAGACCCGCACTTCTCTGGGTTCAATGCCGCGTAGATTTCCATCTTGGCTGCAATGTCTTGAAAGGTGTCAGTGTGTTTGTGACGATAGCCATGCTCAGCGCCAGGATATGGGACCTTGGCTCCGGCCCCGTGGACTTCGCGATAGAGGCTGAGGTAGAACGCCAGGCCCTGTGCTAGATTCATGACGTTGGTCCCTGGCACAAACCCAATCATGGCGTCTGGCCTGACTTCAGTGAAAGTCCACGAGGCCCCCTTAGACAGAGAATCAAGAACGTCATATTGTGAGTAGTAGAAGATATCGTCCGCAATCGGCTTGGGAACACGAGGGTAGGTTTCCTTAAGTGGAGGCACGATTTTGACGACATCAGGGCGTTCTGCGGTCACACTTAGCTATACTCCAGGGGCGGGAGAAGCCAAACATACCCATTCCATACGCTTTTCCACCCGTTTGTAGGACGAAGCTCTTGATGTTTGGCGAGACAATTTGGATCGCCTCAACAGCGGTTCTGACAAGGTTGGTATTGACCTCTTTAAGCGTCTTTTGGTCCTTTCCTGGGTCAATGTAGGCAAACAAGAAGACATGGGTGACAGTTGCGACGTTGGGGACCTTTTCCTTCAGCGCCTCAACAACAGTGTCGACCGTTGCCGTGAGATCAATGCCGCTGGCCAGCTGAAGTCTTGGGTCATCGGGCCACTGAGCTTCTGAAATTGACAAGGGACGATTGGACAAGGCTGTAACCTGACTGAAAGTGGTGGGAGAAGGGTAGCTCAGGGCCTCTTTCACCAGCGGCCACCCTGATATACCAGATGCTCCGAAGACGAGGGCGTGGAAGTTGGTCGGCATTGTTGTTGCGCAACGTCCGCGAGTTCTCCAACAAATGGATAGTCGATGAAAGCGAACAATCCGGCCGTGCTTTCTTTCTCTGGCACGGTATTTATGTCCTTCGTCATGAGTGCAGTGTTCAAGAAAGCGTCACCTTACACTTCAAATAGACACCTTGTATAGAACGAGCAGTCATTTCCGTGAGGTCAACTGTGGTGAGACCCTGCATCAGGAACGATATCATTGGTTCAAACTGCCACGGGCACCTCTTCATACACATGCCCGGGGAGGGATGTGGAGAACATTGGGTGCCTGCTTAGGAGTACAACGAAACAAATGTCCGAATCAGAATAAGCACTCAGGGATGGTGGATGGAGCGTAGTCCGATTAGGAGTTTGCAGCTCTTCCCATACCATCGTACTTGAATAAGTCGGCCGAAGCGGACGAGCGGTATGTTGCCGGGTCTTTTGAAAGGACGGACGAATACAACGCAGCTTGCAATTCAATCTTGTTCTTCGGTGGAAGAGTAATACCGACAAATCGTGTCGAGGAACTCGAGAGGTGCTCACCAAAAGCCGTCGGAAGAACTCGAACGCCGAGGTGTTGGTGACATAAAGCCTTGGCAAGCCACCCACAAGCTAGCGACCCACCTACACAAAATGATCCGTTATATATTTTTATTACGCCAAATGTTCTTCGCAAATTATCACACAAAGCAACGTGGCGCAGCGGAAGCGCGCCGGGCTCATAACCCGGAGGACCTTGGATCGAAGTAAGTCATGTATGATGGAACACTGGTAACAGCAATCACTAACAGTCACCTAGACCAAGCGTTGCTATATCGTGTCTCGATTTGTGGCTCTTTTTTTCTCTGAGCTCGCTGCTAAAACCTTTTTTTGAGCCATGCTACCGGTTCAAGTTGCTTGAAGTTTGTGGAGTCTTACACAGGCAGAAAAATGAATTCAAATCAGAGGCCTTCTGGGATTGCTCTCCGTTGATTTGTCCGGGCACTAGACTGGCAGATCCGATCCAAAATTTTTGGCTTGCACTTCGAATTCTCAGTTTCGGGTGGGTTCATGTTTCCCAGATATGTTCTGTCCATATACGCGGATTCACCCTGATGAGAGTCTCTTCTAAACCAATCCTCCCTCAGCTCTTTTCAACACGGCTACAGCATAGCTGCGCAAAATCGGAACTGCCTTCACGTCAAATCCAAATCGGAGCAACGCGTCGAATCTGAACATGTCTTTCCTATATGTCTTGCACTGTCCGCAACCTTTAAAAGTTCATTCCAATGGCTGATGCCCGGCGCCGCAGCCGCCATGTTCACGAAACGAGGGTATTGAGCTATGGACACCTTGGTACTGCTTCTTATGATGACCGCAATCACGAATGGACGTTTCTGCGCCAGCATCAGACCCAACAAGTTGATGACTTACAAAATGCGCGGGTCACGCCGACTGGCTCATCTCACTTCCTGGTGGCGGACGAAAGAATGTGGAACTCTGCGCCAAACCCTGTACACTCAACCTGGCCAGCGCAAGACGCTACACCTGGTCGTGGGCTACAGAATTTCTTCCTGAAACGAGTGCCAGATGCAGCCTTCGTTGCCGTTGATTTGCCCGGCTCGGAAAATACCGTTGCCTCAAGGTCCAAACATCGACCTTCAGAAGACGTCCTCGCCTTCGGACATGCTCGACGGCCATTCGACTCTGGCTCGCACAACAACACGCCCTATACTCCTGTGGTCGCAATGCGATCCTCCTCAAGCACCGAGACTCTTCAGCTCTTTATCATCGATACGCAGCAAGTTGAAATCCCCAACGAAGCTGGTCTATCGGATTTATGCATGGTGCCTTTCATTGCGAATCAGGCGTCAGGTACCTGGACCGATTCGACAGATGAAATTATTCAAGTGGCCTCTTGCAGTCAATCAAAGGGCACGCAGTTTCTTGTTGTCAAGCCAAGTGGGACGACCGTTTTACGGCCGGTCTTGTCAAAGCCGAAAGCGTCAGAAGGGCTGCTGGACCCATGTCCAATCGTCACAATTCCGCGTTCGAGGACGGGAGGCCAACCTCATGTCTATGCTGCCTTCAATCCGCAAGATCAGAGTCTGGTGGCACTTGCAGACGCTAGCGGGCAATGGAGTATCTGGAAACTCACAGGAAAATATTCAAGGTCGGCCCGCATTCTACAACAGGTATCTCTGAAAGCTTCAAATGATATAGGCAGTATCGAGCGGCAATCTCGGTCCTCAAAAGGCTTCAAATCCAGGAATACATGGCACCGAGTTTGCTGGTTGACAAGTCCCGAGGGCATCATGGACAGACTATTGGTGTGCAATCGACACTTCGCTGCAGCATTTGATCAGACAGGACTATTTTTGGGTGAGGTCGACATGCGTCTCGGATCCCAGCCAGATCGGAACGTGATCCTTGATGTCAAAAACAGCGGCCGTCGGAGCGATCGCATATTTGTACTGACCTCGTCACGCTTGTTGATATTCTGTTCACCTCGTAGTGGTGGCAACGACAGACACTCAGGCGAAGCGCTTGAATTGGAGTGTTCCTGGAATCATTACCGGGATCGTACTGATCTGGGTCTCGGTATGAGCGTGCTTGAATCCTCAGAAGGTACGTGCATTTTCTGTCCTTTTGATACGGTGCCTAACATGTAGTCTAAGATTCGTGGGTGCTGCTTTATTCAACCACCAGCCACTTGGCTATCATATACCGCTTCGGACAGGAGGATGTACACTCAACGACCATCTCCATACAAGATCCTTCAACCTTTCAATTACCGTACCAGCTCAAAGGACACATGAAGGATGTCAGTGAAATCACAATGCGTCCAGCAGCCTTCTCAATCCAACCTCAGCCTACGCATGTCGTCAGATTTGGCCTTATCAAACTCGTCGCCTACTTGGCTACAGGAGAGATCATTGAAGCACTGTATAAGCATGAACTCGGGCAATTTGGCTTTTCAAATCATCTGCCGGAGACGGTCTTACATTTATCGATGCCCCGGCCGCTGAAAACCCACCCGATCAGTGCTAAATATATCAGAGACGAGGATCTAGATGATTTTGCTGTGCGGGACGGCGAAGGAGCAGACGATTTCGCAGGGAAAGCGGGCTTTGCACAAACGACTGCAGCAAATATGCAACGTGTTTCTCCCAGTTCTCGAAATTGGCAGAGACTTTTGCTCTACGAAGCGCTGAAGGATAATGACAACAGCCGTATGTCTTTCGAATCAGCCCTGCAACCGGTTATGGAACATCACTTCGAACGCCTGAAAGGCGAGAACAACTTAACGCCCATGCATCTGATGTCAGACCTTACTGGCAGGTGCCGCATCACGGATGTGGAACATGATTCTCAAATCGCAGATCAATGGCTTGATACTCTGGCACTTCAGGACAGTATAACCGTCGTACCGGCCGCAATTGTTGTAGGAGGAGTATCTAGTTCTTCGCACAGACAACTACTTCTGGACCTCTATGAAAGCTTGGTTAGGGCATATGTCGAACCACTGTCTGACCAGATCACAGACCGAGGTCGGGTCAATCGCGAAAGACTGGTCCGCCAAATAGTGGGAGATGGTTTCTTCGGAGCATTTGCGTTGACCTCCAAGATAGCTCCTCCTCCGTCTGCTTCTCCACGACCGTATTGGACTCCGACACGAGACAGGGAAGCCGCATTTCCGCCCATAGGGCTCGAGTTGGATGACCCTGAATCTTCACAGGCGCCGACTCCTGAGGCTCTTCCAGACACAGAAGAACCGACATTCTCTCATCTACGGAGATATGTAACATTTCGCCACGAGGTACCTCCTTTACTGCTCGAGCATCGCCCAAACATCTCCAACATTTTGGCTCATCTTCCAAATTCTATCGAGCAAAACCCAGCAGATTATTCCTACCAGCAAACGAATCAGAAGATGAAGCTTGCGCAGGAGGAGATGGCGGCGGAGTCGTTGAATCCACAAGAGAGAAAGAAGGCTCTCAGATCCGCCGCTCGTCTACAACGGAAATTGGAAAGGACTCAAATCATCAGTCAAGAAGTCATGATGCGACGAAATATACTGCCTGGCATCAGTAGTGGGCCAAAGATCTCCGACTTACCAGTGCGAGAAGTCCAAAGTAGCCAGCCAATCGCACCAAGTTCGAGTCAAAGGGCTGGCCAAGGTCAAGGAGGGTTACCGGAATTTAGCATGACGCAGCCCGAGAGAGGTGCTTATGGAACGAGACAAGCAGAGAAAAAGGGCAAGAAGGGAACGAAGAGGCGGGCAGGCTTCTAGATATTCCTGAAGCCTTGTTGCGGGTTTGGAAAGCGCACAATGGCCAGCTTCAAGTTGTTTGGAAACGATGCTGATGCCAAGCCCTGCGAAAAAGGGGTGAGGGAATTACCCCGGATTTTGGATTCTCCGAGCAGCCTGTGACGCTCTCCTGTGGCATGGCTGGGTGGGTCTCACCACTCCTCTTAGGCGTCTTACTACCTGGAAGTGCGGGGATGGCTCAGCCTAGTAGCCTGGATGGGGCGCCCCGGGGCCAGTTACGGGCGCGAAGTGGAGGAGGGGTGAGGTGCTTGTCGCGTGAGGTTAGGATGCTGTGGGATGCTCTCACCACCCTGCGGCGTCAAAGCTCTTGCTCCGGGCATATCGGGTCACTTGACTCTCGCGGAACTTGGGATGCCTCGTACCTCTCTTGTCCTGCGTCCTACCCCTCAATTGCCTCTTGCCTGGCCATCTCTCCTCTTGTCTCTCTCCCTCACTTTCCCTTCTTCATCCCAACCATCCTGCTATCCCGCCTGTAGCCAACTCTTTCGTCCATCACATAACATCACACCCTCCATCGGGTACCTTTGCTCCCACTTCACCCATTGGTTCCTGGTAAGTCTCACTTGAACCTTACATTGGCAACCTCGTCTCCCTCCTCACACTACCCTCACCTCTGACAATTGCTCCCACTCAGACTAACTGACCCATCAGCCAATCTCCTGCAAGTCACAGCCAACATGTCTGCCGACACATCAGATCTCACAAAGGTCGACTCTGCCATCGCTGTCGATGATGCCACCCCCAAGGATGGACCCAAGGAGACCAAGCGAAGAACAACATCCAGCGCACCCGGTGTCATGAACATCAATGATCTCGGTAAGCTCATTATTTCGAAGCCTCAATCACTCTTGCTCACAGTAGACTAGAGAAGGAGGGAACAAAGATCGCTGTCGCTCCAGAGACGCAAAAGACCGGATGGTAAGTGGCATTCCTGGCATCCTTTTGACCCCTCGAAGCTGACGCAGTCAGGAAAATCAACACCTCGCCTTCCACGGTGGAAGATCCCACAATTCTGAAGAAGCTGCTCACTACCCCTCCCATCAAGAAGATCGATCTGCATTTCCCCTTGGGTCTCGAGGTCACTGCAAGGAACTTGAAAGGTGTCACGATAAAGGATGCACTGGATGCCATTCACAAGCAATTCAAGAAGAAGGTAAATCTACTCGCTCATTTCCAATAACTGAGATGGCATACTGACGCTTGATGTGCAGGCTGATGACGAAATGGAAGAGCCATACCTCAAAGGTTTCGAATGGGACCCCGAAGAGTCGTGGACGAGACTCAAGGTCCACACTCAGAAAGAAGGGCTACCAGCTGGCAAGAAATCCAAGAAGAAGGGTGGCGATGAGTAAACTCATTGACCATTACTACACACATGTGCGCAACCAGGATGCTCCTGGCCGAGCGGCGAGACCGACTCTCTGAACTGCTACAAACACTGATCCACCACGATCATATATGCTATTACAAAAAGAAATCAGCTTGGTGTGCATGGCAAGGTGCTTTGCGGGCTCTCTTTTCCATTCATTCTGGCAACGTTGCTCAACCCTGTGGTGGTGGATACCCAGAAGGCTCAATCTGCTAGCTTAGACCAGCAATGACATTACCTTGAACTGATTTTGCGACATGCATTCGTCAGGCGTGGCCTTCTGTGATAATGGTACATGAGGACACGATTAATACACCTTGCCAACCGATTTTAGGCTCTTGAGCCACTATGTGGTTGGCGAAAAGGATAAGCAGGATTGCAGCAATTGGGCATTGTAGCTGGTATTTGTCTCTCGTGGAACGCCTTGCATCGACGAAGCGACCGGCGATCCTATTCGCGGTTTGCGTCGATCGCGGTACAAGCTGATGGGATCCTTTAGTGTGGTTGCTTTTCTAAAGTCCTCACTCAAATACCATTCTTTCTATCTTCCTGTCCAACTTCTCGAAACCCCCCAACCACACTGTACCGGACTGGGGTTCAAAACACCAAGTCCCAGCTAAACATGGGGTCAATCTCCTTATCAGAAGACGCCAGCGCGAGCGCCACTGCCAACATCCCCATCATCGACCTCTCACCATTCACATCTCCCTCGCCCTCATCAGACACATCGGCCTCTTCTTCAGCCCGACTGAAAGCATCCCAAGACCTCGTCCGCGCCCTACGAGACGTGGGCTTCGCATACATCAAGAACCACGGCGTCCCCCAGGACGAGCTGGACGCGGCGTTCGCCCTGTCGAAACGCTTCTTCGACCTGCCCCTGGAGCAGAAGATGAAGGCGCCGCATCCGCCGGGTTGGAGCGTGCACCGGGGTTACTCGTGGCCTGGGCTGGAGAAGGTGTCGAGCGCTATGGCCACGGGGGACGGCGGCGGGGATGAGGATGAGGTTAGGAGGTTGAGGGAGGTGAAGGACTTTAAGGTACGTATGTCTTTATGGTGGACGTGTGGATGTGCGAGGTTCACACTCATCTATACACTTGTTTCCTTTTTCTTCTATGCATGCCTCTCTGTTTGGTCGTTCGTTTCCTCTATTCTATCTCATTTTCCCGGTGAGCAGTTTGAACGGCGGAAGAAATCGTGTGGCATTCATGTACCATGGCGCCTATCAGACCTATTTCCTCCTGTCCCTCAGCTTGAATTGTTGTCCGTCGCAATGAATCTCTCCCCCCCCCCCTCTCTCTCTCTCTTTAACGAGCGATATTTCTCTTATAAATGCAAATATGCTGTTTTCGCTCCGCTCAACAAGACCAAACAGGAAAGCTACGAAGTCGGCTCCGAAACCAACCCGGACCAACCCAACGTATGGCCGCCCGCGGACGTCCTTCCCGAATGGCGCCCGTTCATGAGCGAGTTCTACTGGACGTGCTTCGGGGCGGCGAAACACATGCTGCGCGCGCTGGCTCTGGGAATCGGGTTCCCCGCCGACGATGAGGACCACCTGCTCCGGTTCCACGACGGGCACCACAACCAGCTGCGCCTGCTGCACTACCCTCCCGTGGACGCCGCGGCGGTGCAGGAGGGAGCGGTGGCGCGCATGCCCGCGCACACGGACTGGAGCAGTATGACGATGCTGTTCCAGGACGACTGCGGCGGGTTGCAGGTCGAGCACCCGGCGGGGAGCGGAGAGTTCGTGGACGTCCCGCCCCTGCCGGGCACGTGTGTTGTCAATGTCGGCGATCTGCTCATGCGCTGGTCAAACGACTTCCTCACCTCGACGGCTCATCGCGTCCAGCTTCCCCCGCTCCAGCGCTGGGAGGATGACGGTGCAAACAACGGGCTGATGATGACCCGCCCGCGCTACTCGATCCCGTACTTCCTCACCACCGACCCGGATACTGTCATCGAGTGTCTGCGCGTCGACGACGATCATCCTCCCAAGTACGACCCCATCACGCAGCGCGAGTACGCGGCCATGAGGGCAAGGATGCAATATTGAGGGGGAAAAGGTTGAGAGGCATGGTTCTTGTCAAAGGAGTGGGGAGCACGGGTATTACTACGCTGCTTTCATTAATATTTCTAGTTTTACGGAGGCCCGTTCGGGAAGACTTAGATATATAGATGGCTATTAGTTGGATGGTTTAGGTAACTGGTGCACCCTCGACATCATGCTGCCCATCATCTGGTCCCCATGGACCCTGTACACCTGGTCGATCTCGGCCTGGTAGACTCGCGCGGCCTCCTTACGGCGTAGACTGCCCTTTGACGTACGGGGAAGAGGCTTCTCTCTCGTCGCGAAGATGACATGTGTCTTGGCGAGCTTTGCAATTAGAGGCGCTTCGTCATTGACCTTGTCGAACAGGAGGTCTATTTCATTTTGAAACTGTGCTGCTACTGGGCCTCCGCTCTCCACTTCCCTCAGACCCTCGTCCGTCAGCTCAATAAGTGTGATCACTTGTTGGTGCCCATCTCCCCACAGTAGCACCTCCCGGATCCAGTCGTGGCTGTGTTGGATCTTGGCCTCAATCCCCGCCGGGTGGAACTTGATGCCGTGGCCAAAGAGGATCAGGTCATCGACGCGGCCCGCGAATTTCCATGTATTGGGTCGACTCGGGTGAGGAGCGAAGAGATCGCCCGTCGCGTACTCGTCGAGCTCCGGGAAGGTCTGAAAGACTGTCTGACGGGACGCGGCGGTCGGATCCTTGAAACGGACTATGACTGGTTCATACAGTGTTGGAGCGGCGGGCTGTGACTTCGAGTCGCCGTCCGCTGGGGATTGAGTGTCGCTGTCGGCTGCCACGGGACGCCATTCTATACCCATATGGCATGCATCAATGGATAGGTACTCCATGTCCTCGGTCCCGATCTGATAGAGAATCCAACATCCGCTCTCTGTAGCGCCAAAGAATTGAATAAATGTCGTGTTTTTAAGCCGGTCCGTGAGGATGGCTGCGGCTCGAGGCGACAGTACACCTGGGCAACAATTAGCTGTGCAGCGAGCTTAGACTCTTACCGCCCGATCTTACCACCGCCATACGTGATGCTAGATAAGCGGCTTAATCTGGCGAGATCTCGCTCTGAGGAAGCGTACTTCTCCAGGAATGCTGGAGCGCAGAAGATGCAGTCCCCCTTACCATACTCGACGGCGTCGAGCAAGTCTGTTGCATTCATGCTCCGGTCCGAAGGTCCGAAGACATACGTGGTCTTGCCAAAAACCGTGTAGCACATCAGGAGTATGGCGCTGATCACATGGAAAGGAGCAAATGGCACAATCAGTCGGCCGGCTGTAATGTTGATGGGGTTGAGCCTGCGGAAACCAGGGCCTCCACACTGACACTCCTCAGGCAGGTGGGTAATCTGGTCGTTGGCAGCCATTTGAGCATGTGTGATGCGGATTGGCTTTGGGAGTCCGGTGGTGCCTGAACTGTGCAAGATCAAAAAAGTATCTTGGGCAGCCTGGTCGAAAGTTTTGCGCATCTGGTACTTATCTGCGGGAGAAGGGTCTAGGAGCTCGTTCAACTCCGGGCAGATGGCATGATTCATTGAGCGAGCGGCTAATATGTCCGCGACGTCGACACCTTCTGCAGACAAGAAAAGATGACAATCGCACAGTTGGAGAAGATTCAAGTGGGCTGCAAGGCTATTGATGTGAGACGAAAACAGGACCTGATCGCAGACGCATCAGTGAGCCAAGTTTTGACTCTGATCCCGCCGAACCCGAATCGAAGCCGCTCTGACCTTACCTGATAGCCAGTTTTGGCGGCTGCCATAGCCAGGATGTGATACCTCATGTCCGACTTGCCGATGTAAGCCAGAGTTGGGGAATTGGCTGAGCGGCCAAAGGTGGTCTCGATGAACCATGCGGCGCGGTTGACGGCGTTGGCAAAACTGAGGAAGGAGACATCTCTATAGCCATGAGACAGGTCGGAGGATAAGGGAATCGAAGCCAACGTCCTGGTCGGGTCACTTTGCGCGATGTCATCTATGGCGACGGGGAAGAGACGACGACCGGGAGGAGGGTTGTTTGAGTCTGCGGGCATTTCGAGGGCACACAGCACATATTTTAGGGCGAGAAGAGGGGTTTTGGTGACAAGGTCAGGGCTTTTTATACAATGTCTGGGTCACAGGTGGCCTGGTTTAAGGCGGACAAGAACCACACCGAGCGATCCGGGGTGAAGGCATTTCGGAGAGGGGAGAGAATGTCTGTCTCCAACAGAATGGAATTGAGGATGCGGATGAGGGTTGCTAAAAGACCACCTCAAGAGGCAACTTGTTGGGACACAAGAGGACTCGGTATAGAAGTCGTCTCATCTGTTTTCTCCGAAAGAATTAATGCTAAACGGCTCGACAGGTGGAGGTGAGGCAGAAGTGAGACGGAGAAAGTGAGATGAAAGTGAGATGAAAGTGAAAAGACTTGGCGCCAATCCTCGTATTTTCTGCCTGGCTGGGAGCCTGGGACCCGACCCCCACTTGGGTGGCCTTTGGGTGGCCTTTGGGTGCCCCTTGGGTGACTCTTGGGTGCCCCTGGTGCCTGGAGGGGCCTCGCCGTGACGTCAATGGTGCGGCGCGTCTGGGCGGCGTCCTTGTTATAGCAATTTCCCCGCCACTGGCCAATGCCCGAAGCCTAGAGTCTCTTCTACGTACATTCAATCTTGTATGCTGCTCCTGCTAAGCCAATGTGCTCTCACTCTCTTACCCTCTTATATCGGAGCTCCGTTGCTGCCCCAGATCTGGAGACAGCTCAACAGCTTCATGCTCGTCTATGCTTCATCCCCTAAGATTGTCCAATACGCACAGCTGCTGCATAAGCTCCGTCCAACGCAAGTAGAAAAGGCCTCGAATGAAAATGAAATCGTCGTCATCATCATAAACCCCGTCACAATCTGCTGTTATTCTGTTTCTCCTCTCTCTCTCTCTCTCTTCCCTGCACTGGAACAACTCGTGTTCCATTGTTTTGTCTGCCCTCGTCGTCGTTACAATGCTGCGTTCCTCACTACTGCTGGCGAGTCTCCTGACTTTCGCGAAACCATGTCCCGCCCTCGACAAACGACAACAAACTCCTCTTTCAACATTCATTCCTCAGGAGCAAGCTATCGCTATCCAAGGTGTCTTAGCCAATATTGGTGGCCTCAACTCCAGTCTGGTCCCAGGTGCCAGCCCCGGTGTTGTCGTTGCCTCTCCCTCGACAGTCAATCCAAGTGGGTTTCGACGCTTCCCCGTCGCTCAACGAGTAAAGCGGGGACAGACTGATATGTGCCTGCAGATTACTTCTACACCTGGACTCGTGACTCGGCCTTGACCTACAGAATGCTCATTGAGGAGCTGATCTTCGGCAACTTAACCCTCAGAAAAACCATCGAGGATTATACCACCGCCCAGGCCATTGTGCAGACGGTCACCAACCCCTCGGGCTCGCTGTGGCCAGCAGGCGACGGTCTGGGGGAGCCCAAATTCTATACCAATCTGACGAGGTTCGATGGAGAATGGGGTAGGCCACAGCGGGATGGTCCTGCCTTGAGAGCGATTGCATTCATGGAACTCGCCCCGGTCCTGTTCAACCTGAACGAGACAGCCCTATACAAACAGATCTATTGGCCGCTGGTCCTCAACGATCTCAGATATGTCGGCCAGTATTGGAACCAGGTAAGTCTTCAGCATTCTGTCAGCCAATTCGGCTATTCATCTAACCTCCCAATCCCTTCAGACCGGCTATGATCTCTGGGAAGAAGTCCACGGCTCGTCTTTCTTCACTCTTGCCAATCAGCATCGTGCTCTTGTCCAAGGTGCTCTCCTGGCAAAACAGCTAAACACAACCTGTCAACCCTGTGCGCAAGCCTCTCAAGTCCTCTGCTTCTTGCAAAACAATTTCTGGAATGCCACCGGAGGCTACCTGACGGCTGATGTGAATGTCAACAACGTTGTCCGGAGCGGCATCAACTCGGACCCCATCTTGGCAAGCATTTCGGTCTTTGATGCGAACGCTACATGCAATGCGGGCGGTAAGCAATCCCTGTCGTCCAGAGCTCTCGCTCCCTCCTTCTAACAAATCCCCATCAGACTTCCAGCCATGCAACTCGAAAATGCTCGCCACACACAAAGTCCTGGTCGACAGCTTCCGCAATCTCTACCCGATCAACAACAACGCGCAGCCTCCCAACGCTGTCCTCATCGGCAGGTACCCGGAAGACACCTACTACGGCGGGAATCCTTGGCCGCTCTGCACACTGGCCGCCGCAGAACTGCTCTACGACGCCGTCCATCAGATCAGAACCGCCGGACAACTCACGGTCGACAACATCAGTCTTCCCTTTTTCACCGATCTCTACCCCACCGTCAGCGTCGGCACATATACGGGAGACGTGCTCAACCAAATCTTGACCAACATGACGACGTACGCCGATGGCTTCGTCTCTGCCGTGCAGCCACACCTCCCTTCTAACGGCAGCATCTCCGAACAATTCGACCGCACCACCGGCTTCTCCACCTCGGCATCCAAGTTGACCTGGTCATTCGCATCCTTCGTGACCATGTCGCGTCGTCGGGCGGGCCAATTCCCCATGAGCTGGGGCGCCTCGTCTCCATCAGCGAACACGAACCTCACAAGCAGCCAATGTCGCGGAACGAGCTTCAACGCCACGGGGAACTATACCCCCGCCCTCGCAGCGGGAGCTCCGAACGTCACAATGGACTGCGAATCGGAGGTTATCTTCAGCGTCAACGCCACGACGGCCTTTGGAGAGAACATCTTCATTTTGGGCAACGTCACAAAACTGGGCGGTGGCTTGAATAACGCCGACGACATCATCCTACCCCTGAACCCGGGCAACTACACGTCCACAACGCCACAGTGGTACGTCGACCTGTGGTTGAAGGCCGGCCAGGTTGTGGGGTACCAGTACGTGCTGCAGAACGGCGCGCAGTGGGTCTTTGAAGAGCACCCTGTGCGGACGCTACATGTGGGAGCGTGTGGGAGTGGACAAGTCGCCCGGGCTGACGATGTGGCTACTTTTCCTTCTTCTTAGCGAGGAGAAGAGGCAACTCAACGAAAGGGGGAAAGAGCCCAGAATAGAAGAGATGAGCTGTAATCGCAGACAAGTCCAATCGGAAAGGGGGCCCGCTCAAGACCTACCTACCTACCTACCTACCTGAACTGAACGAATTTCGTCAAACTGGAAGGGAAAAAAGAACCTTTGTCGTCAGTATCTTGAACAGTGTTATTTGTCATGGCATGGTTAAGCGTTGCGTTTGCGTTGCATTCACCACGGTGTGCAAATACTATGTGTCTGCCGTGTGTATAGAGAACACAGACCCAGAGAGGCGTGGAAACTATTAGCGTATATTATAGCATGGCATGGCATGGCATACCACCACACTTCGAAAGGAAGGGTTGAGGATTCAGCCTCGCCGTCCCCACGAATCGATATTGTCCAACAGAGACTTACTTACTCGCAGCCTTATTCTAGATACTGGGTGTCGTCCGTCTACCTTTTCATCCTAGTGAGACTGTTTTCTTTATTTTCTTATCTGCTTACTTGCTTATTTTGCCTTGCTATGCGTTTTTCCGGGCCCGCCAGGTCCCCCATCAGTCGTGGGTATTGTATCTTGTCCCCGATCGAGCTGGGCGTATTTAACAAGTCGGTATAATTCTCTAATAGCTCCCCTTTGCCTCTTTCCCTTCCAAAAGATACACATCGAGACGGAGTTCCATTTCTCTGTACTACTCTTCCGACTCACAACCCCTGGACCTCCAACCCCCTGATCTGAGACACACGCACACACGGATGATGAAGCTGACAGACTGGCTGTTCTCGCAAGAAGAGAAGGGAAGAAAAGATTCTACGAATGGCCAACAATAGCCTTTGGCTTGTACGGCTCCTCGAGATACTTCATCTCGTCCTCGGTGAGGGTCTTGCCCTTGACGGCGATGGCCTCCTCCAAGCGGGCGAGGTTGCTGAAGCCGACGATGGGGATGGTGTTTTTCTGGATGATCCAGGCCAGGGCGACGTGCGACATCTTCCAGCCCTTCTTGTCCGCGAGCTCCATGACGCGCTTGATGATCTCGCGGTCCGCCGGGTCGAGGCCCGAAAACATCGGGTTGCCCTTCATGCTCTCCTCGCGCACCGTGGCCTCGGAACCCAAGGGGCGCGCCAGCAGTCCGCGGTACAGGGGCGCCCAGGGGATCAGGCCCACGCCCGTCTCGTGGCAGTAGGGGTTCATCTCGCGCTCTTCCTCGCGGTAGCACAGCGAGTAGTGGTTCTGCATCGAGATGAATTTGGTCCAGCCGTGGGCCTCGGCGCAGGTTTGCAGCTTGGCGAATTGGTACGCCCACATGCTGCTTGCACCTGTATAGGGGAGGAAGAAAAGTCGTTAGTGAGACGGTATGACTAACAGGGAGAAAGCGGTGGAGGGGGGACAGCGCGTACCGATGTATCGAACCTTGCCCGCCTGCACGAGGTCGTGCAGAGCCTTCATGGTCTCCTCGACCGGCACGGACTTGTCAAAACGGTGAATCTGCAGCACATCCAGATAAGTCGTGCCCAGCCTCTCCAGACTCGCGTCCACGGCATTGAAGATGGCAGCACGGCTCAGTCCGCCCTGGTTGACATAGTCTTTGCTCTTCCTGATCTGTTCGGGGTACTTGATGTGCACAACGCCGGGTTCTTCGCCGACAGTACCAAAGCATTTGCTGAGAAGGACCAGTTTGTGGCGGGGGATGTTGTGCTTCTTGATGACGCGGCCGATCATGCGTTCAGATTCGCCATTCGAGTACACGTTGGCGGTGTCCCAGGAGTTGAGGCCACGGTCGTAGGCGCCCTTGAGGAGCTTGTCCACTTCCTCCATATCGTCGATGACCCATGGTTGCCAGTCCTTGTGACCTGTAATTTTAGAAAGTGTTAGTTACATGGGTTGTCTCGTCACCCAGAAGCTCTAAGGGACAGGCGGTGGCTTGGAATGAACGACACTAGTACAAGTTTTCCTCTGAACTTCAATCTCTCGCATGTCTAACCCCTTTTACTGGCCCGATGACCGTTTAGAGCTAACAGCTCATAGCAAAGTGATGACATGACTGTGGCTTCGTCCCGAGATAAGGCGTGATTGTGGACTCAGACTCACCAAAGGACATGGCTCCCAAGATGGGGATGGAGACTCTCAGGCCAGAAGCGCCGAGTTGGACATAAGAGACCTTTGTGTTGTCCAAGCTCTCCTGGAGCGATCGAGGCATACCGGCGTCACCCATCTTTGCGGTTTGTCGGTGCTGTTCAAGGAATGGACAGATAGACTAGGCTATGGTCGAGGGAAGAATGTGATTTGTAATAAAGACAGCGCGGCACAAAGCGACTTGATCAGTACACGATTTGCCTGAGACTCGGTACGTCAATGGAAGGGGGGGGGGGGAAAGAGTTGCGTTTTAATAGTAGAGGGGATCAGACAGGGTCGACTTCTTTAGATTTTATCCTTTCCACAGGCTGTTTGGGAGCAGAAGGCCACGAATATATACCTCGTCAACTCATCGGTGGGAGTCCGGCTGCCGATCGAATGATATTCAGGATAAATATCGAGCGGGAAAATTGTCAATTGCAAAGGCGGATCCCTCACCGTGTCTGGCCAGAGCGGCACCAGGCACGGGCATCGACGACGCAATTGCCGTGTGAGGACAACGAGGGTCTCGCGTGCAAAGCTTTGTTCCCCGCAGGGCCTCACTAGCCTTGGGCTCTACCAATGCGAGCTACCGGTTCGGTCGGGGAGGAGTTGGAGCCATTGGAGAAACGATGCATGGGAGTAAGGGCACCGCGGTCCAGTGAGAGTAGCTAGAGAGCTAGAGAGCTGCGGAGATGGAGAGGGAAGTGGAATGAAGCTGCCGCAAGAGCCACAGACGAGACGGGCCCCGATCCGGTATTAGCGGACTTAGGTTGAGGTAAAATCCATCTTAATAATTACGATGGACCTGCCTATTCGCCTGTCGGGTTATTGTGTGATTCATGGTGCGATGGGTGTGGGTGGATGGTTGGTGGATGGCAGGAGAGATGCTCAAAAGGTACCGAGTTCATGTCGTGGGTGGGCAAAGGAGAAGAAATTGAAACATAAACACCACACAGCACAGCCTGGGGCATATAGTAGCCATGAGCCCATGCAAGACTTCAAATCATCAGATACATCAACGACTCCCAATACAACCAAACCACAATGCTTGCCTAGTGATACAGGTGCGCAGGTATACGCCGCGATGCGTAAACTCCTTTTTTGCTTCGTTTTCCCAAAACAACACAACCACGACACCAAAGTAAGCGCTTGTACTCATAGCCTCTTCCATCTTTCCCATATGCAAAACCCCCATACCTTGACATGCCCTGCTCGCCGTAACATTTCTTTGGTCATGACTCGTTCTTTTCCCTATTCTTGCCAGCAGTGTACCGCGAAACGCATAATGCCCCAGTGAGTCCATCATCTGTGCCCGATCAAGTCCATTGCATCTTCCTCTTCCTCTCCATCCTCGTCCTCCATTGGCTCGTCACGCTCACTCTCGGACTCGGACTCTGAACCAGCCTCCGCTGCATTATGATGCCCGGGCGAGTTGGGGCGACCCCAGAAATCAAGGTCGTCGTCGTCATCGTCGTCATTCACCAATATTGTTCCACGTCGAGGTGCTTCGGGTGTGCCTGCTGCTCGTTGCCCGGTTCCGAAATAACTCCCGACAACCGGAGACACAGAGCGGGCGGAGCGAGCTGTGGGTGAGTGAGGCAGAAGCCAAGACGACCGGCTTCTGGGAGTAGTGGACGTTGTTCCTATGTCGATAGGATGAGGGACGACTTGGTCCGACGCTCCTGCGATATCCACTGGTTGACTCGCTCGCTCCGTCGGAGTGTGGCTCTGACTTGCTGTCAAGGCCGCTTCAGAGGTTCCTGCTTGCTGCGCGCGTTCCTGTTGTTCCTGTAGTTGTGGAGTTTCCTCGGCCCCCAGAAGTTCCAGCTGAGTTGTATTATACGATTCGCAAATGGTGCATTTCAACCCCAGCCAGTGATACTTGGTCACGCTGCGGCTGTTGCAATCGTTGCAAAAGATATAGGCCCGATTGCCTCGATACTCTTCCGGCATCGGTTGTTCTTCAATGTGCCGGTCCAGGCGTCGAAACTGGCTCTCCATGTTGGCAATACTCTTGGAACAGATCGGGCATTTGTAGCTAGTATTACACCACTCGGAAAAACACGACTCGTGGATGCTGTGGCCACAGCGCATGAACGCAACAGGTTTGTTCGAGGTAAACATATACTCACGCCACAGCGCATGAACGCAACAGGTTTGTTCGAGGTAAACATATACTCACCACAGATGGGGCAGTCACATTTGGTGCTCTTTTCGATGCACTTGTGGGTGCTTTCGGCCTGAATCGACATGCAAGCTGCACAAGTCTTGCAGTGGAAGAAGTCTTTGCCCAAACCCTCGCCGAGTCGGCAAATACCACAGTCGTCACAATGATAGATGGATCTTTCAGGATCATTGTTCCACAAGATGCAGATCGGGCAGTAATAGCACGCCGTTTGAACCTGGCACGCTTTGCAAAACTGGCCAACGGCTTGTGGGGTGTTACAAAGCATGCACAGCATATGTTTGGTCTCTTGACGCGGCAAAATATGGTTCTCGGCCTCGTCGTGGCAAAGTCGGCAAGTATACCATCTTTCACACACGCTGCATTGCATCTTAACGTTTCGCTTGTAATGGACACAGCCAAGCATCGGTTGAGATATTTCACCCGAGGACTCGATGTCATCAGGATCAAGAGGTGCATAGGTCGGGACGAGGGCTTCGGCAGTGACGTTGTAGTTGATCTCCTGAGCTGCTCCTGACACGGTCGAGCTTGGCGATGCTGGTCTTTGAGATGGGTCTGGCGGTCTGGACAGCATGGCATTGCCAGCGAGACCCTTCTGATACCGTTCCATCATTAAAGCGTGGACAAGCCTTGATTTCTCCGCAGCCGTCCCAGGGCCTGCCCACACAGCGTTGATCCTATGTCTGAGAGTGCCCATACCATCGTCTTCTGGTAGGGTTCCGGAACCATCTCTTCCCCGGCCGCCGCTGATCTCTTGTACATCTGGCGTGCCCGCCAGGGTTGCGACTCTTGAAAGATCCCTCAATGGATCAGATGCGGCGTGAGGTCGTGCACTGTCCTCATGTACGCGAGATCGATATGACAACTCATTGGCAGGATTCAGAGAGGTTTCGCTCTCCGTGCGGAGGTTTTGGAGGACAGCGGGGCGCGGCGGCTGTGAAGGCTCGGGCTCGAGAGGAGGAAACTCAGTGATAGAAGGCTCTTGTCGTAGAGAGGGCTCGGATGATGGTCGTCTCGAATCGTCCTGGGACTCTAAAGGAGGGGAGGGGATGGAGTCGAAGCTGTTCAACTGGTTGGCCCATAGCTGGATGGTTCTCGCTATAGACTGCACAGTGGTCTCCCTGTGCTCTGACTCTGGCTCGACCGCAGGGTCTTCCAGTGAAGGTGGAGGAGACGTGTTCCAAAGACGAGAGGGGCTCCAGCGTTGCAAGTCGGGCACGGCAGGGAAGAAACCGGGCGACTCCTCAGTTGTGCCGCTGAGGCGGGAGAATCGCCTCGCTTGGCGCAGCACAGGTTCGACAATGAACGAGGGGAGATATTCGCTCATTGAAGCCGCGAGATAAGCATGCCACAGTGCCTGGGTATGGATTTGGATTTGGCACACTGGAGATGTTTGTGTTTCGACACAGACAAATAGAAAGGGCAGACGACCAGGATTCAAGGCCCAGAATTACTGTACCGAGTAGGAGGCAAAGAACAATGGAAACACGGGGAAAGGGGCCAGTCTGACGTCGATGGAAGATGACTGGCACCACTGAACTGGCACCACTGGCAACCCCTGGATAGTGGTTACTGGTGCCCCGGTGGTGGTGCTGTGATGCTGCGGTTCAGCCGGAGGGTCGGATGTTGACTTGTGAGACTCCGTTGTTGTGGCACGTGCATCAATCTATCACAGCCTTGTCGCCACCTACTCCAAGCGGGCGCAAGGCTGAACGTCCAAGGAGAAGACTATGAGACCAACAGATTGTAAATACGAGCATGGCGTACCTTGAAGGCTTTGCTGACTATTTGTCTCGTTGATTATCCTTGCAACTCGACTTGGACTGCTAAAACTCCAGTTTCCCGATGGTGGTCAATAGATCAATGGTGTTGGCCACCTAGAACCACGAGAAGTCTGCCGCACCTGCAAATGCGTGCACAAACATACAACCCACGTTCCCCACGAAGAAAAATATACACACTGAGAACAAAGACAAGAAAGAGGCGGGGTTCAAACCAACACCAGCAATCCATCAATTGACAAAAACTTTTCCATCAGCACCGTCGAGTTGGGGGTGATGATAAGTGAAACCCGCGGGAGCAGGTTCTTTCGCCCTCTTGTTCTCAGATTCCTTTGCTCGGTCGACACGCCTTAGGCTCCCCAGTAACTCATAGAGCGCTCGCTGTATTCATTCGGTGGAGGGATCGGGATCGCCTACCAGAGAACCTGCTAATCACTTTGTCGAATCGTTCGCCGAAGTCACTAACTTGGGTCTCACTAGCAGGGGTCTTTGCGTTGGGGACAGGTTCTCGGGAATAAACATATATCCTTTGAATCTCGGGATCACATCATGTGCCCCCTTTTTCGTTCTCTGCCAGACATATCGACAGCCTTTTATACATTGCTTCTGGGTTGTTAGAGCTTTTGCCTCGCCAAGGTCCAACTCGATCTTCCCTTCACCCATCCTTGATGTTTTGTGGCAGTTATCACGCCTCAGCCATCACTCTGCATCGCGCTGGTGGTGCCAGACCAAGGCAGCATGGGTTTCCAGCCAGCAGAAGGTCATCCTTGGACGCTTTGCTGATATTCTCACTTGTCTTCCTCCTTCGCGGTGGCTTCCAGATCGCGCAGCGTCTCTTCAATCTCATGCGGTTCCGTAATGGACCAGACGCCTCCACCTTTCGCTGACGAACGCCCAACTTCTTTCGATACAAGATTGCGCCCGACCTTTCCAGGCCCCACACCAAGCCAGCGGCGACATCCAGCCTGCTGATCCAGATACTTGATAGAATCCCACCAGAGGATCGTGTCGACGGCTTGCCTCGCCAGGTTCTGCATGAGGTCGTCTTTCGACCTAAATGGCCTAGCAGTGACATTACTGATGCAGGGGACCCGGCCGGGAAATGTCACCTTTTCCGGGGTGAGGGCCTTTTTCATGAATTCATATGCCGGCATCATGATCGGACTGTGAAAGGCTGATCTTGATTTCAACTCAACGGCTCGGGGATCATGTCCGCCAAATTCTCGTATGTGGACCAGCAGATTCCGTATCCGCTGGAAGCTGCCGCTGAGCACTATTTGGTTCTTGGAGTTGACATTGGCAATCGAGATCTGTTGGAATGCTGGGAGAGCGCTGGAGTCGTCCTTTGCGCCTTCAGAGCCTTGGCTCAGGAACTCTCTGACGGCCGCGATCAGCGAGTCCAGCTGTCCCTGCTCGCAAACCAGGGCGATCATGCCGAATTCCTCGCCCGATTCCTCTTTTGCTTTTCGTGTGCATTCTCCCATGACGTCGCCGCGTCTCCGGACCAAATCGAGAGCATATGCATACTCCAGATTCCCCGCAGCGACCAATGCGGCATATTCTCCCAAGCTGTGTCCCAACGTGACGTCGATCGCTTGCTCCGTCTTGAAGCCAAACTCTTGCTCGAGGACCTTCAAGATCATGATGGATACGGCCATGATTGCAGGTTGGGCATTTTCCGTCTTATCCAGCTGCAGGATGGGGCCTTCGTCGATAAGAGTGGACAGCTTGCAATGCACAATGTCATCCATCTCTTCTAAAAACGGTTTACACGTTCGGGGGAAAGCTTCCACCCAAGGTCTCGTCATGCCTTTCCTTTGGACGCCATGACCAGGAAAGAAGAGGGCTGTTCGTAGAACAGGTTCCGAAGATGAGGCGTACGATCTAGAGGTCCGAACAGCGCGTAGACTTCGTTCGAGACCCGAAAGGGCCGTTCGTGGAGGTCGATACATGACTGCGGGGTTTGCAGGAAGTCGCTTCGCTAGAGAGAAGGTTGTTTCGACAACATGACGATGACCTAGCGGTTGGGGGAGAGAGGCAGGTGGCTCTTGGACTCTGCCTGAAAATCAAGGCCGTTGACCCAGCCTGGACGATGGGAACGAGAAAAGGTCCAAGTCGAATGCTGTTCACGTAGTTCCGTGAGTCCGAAAGCAAGCGAGCACCCTCTGCTACGTTAGGAGCAAGTTGTTGGGGGTCCGGCGAAGGCAGGGAGGCTATTGGGCTGTGCGCGAGTGAGGCTCCCCCCGCCCCGTACCTCGGTGAGCTGGAACAACTAACTTCCGCGCCGCGTTCCTGTTTGCCACATACAGTACGAGGTACAGGTGAGGATTCCTCAACTCCATCAGAACCTCATTCATGAATGATGCACAGGCAAATTACATATATTCGCAGACATGTTGTACAGTCGCAGTCCCATTTGTTCCCCCTTTGCTCTTTGTAACAGTCGGCCGTAGTGTCTGGCAGAGAACTCCTCCTTTTCATTGCTTGATCGTGGTCGCATTTCCAAGTCCCATCTCTATTTTCACTACATCACTCCTTTTGGAATTGCGAATGCATTCGCTCTGATTTGTCTTCCAGCTCAATCGCACTTATATCTGATTCGGCGTAGTTGATCATGGGACCTGACCTAAACTCGATCGTGGTCTTGGCCGTGATGACCCCCTCGGGCTGGCTTGCAAAGTGGTATTCATCCGACTGTCGCGAGCGGAGGGGACGTGGCGTACTTCTTCCCAGGAAATCGCGCTTATCACGCCTTCGAGCATTCGGATCTCCTAGTGGGCCACTAATGGTGGTCCTCATCCCCCAGAAATTGTCACCCAGGTTCTTCCAGCCAAAGGTATCGAGACCCAAGTCTTGAGGAGGTGGAGGAGCCCGGCCAAATATCAAGACGTGTCTCGTCACGGCGTACAATAGAGCGTCTAGCCATCCGCAGGAGCTGATGGCTGCCCCGGCCAAGCAGAACCACCCTGCTATCGTCAGTCGTGTGGCCAACCGCTGCGGCATGATAAGACTTACAATATGGTACGGAGACCCCTGTCATTGCGGCCATTCGACCCCCTGCGAGTGGTAACGTGCAAACGACATACACCACAGGATAGATGATCATGTACTTGGCCGCACGTTGAGTAGAGGCAGGGTCGGTACCGTCGTTGGGAAAGTTCGCATTCGAGCGGCTTCGTGATTTGGCTTTGATGAAAGCGAAAATGAGGATATACGTGACAACTGTCCCGAACATGCATATAAAGATCCAGAAGTAATGAAGCCACAGGCGTTCTTTGTCGTATCTCTTGTCAATCCAGCACTTTGTGGTTGTCAGCTTGATTGGACGACAGAACGACCTAGCCACATACCCATGCTCCCGCCCGGACGTATATTTTGGAACTTATGCCGACACCGATGATAGCCATAAGATAGACAAATATCCACAGGCAGACAATACCGCCATAGAACACCTTGTTTGTCACCCGCTTGCCCTTTACCACGGCGTAGTATGTGTGCAACGCAATCGCGAGGATGAAGACGCCTGAAGCAAGATCACCAGTCGAAACGAACCACCCATTCGCCCAGCATGTCGTGGTCCCTACTTGGATTTTGTTCTGAGAGAGGTATACCGACGTCAGCGCGAAGGCCATCGCTTGCTGGACGTCAGCCAGCACCAGATTGTAGATGAGGAGCAGGAACTGATTAGCGCCATCTTTGAGTTGGCCTCGGTGATACCATACACAGAGTCGATACGTCAGGAAAGTGAAGAGAGCGACACTGGAGATGAGTGAAAGCAGCCCAAAGAATGCCACCGCTACCAGTCCATGCTGCAAAACCGAAGGTAAGGGATCCAACGTCGTGTTTAGGGACACTGACGAGGTTGCGGCCATTTGGGCCGTTTGGTCGACAAATTGACAGCGGAATATAAATTCCAGAGGGATACGGGGGCACAACCTAGGTAAATGTATACTGACCGAGCATGGACATGGTACCCTAGCAGCTAAAGTCTGTGCGCTCTTCAACAATGGAAAGGGCAGGTGCAAAATCCCGAACAGATGGTGGGCTGCCGCGAGCATGGAAAGGAATCATGCCTGGCCTGGGTTCCAGGCCCGTGGACTGTCACCGTATGCAAGGGCACGTTTCACGCTGTGCAAGGATTGCATGCTAGATGCGAGTAGCACTCGTACTCGTAGGAACGGCGCCGTAGCACCAAGCCAGTGGAGTACTTTACTCCATAGAGCACAGGAACGCTCAATGTTGTCCCGGAGTAGGCTATCTCTTCGTCAATTTAGCACAGGAACCAAAGGGAAAGGGATTGACTGTGGGGAGGGGGGAGGTATTACCTGTACCAATTGCAGTTGCTTCTAGAGAGTCTCTGCTCGCGTGGAAGCAGCCTGGATAGCTTGTTAGTCTTCAATGGGTAAAGCGCCGATGACATGAATGCAATCTTTCTCGATGCTACCCCAGGTCAAGACCCAGGAGGATCGCCCCTTTCCTTGCCCCGCCGGTGCTTCGCGAAGAACTCAAAGGACTTGAAGGACTTGAAGGACTTGAAGGACTTGAAGGACTTGAAGGACTTGAAGGACTTGAAGGACTTGAAGGACTTGAAGGACTTGAAGGA